TGCTCCATATCATTAATCATTTAGAAAACACAAAACCACTTCAGCATCCCTCTGATGCAATCTCTTTTTAACTTAGAGTCGGGTTTGGTTGCTGTAACCAAAGCATCTTGTCTGAAACAAACTTAAAATGCCAAGGAATAGCTGCTGAGGGGCTTTTGGTTCACTGGAAAGGACTTGGTAGGGGTGGGGATGCTCAGTCTCAGGCTGAGCATCTAAAAGTATCCTGTGCGCCAACCTGTGCCAACTTGGTAGAGAGGTATGGGAGAGAATCAGGGAGTAACAGCTAAGTCTGGGTTCAACAGCTATAAAGTGGTTTGATCTATAGCCAAGGGACCTGGGTCTCATCAAAAGAATTGGTCACCCACAGATTTAGGGCAAAGATGAGCATGAGTCACCCTTTTTTTTTTTCCCAACTCTTTTTTAAACAGCCCATCAACCATTTGTCCTTTCTGGTGTGAACTCCATCTATGTGTGTAGGGCAGTGTGTGTATGGAGGGATGGGGCAGGAGGGAGTCCAGATTTTCCCTCGCTGTCTTTCCCTTGGCATCTGTTAGTATCGCCAGCTGTTGATTATAAATAGGTTCAGAAGATAAGGACAGGCCGCCGGGCTCTGCATTGTGCTGTGGTCTAGCTGCTGTTAGTGACGAGCATTCACTAACCACTGGCTACAGCACAGTATTGGACAGAACCCCATATGGTTAGTAAACTAGGAGTTAGGGCCTCTATTTTCAGAGAGTTAGGACTGAACATGCCCAGATGCTAACTCTAAGAATAACTTAAAAATATATATAGAGAGAGAAATGCATGCAAATTAATGTGGTAAAAACTGAGCATTGACACATGTAGCAAGCTATAAAATTTTACTGTAGGACATAAATACCCGAATAATGGAGAGATACACCATGCTCCTGAATGGTACAAGTCAAAAGTGTACAGATGTCAGTTTTCCCCAAGGTAAAATGTGACTGGTGTGTTTCCAGTGAAAACCCCAAGATTTCCACAGAACACGCTGCTCCTATAGTTCATCTGGGAAAGAAGATGCCAAGAAACTTTGAACAAGAACAGGGGAGGAGGCCTGCACTGTCAACTCTAGGACTATCATCGAGCTGTAGTAATGGAAGCAGTGTCGTGGTGGCGCAAGAATAGACAAACAGATCGAAGGGCCAGAGTAGAGAATGTAGGAACAAGTCTAAGTATCGCATTGGAAACTTGGTATACATTTAACATGACAGTTTAAATCAGGGAAAGGATGGGACATTTATGGTAGAAAGACAATTAGCTAACAGGAAAAAATGCATTAGATATTTACTTCTCATCATTTACAGAATAAGCGGATTTAAGGGCAATATGTTTTAAAGACTGTAGGAGTAATAGGAGGAAATATTAGGGAATATATTTATAGTTGGGAGAATAGCTCTTTTTAAAACAAAATACAAAACACAAAGGTTTCCACAGGGGGGAAAAAACAAATTTAGACACTATATAAAAGTTATAAGACAAAAGATAAAATTAAGATATATGATAGACTGTGCAAAAATCTTTGTAATATTACAAAAATGACGATAGAGGTGATAAAACAATACCTACAAATCTAAAGGAAAATAGAAAAACGGACAAAGGACATGAACAGATAGTTCACAGAAGAAATACAAATGATTAATAAATATATGAATCAGAGAAGTGAAAATAAGAAACTTCTTTTTAACCATAGATTGGATCAAACTTAAGAAATACAAGTTGAAATAAAATACCCATTTTTTTCCTTATCAAAGTGGCCAAAATGTTAAAGATTCATAACATCAATTATTGATAGAGATGAGGAACCCAACAGGTACATGGTGGGAGTGTCGATTGGTTTGTCTTGCCCGGCTGGTGTGGCTCAGTGGTTGAGCATCATGCACTAAGAGGTCACGGGTTCAATTCCCAGTCAGGGCCCAGGCCCAGGTTGTGGGCCTGATCCCCAGTGAGGGGCATGCAGGAGGCGGCCAATCAATGTTCTCTCTCACCGATGTTTCTCTCTCTCTCCCCCTCCCTTCCTCTCTCTCTAATATCAATAAATATGAATGGATGGATGGATGGATGGATGGATGGATGGATGGATGGATGGATGAATGAATGAATGGATGGATGGATGGGTGAATGAATGAATGAATGAATGATTGGTCTGTCTTTTGAGGGAGGCAATTTAGTGGTCCTCTAAAATTTGAAACGCAAATAGCTCTCAGTTCCTTTCGTGTCCTCTAGACCCGGTCTGTATTACCTCTCCTCACAGGGTAGTCGAGTCCCCGCCTCCTTCCAGCGTGGTGCCAGGTCCAGGACATACTAGAAGAAGCCTCCAGGCCTGTGAAAGGCCAAACCCAAATCTAACAACATTCCTTCCACCACAGTCTGCCAGCCCAAACCCGTCACAGGACAGCCTGCTCTCATTCAGGGTGGGCAGATATCCAGCTCCTGATGGGACACATGTCTTGTGGGGACAGGAATAAGTGGAACTTGGCAGCTATATTTTCAGACAACTACTACATAGGTAGTTAGACTAAGGCATATTCCTCCAAGTACCTTTTCAGTAGCATCTCTTAAGTGTTTATGTGTTTATATAAATTCTAAATTTTCATTGTTTTGGTCCATATTTCCTCCCTGTCCCTAAACCAGGTGACTAGGCACCTATTCTGATTTTTTGTTTTTCAATTTTTTTGGTGTGATCTGTGGATGAGTTACAAAAACACACACACAAAAAACCCACCACAGTAAATGCTGTCCATAGTTTCACTTTGTAAATCCCAGTGTTGTGTTATTGTGAAGTCAACGAACAACAGTGTTTGATCGATATGTAGTATTGTCATAAGACTGAAAATTGTGAAACTTCCACTGAGCACAACGGAACTTACACAGAACTGAGGTCTCAGGTGATCCCGAGGCATCGCTTACTCTCTCTCTCTCTCTCTCTCTCTCTCTCTCTCACACACACACACACCCCTCGAGAGTGTTACCCCAGTCTGGTCTGAGAATGGTGCTAGAAGGCCTGGGAAGAACACAGTAACCAGTCACTGCTGCAGCCAAGTTCACATTGTTATGGTGCATATTATTTTATAAGCATATCTTTGTATTTTCAGACTTACTAAGTGGGTGTGTACTGGGTTCATTCAGCAGGTCCTCCCTCATGCCTACTGTGCCCTGGGGATAGACACAAAGGTGAGTGGGCTTGGCCCCTGTGGGTGGCAACAGCAGTGTGCTGGAAAGAGCCTTTAGACTTACCAAGCCCCCTGGTGCCCGGACAGAGCTGCGCACAGGGTGCCGTCCTCCAGGAGCCATCAGTTTAGTGTCTGGCCCACTCCCCTCCCCCTAGGCACAGTGTATCATCCAAGTTGATAGTCTCAAACTGTTTATAAATCATGCATTTACGCCCAGCCAGTGTGGCTCAGTGGTTGAGCGTCAAGCCACGCACCAAGAGGTCGCCAGTTCGATTCCCAGCCAGGGCACATGCCCAGGTTGTGGGCCTGATCCCCAGTGGGGGGCATGCAGGAGGCGGCCAGTCAATGTTCTCTCTCATCAATGTTTCTATGTCTCTTCCTCTCCCTCCTTCTCTCTCTAAGATCAATAAAGAAAATAAACTTTTAATCTTATATAGTATTTAGTTGTCCAATCGACATTATTTTTATAAGCTTGTTTTTTGTTGTTATAAACCACCCATCTCTTATAAATGCCTTCGCCTGCTTTCCCAACGCCACGGCTTCTGCTCTGAGACTGGCACCTGTGGTGTCATGCTGGCAAGTGGCTTTGTGTTCTTAGGTCGCAAAATGCTCTTCCCTCTCCTCCCCCCCCCCCCCATCCCGAAAGAGGACGCTCCTCTGGAAACCGGAGCTTCAGGTGCTCGCTTCACATCTCTTAAGTTTGTGTAGATTTAATGAGTTAAAAAAAAAAAGTAATAAGCTGGCTTTAATTTAAGAAGCACGTATAGGATCATCTGGTCTGATAGAAATGATAGGCATAAATTGACAAATGGGTTAAGGTAAACTATTAATAAAATGCTCACCACTGTGATACAATACAGAGGTGAAGGGTTGATATCATTCCACTTTATATTATATGACTAGTTTATATAGAACACAAACCCTGGCCAGCCATCAAGCTTGGGCTCAAACCTGCAGGAGAGAAACCAACAGCAGTTTCAGTAAATGGGGTCCTCTCGCACTGTGGTTGTAAAAGGTAAACATTTCCTAAATGTACCTTGGAGTGTCTTATTTTCCTAGTGTTTAGTTTCTGGGTTTTGCACTTTTCTACCAGGGACCAGTCACTCTGAGTTTTCACAAAGAATGTTTGTTAGGGTTGCGTCATGCTTTGCGTAGGCTAACCAGCCTTTATCCTTCAATAATTCAACAAATATTTACATTGCTCTGCCCTTCCCGCACATTCTCTGAGGCATGCGATGCTTCGCAGCCCCGACACACATACGCATACGCTTGCACATACGCGCACATACGCGCACACACGCGCATAGGCACTTGGTAGAGTTTGCAGCCCTTCCCAGGGTAACAGCAGGTTTGGTGAATGGAGTAACCACTGCAGCCAGGACTGTCTTGTCAGGGGAAGGCAAGGAGGTGAGCATTTAGTGAGTGCAGGCTCTGTGCTACTATTTTATATACATTAGCTCATTTGATAATGAGGCTACCTTGTCATGTAGCATGTGTTTAGAATGTATTACTTGTTTTCTTTTTATTCTCTGCTATGGAAACAACCCATGTTGAATTACTGAACACCCTAAATTTGAAATCCTGTCCACATAAGCATGTCTTGGTTGCTTTCTAAAGCTAATCTGATGCAGGATGTATTAATAAATGGGGAAGAGGATAAATCATGGCATGGATGTAAGGTTTAAAAAAATCTCATTTCTATTTAGTGTACGTAATTTGTCAGGAAAAATCTTAAATAGTTCTAAAGACTTGTTCAAAGGTTTTTTGAGTATTATGCAAGGAAAATTGACCTCTGGTCTCCTTTCTTAGATACATTCCACCGTTGATCTGGGGGAAAAGCGGACACATCCAAACAGCCTTGTATGGGAAGATGGGAAGGGTGAGGTCGCCACACCCGTATGGGCAGCGGAAGTTCATCACCATGTCCGATGGAGCCACTTCGACCTTCGACCTCTTCGAGCCCTTGGCTGAGCATTGTGTTGGAGGTGAGTGAGTGTAGGCCGTATGATTGGCAGTCACTCGGAGAAGAAGCACTGATCAGTGAGGGAGCACAGTGTACACACTCTGCTACCAGCTTTACTGTCCGTCGTTTCCAGGGCCCGGTGGGAAGTCTGCTGAGATACGTCACTTAGGAGCCAGTGGCAAGGATTAGCTCGGCCATGTGCTTGCCAGTCACCATGTACAGCTTAAAGGCATTGTTGAATATAGTTGTTAACACTCCTGTGAAAGACAGAAGCTTGGTGGAAAGTAATGAGGGACCAGGCCTCTGGTGTGATGACAGCAACAGAAGCCAGACCATTCTACGTGCTTTATGTATACTGTCATTTCATTTAATCCTCATCAGGTCGGTGCCTTACTATCCTATGTGACTGCAGCTTAGCGATGCAGCGTAGGCTGGCTTTGTTTGTGGGATAACAGCAGATAGCAACGGTACCCTCTGCTTGGGTGTCCATGGACAGAAAGACACATTAAGATCATATTTATCAAGCAGGGATCCAGGGCACCTGTTTCTCAGGAACACCTCTTATTTCCATTGTTCTCTCCAGCCTGCACGATAAACATTTATAAAGTGCTTCACAATGAGGACTTGAGGCAGTGGAGTTAGTTGGCAGTCCTTTTTAAATGCCGTTTGGACCAGAAGAGAACGTGTCTTTTGAGCTCTGTAGTATGCAAAGGTACTTAGATTTTTTATGGGAGCTCAGTCAATATTTATGGGAAGATTCTAATAAACATATTATAGCTTTCAGTTACTTAAAGAAATAGAACTGCTGAGTAGTTAGTGATGAAGGTTTAATTTATGTTCAGTCTGCCTGGGATGCTTGTCCCCAGACTTTCACATTGCTGCCTCCTTTTGTCATTCAGATCTCAGCTCCAATGTCACCCCCTCAGAGGCATGGTCACTGCCTCCCCGAATGAGTGTTTTCTTCCCAGTAAATCCATCGTGCCTTCCCGCTTTGGTTCTTGAGGGTAACTGCCACTCTCTGAACTTACTCCTGTAGTTGTTTATTGTCTGTCTGCTGGAACGTAAGACTCCCCAGAGTCCAGAACGTCGGGTTCCCAATAAACAGTCACAGAAGGAATGAATAAATGATAGGTTAGGAGTTCACATTGTGTTTATAAGTCTCAAAGCTGATCTTTCAAATATTTATACCTCTGCCATAGCCAGTTACATGTTTTCTCTCGTCTCTAATACTCATTCCTCTTCTACCATGAAAGCACAAAATGTGATTTAACCAGATTGCTCTTCCCACCCGGACGGAGGTGGAAAGTGGAAAAGGGGAAAACCTCGATTCTTTGTTTTACTCATTGATGTCTTTCTATCACCCCGTCCCCAGAAAGGGCTAATGATGGTGGGTGGGGGGAAGGGAGGATTCCATCCAAGAATGCTCTAGGAAAAACAGCCCTTTTTTCCTTTTATGATCCCCACCCCGATTTTTATCTACAAAAGGAATAAATACTCATGTTAGAAATTTTAGATAATACAGAAACATTTTTGAAAGAAAACAAGAATCTCCCATAATCCCACCACCCGGCATACCATTGTTAACATTCTGTTCCACTTACTTCCTGTTCTATACATTGTTTTTCCAAAATTTGAATTTTTATACATTACATTATAAATATTTTTCCATGTCATTAAAATTCTAAAAGTCTTTAAAAACATTATTTTAATGATTAGTTAATATTCGACAATGTGGCCATACCATAATATTCTCCTATTGTTGGCTTGTTTACAATTTTGTTGCTATAATTAATTCTCTGATGAGCATCCTTAATTATAAAATGTGAGGCAAGATTCTAAGAACTGGAATTATTAGGTCAACATTTCTAAAAATTTTAAGGTTCTTTATGCATATTACATAAGAGGTTTTGTGGGGTTTTTTTTAATGTTTTTTTTTGTAATCCTCACCTGAAGATATTTTTCCATTTATCTTCAGATAGAGTGGGAAGGAGGGAGGGAGAGAGAGAATGAAAGAGAGGGAGAAAAAGAGAGAGAGACATTGATGTGAGAGAGACACATCAACTCCCACGTGACCCCAACCAGGGCTGGGAACCAAACTGCAGCCGAGGTGCGTGCCCTTTACTAGAATCAAACCCGAGACTCTTTGGTCTGCAGGCCAACGCTCTTAATCGCCGGGCCAAACTGGCCAGGGCTATTACATGAGAGTTTTAAATTTTGGAAGGAAAATTTACGATCAGATCTAATAACTTCAATACCACTTTTCTTTTGAAGGAAAAATATGTATTCATATTTTCAAGTAGGTAATTCAGGCTCATGAAAGAAAAATCAAAAGGTGCCAAGGAGGACACAGTGAAAGTATAAGTCTCTCTCTTACCCCTACTCCCCTTCCCCACCCCTCTCCCACCCCTCCCCAGCACCCACTGTTAGGTTATTGTATATGATTCCACACTTAGGGAATGCATCTATAAACATAGATGTATTTTTTCACCCACAGAAATGGCAGTGTATTGTAACCAATTTTTTCACATTGCTTTTTAAAAAAATTTAATACGTATTGGAGAACCTGCCCTATTAGTATATATAGAGATGTCTCATTATTTTATTATTATTATTATTATTTTTAATCCTCACACAAGGATAATTTTTCCACTGATTTTTAGATAGAGTGGGAGGGAGGGAGAGAGAGAAACATTGATTCGAGAGAGACACATTGATTGGTTGCTGCCCGCATGACCCCAACCAGGGCTGGGATGGAACCACAATTGGACTACGTGCCCTTGACCGGAATCGAACCCATGACTCTTTGGTCCACATGCTGACGCTCTAACCGCTGAGCCAATCTAGCCAGGGCGAGATGTCTCATTATTTTTAAGGGCTACATAATACTCCATCACTGGAATGTGCAATAAATTATTTAACCAGACTCCTACGCCTGGGCATTTACGTTGTGTTTAGTCTTATCGTTACAGTCTACACTGTACCTATATTGTTTTGCATATGTACAGGTGTATCTGTAGGATGAATACCTGAAAGTAAAATGCTGAATCAAAGAGGCCTGTGCAAACACGACTTCTTAGTTTCCCATTCGGTCCTTTGTTCATTCACACGGAATTTCATACAGAGTAAGAGTAATGTTCAGAAGCCTGTTTAGCCATTTGGCAGAATAGTTTTATATTTGTTAACTCTAATAATTAAAACATTGAGATTTATATGTTTTCTTCATTTCATTTTTTTAGTAATTAATTTTTATTGTATTTTTCAAAAGTATCTGTCCATGACAGATTAGAAATTTTAAAAACCAGCCCTTCCCCATAAAAAGTTTGAGAGGCACCGACATAGGCAGCTCCAGCTAGAAGGGGTATTCTTTCCCAGAGAATTGAGGGAAAAGCCATATGTTCAATTTCCTCCTATTGTTTTCTTTTTTTATTACTTTATTTATTTTTGTTACAGCTGTTTCTCCTTTTTCCCCCCTAGACACCCTCCTCCCCATCCCACCCCTCCCAGCATTGTTCATTATACTCCACAAATAAGTGAGATATTTGCTTAGCATAATACTCTCCTGTTGTTTTCTAAGCCAGTGAAATGTGTGTCGATTTATTGTGTCACTGCTTATTGGATATACCAGGATCTCTTTCTCCGCCCCATAGATGACATCACCATGGTCATCTGCCCTGGAATTGCCAATCACAGCGAGAAGCAGTACATCCGAACCTTTGTTGACTATGCCCAGAAAAATGGCTACCGGTGCGCCGTGCTCAACCACCTGGGCGCCCTGCCCAACATTGAACTGACCTCGCCACGCATGTTCACCTATGGTAAGCAGGGGACGCGGCCCCGTGGAGTCTCGCTGTTTCTGTCCTCACTGCAAGTGCACTGTGACTTCCGCCTTCCTCTTCTCAGTTTAGAATTTATGCCCAGCTGCGAGAGTCGGCGGGGCACACAGACGGCCTGTAAGCACCCCCATCTCACAGGGGCAGAGACTGGAGCTCGCAGGGGGAGGTTGACTTTTGTTTCTGCACCTAATGGCCATGATTGGTTCGTTGTTGCTTTGTGGCGTGGCCAATATCCGATAGCGCTGACCCAGGCTCACTGCTTCTTCAGGTGTGCTTTTGTCTCCCTGGCCTTCTCTTTCCCAGTCGAACTTCAGAATGATTGTGTCAAGGTCTGTGCTGAATTTCTGTGTCGGTCTAAATGGACTAGATTATGCTGTAGAAACAACTCCCAAATCTCAGTGGTGTGAAAACAGATTTCTTTCTTTCTCATACTACACATCCATCGTGGGTTTGCTTGAGGTTCCTGTGTCTCCGTTGTCACCATCCTCACACAAGGACCTGAGCTCATGGGTCGCCACCAGCCAGAGCTGACTCACCCCACAGAGTAGGAAGAGCTTTACACTTCGGCCTGAAAGTGATGGAGATGCACCTGCTCACAGTTGATGAGCCAAAGCCTATTGCAGGGCCAGGCCTAACTTCAGTGGGCTGGGGAGAGACCTTCTTCCCAGGGAGGAAAAGTCAGTTTTGGTGAACTCTAGCACAGTGTATCACTATTTTTAATCACTATTTTTAATCGGAATTTTGATGTCTAAGTTAACTTGGAAAAGTTTATTTTTATGGTGTTTACTTTTTTTTTTTTTTATCCTCACCCGAGGATATTTTTCCATTTTTTGTACAGATAGAGTGGGAGGGAGAAAGAGGAAGGGAGAGAGAGAGAGAAACATCGACGTGAAGGGACACATCGAGTGGCTGCCACCCGCACGACCAACCAGGGCCGGGGACAAACTGCAACCGAGGTACATGCCCTTAGCGGGAACCGAACCCAGGTCTCTCTGGACCGCAGGCTGACGCTCTAACCGCTGAGCCAAACTGGCCAGGGCTATGGTGTTTACTTTTCTTGGGCAGTAACATGGTGTGTTTTCCTTCAGGTCTCCCTTTACTTCTCCCGTAAAGAACTCTTCCTCTCTCTGTGTAGGTCGGTGGTTGCCCGCCCCCGGAGTCTAAGGCCCCGGAGGGTTGAGGGCCATAGACACATACAGGTCTTTGCACAGCCCTTATTTCCTCTCCAGGTTTTTATTTAACTTTTTATTATGGAAATGTTCAAATTATACACAAGTAGAGAGAATACTAAAATGAACCCAGGATAAACCCCTATGTACCCATCATTCAGCCCCAACAATTACTTAGCTGAGGGCCAATCTTGTTTCATCTGCAAGCCACCCCCTTCCTGCATCCCCGTTTCAAAGACGATTTTGGAGCAGGTCCCAGACAGCCTGTCATTGCATGCGTGACTATTTCAGTGTGTAACATGAAGATACACAGACTCTGTAAACTGTTTCAGTTGGCGCCCGGCCGGTGTGGCTTAGTGGTTGAGCAACGACCCAGTTCCCGGTCAGGGCACATGCCCAGGTTGTGGGCCCGATCCCCAGTGGGGGACATGCAGGAGGTGGCCAATCGATGTTTTTGTCTCTCTCTTCCTCTCCCTTCCTCTCTAAAAATCAATAAAGAAAAACAAACAAACTGCTTCAGTTTGCTAGGACTTCCATAACCAACTACCACAGTCTGGGTGGCTTAAAAGGCAGAAATTTATTTTCTCGCAGTTGTGAAGGCTAGAAGTCCAAGTTCAAGGTGCTAGCAGGTTTGACTTCCTCTGAGGCATCTCTCCTAGGCTTGTAGATGGCCGTCTTTTCCAGGTTGTCACAGAGTGGTCGCCCCACTGTGTATCCCCGTCTGTGTCTCTCTGTGTCTGTGTTCCGATCTCTTCTCTCAAAGATACCGGTCATATTGGATTAGGACCCACCCTAACGACCCCATTTTAACTTAATCATCTTTTTTTTTTCTTTTCCTTTATTGATTTTACAGAGAGAGGAAATGAGGGGAAGAGAGAGATAGAAACATCAATGAGACAGAACATCGATTGGCCGCCTCCTGCATGCCCCTCACTGGGGATCAGGCCCACAACCTGGGCATGTGTCCTGACTGGGAATCGAACCGGCGACTTCTTGGTGCATGGGTCAATGCTCAACCACTGAGCCATACTGGCCGAACCTTAATCGTCTCTTTAAATGCTCTTTCTCCAAGTGCAGTCACACTCTGAGGTCTTGGTGTGCTCTCATTCCACATGATTCAGATGTCCTTACCCTGCTAACTGGTGACACACCCACCATGTGCCCGGCCCAGGCCTGGCATGCAGGATACAGCGATGACTCAAAGTCTCTAGCCACAAGGAACACCATGTGTCCGGGTTCCTGAATTTTAACCTATTAGTCATGTTAGTGACGTTTGAAATAGTAGCTTTCGGGCAGCCTTCGCCTTGCCTGTGCTCAGGAGTGGGAGCTTGAGAAAAGGCTCTCCTGTTCTCAGCAGGTTGCGTTTCCAAGACGGGCCTGTAGTCCTCTCTCTACGGCCAGGTCAGTGTCTTGTATTTCATCTTGGCTCTACGAAGCTGCAGTAAGATTAGAGACCTAAATCTTGTTACTGGTGCTAATCCCATGGGGATTAGATACATAGAACCTCATTAAATTCCTCCTAGTATTAAAAAACAGATTGCGGTAGCTCTTAGTGAAAGAGCCCAGGGAAGGGCTCCCAGACGCTAAGGGCTTTCGGTAACTGACATCCGGTGGAGATCGATCCCAGGAGGACCCAGCACGCACCTATCAGAAGGCTGGAGCTGGGCAGACACCGTGTCCTTGCCTGTCCCTTGCCAGGGAGAGATGGCAGCTCTTCACGAAACACCCAGCAGCTTGTACGGCATCAGGCAGGGCTGGCCCTTTATCCAGATCAGACGTGTTTGCATTTAATTACACCGAGGCTCCCAAAGTGCCAACACAATTAGCTGTAATTGCTCCTCAGTAGTGTAGCAAATCTGAGGTTTGTACCTGCCCCAGTGACATCTGAACATCTGCTCTAGGTCCCAGGTAATTAGTCTCAAACCCGAGTACAGATATTTGTGTCTAAAAGGAATCAGATGGCGAGAAAGTAAGACTCTTACTAAAAACAAACCCCTGCAGTAATGTTACTTGTAAATTTGGGATACAAGGCACAGGACTTAGGCATTGAGGTTTGACGTGGTCCAGAGTTCGGCACTCCTAATTGCTCACTGTGTGAGATCGGGCCAGTCACTCATCCCTTTCAACCTGCTTCCTCGTCTGTGTGAGTCCCTAGAACACGCCTGGAACATGCATCGTCTCTGGTCCCTCCATTTAGGTGACACTGAGTGAGTGCCTGGCCCAGGGGTGCAGTGGTGAACAGGACCAAGAACAGCTTTGCTTTATGGACTTGGAAACCTAATAGAGGCTCATTCAATGTTAGAACAAAACATAAAGAAAGAAATAATTAGCCAAGAGATGAACGAAATTAGGAAAAACTCCAAAGAAATGGTGGACAATTAAAGGTTTTACTAACAATTTAAAATAAGTCCCTTGGTACCATTTCTTTTTTTCTTTTTTTCAGGAAAAACAATTATTTACTTTTTTATTTTTTTTTAAGTATAGTAAAAACTTTTTTTAAAATTATTTTTTAATTAATGTATTTTTGTTACAGATGCTTCTCCTTTTTCCCCCATTGACACCCTCCTTCCGATCAACGCGCCCCCATCCCCAGCATTGGTGTCTGTCCATTGGTTACCCACACATGCATTTAAGTTCTGTGGTTTAGCTCTTCCCTCCTCTGAGGTTCGTCAATCTGTTGGTACGTTTCTTAAGCAAACAGACACTGTCCGATCTCGAGCTGCACCAGCCACTGCTGCAGCACAGGGGAGGCTGCAGTGGACATTCTTGCAGTCATCTTTGCACACGTGTGTACAGCTTCCACACCTCTGCAGTATAAAGTCCCCAAAAGTGTAATTGCTGCACCAAAGATCTATACTTTTAAAAACAGGCACAAAATCCAAACTCTCTTTGTCGGTCTGTCTTATGCTTGTTTCTTGCCGCAGGCCTTAACTTTCCGTGTTAGGTTTTATTTTTGGTTGAGTCTGGGGTTGGGCTTTAGAAGGATGTGATGAGTTCCTTCACCCATGTATGGCCACCAGCCTGCTTCTCTTAGCAGAGCTGCTGAGACTTAACATGGCTTCCCCGGCTTCCCAAGGGCCCCCGTTGAGGTCATTCCTCCTGGGTAAACTAGGCCCAGCACCCCGCTCTGTTCATCGGTCTCCGGTGTGTGCTTCTGAACAGGCCGGCCTCCCTTGGCACGCTGTCCTTCCGTCACCAGGAGCACTTTTTCCGAACCCTACAGAGCATCCTGGCCATCCCTCTGGACTGAACTTGTTCTTTCTTCCCTCCCCACAAGAAGATCCTGTAAATAACATCCATCTGGTACTTTTCTTACCGCCATGAATCATAATACACATGGGTACAGCATCCTATCCTGTTTTGTAGTCTAAGAAGCTAATCCCAAAGGGTTTTGCTGTTGGTTTTGTTTATATCTGTGGGTGTACATACGTGTTCATGCACACTCTGAACCTCTTTTGATTTCCATGAGCATCTGGACAGATAACCTTTGAAGGAGCATCACCCATGTGTTTGATACCTGGTACCTTTCTTCATGGGCACTACTAGTGCCCTGTTTCCTTATATACTGGGGGGCAACTGGGAGCTTCTCTCCAGGTAGCCAAAGAGACCTGTCTACACACACGCACACGCATTTTTCTCTCTGTTAATATCTTGGTATCTGTGTAGTACCCTCCAGCCCACATTTTCTCCAGTCTCTGTCGCACCTGACATGATGGCCTGTCCTTACCTTTCTGCCCACAGGTTGCACCTGGGAATTTGGAGCCATGGTGAACTACATCAAGAAGACATACCCCCTGACCCAGCTGGTCGTTGTGGGCTTTAGCCTGGGTGGCAACATCGTGTGCAAATACTTGGGGGAGACGCAAGCAAACCAAGAAAATGTCCTATGCTGCGTCAGCGTGTGCCAGGGGTACAGCGCGCTGAGGTGAGCGACCCCACCTCACTTCTGTCATCCGTCGGGTCCTTCCATTAGTGCCTGTTTGTTTAGATGCCCCAGGTTACCAGACACTGCTCCGTGAAGACCGTGGGAAATGTGGCAGAGGTTTCTGGGTCGTCTGCTTCCACATCATACACAGGAGTTGTCCTGTCACACTCCTGAAGCCTGGGATTTGCAGCTGCATTTTGGGATCAGATCCGTAGTTGAATGTGCCAGAGCTCCCTATAGCTGCTGTCTCCCTTGGGAGTCTTTGTGAAAAGACTTAATCTGTTTATGCTCCAGGAGTTTCATGCAACTGTGGGTTATGAAAGGACACGGGAGATAGGCAAACCAGAGTGACAGCTGGGCCTTACGATCCCAGATTCCTCCTACCTGCGAAGACTTGTCTCAGGTGGCATCTGAAGGGATCTGTAGAGTCATGTAATCCGTGCCCTCGTCTCTCTCAGGCGTCCCAGAATCACCACAAAGGACCTGCTGGTAAAGGGTTGCCTTGCCCCTCAGTCTCCTGCTAGCAGAGCCCCACAGGGCAAGTCCTGGAGGGGAAGCTCTGAGTCTCCTCGAGACAGGTGTTACCTGGATCTCTCTCCAGTCACCACACACACCTTCCCAAACTCTCCAGATCCATTCACAGTGTTGCCTATGCTCACTCTTCATTCAAATGTCTTTTGTAGTACTAATGGGCATGACCAATTAGAAAGCGAGTCAGTAACTATTAATATCATCATCCTTATTCAATATAAAATAAGAAGTGGATCACAAAGACCCATCTGGTGAACTAGTGACTAGCTCACTTCATTAACAGTTACTTGGGGGATCGCGTTAAGAATAAATTCAGCTTCGTGGGCCCCAGCCCTGGAGATTCTGGTTCGTGAATCTGGGGCATAGGCCAGGAATCTGCATTGGGAGACATATCACCGTGGTCTCTCCAGCTCTAGCACGGCAGGACTAGGTTATAGTCCCCTGCTCCTCCTGTTGGTACCCCTCCCCTTTGCTCCCTGTTACTCTTGAGAGGGCCAGCTAAAAAGACATGTTCCTTTGTCTTGACTTGACCAAAAATATCCAACTCCAGTTCATGGCCAGCAGGTAACCAGAGTTAACCAAAGTCCCATCCTGCGCAGTCTCTGGGACAACAGGGCTCAAGGGAGCAGGGCCTGGCCTGAGGACTTTGCTCTCACCTGACACACGGGCCAGTTTTTGGCAAGCCCTCAATCATCTGTAAAATTGGAATCTCTATAGAGTCCCTTCCTGAACCAAGTGCGCGAAATTACTGTGCACACCAACTTTGTGTTCAGAGAGCCCTGGGTTTGATAAGAGAGGGTTAGGACGTTTCTTTTCATGTTTTGTTTTGTTTTGTTTTAATTTTTTTCTTTATTGATTTTAGAGAGAGAGGAAAGGAGAGGGAGAGAGAGAGAAACATCGAAGAGAGAGAACATCGATTGGCTGTCTCCTGCATGCCCCCCACTGGGGATTGGGTCCACAACCTGGGCATGTGCCCTGACCAGGAATCAAACCTGCGACCTCTTGGTGCATGGGTCGAGGCTCAACCACTGAGCCACACCCGTCGGGCTTTTCATGTTTTCAATGAACAAAATCTTAAACGACAACAGCCTTTTATCATTTTGCTGCAGTAGCGCCATCTGCTGTTGGCAAGAGCACATGATCAGCCCTTCTGATGAGCTAAGGTGTTGGAGTTAATTGAAGCTGAGGTGGTTTAAGAAGCTAAGAACATAAACTGATGGTTACCAGAGGGGAGGAAGGTGGGTGGATGAACAAAGATGGTGAAAGGGAATAAGAGTTACAAAGTTCCAGTTATAAAACAAGTCACAAGGATGTCGTGTACAGCACAGGGAATAATAGTCAGTAGTATCATAACTGTACAGTGACAGACTTATTGCAGCACTCACTTAGTAAGGTATATAAATGTCGAATAACGGTTGTACTCCTGAAACATACAATATAATATTGTACGTCGGCTGTACTTTAGTTTCTTACAAAAAGATGTAAAAGAAGAAGCCAGGAAACTAGAGTCTGAGACGTTGTACATTTTGCAGAGAGAGTCCACAGCGGCCCTCGTTGAGACCATAGTGACCTCCATACTCATGATTGCTCATTGTCACAGCACCTTCCTGCAGTGACGGGAGAAAGAGGCGCCTTTATCCTCGGGAGCACAGAGAGCTAAACCAGGGCTAAGGCCCGGTGGCCTGCACACAGGGCCTGGGGCATTTCAGGGAGACACCACTGCCCTGCGTGTGCTGGTGCTGCCCAGGGCTCAGGTCCCCTCAACATTTTAAGTTGTTTTAGGATGCTCTCTGCTGCATTGTACCTCTCCACACCCACCACCCTTTACACACTCCCATTATTTAGCCAGAAAAACGTGTGCAGGTAGGAAGCCAAACAGAGAGGGGTGAAGCAGACTTTGGTACTGGCAGGTTCTGTGAATAAGGAGAGGCCAGGGTACTGGAAGAGGGTGCTGGGAGCATCACCAACAGAGCCTGTGTCCCCGCAGAGGTTCCTCGTGTTTCCAAGGTTCCCGTACAGATGGTCTGAGTGCCGCAAAGCCCCGTTCCGCCATAGGGAGCCGGTGCTCTCTGCAAGCACCTGTCAGCGGCGAGAGCCATCTTCGCCCGCTGCCCCCGCCCCACGTCCTCTCCAGGACGCAGCCCCGTCACTCTCCTGTGGTTCTTTCAGGGCCCAGGAGACCTTCATGCAGTGGGACCAGTGCCGGCGCTTTTACAACTTCCTCATGGCCGACAACATGAAGAAGATCATCCTCTCGCACAGGTGCGTCACCTTCCACTCGGGAGACAGCCCCTTCTCAGCTCATTTTGGAGTCACTAAAAGCCAGGCCTCTTATTTCCCCAGGGCAAATAAAGGAGTGGGGGTGGTGGAGATGCTCTGCTGACTGCTTTGTGACTTGGTTAGAAACAAGCTGTTCCAAGCTCCCAAGTTCACCAGATCGCTTTCTGCTTTCATCGTTCCCAGTAAATCCAAGAGAGAGTCTGCTGCTACACCATTCTTTCCTGAGGATGGCTGTCCTCAGGCAGTCCTGAGGAGGCTGGTTATTGGCTAGGAGCCTTTATCCTTATGATGCTTTGTGTGGGGGGAGTCTGACCAAGCAGCACAGTGACAGGAGCCCAGCTCCTGGTGCAAAGTGTGGGATCAGATCTGCTCAGAATCTTCTGGTGGTTTGGCCCCTGATGAATAGCATGATTTATCATGATGGTTACTGTCTGATATCTTCTCTCCCCGCCCTCTGGCCTCTGCCATACCACTGTGCTCTTGGGAGAATGCACATCATCTTGTCCAAACCGACCCATCCTCTCAGATCCATCCCAGTTCCCTTCCTCCGTGAAGCCAGCGCCTCTAGCCCCAAGTGGGTTTTCTGTTGCTTCCCTGGTATGAATCCCGCTTCTAGGACTAAATGTTAGTGCCCTGAAGGCCTTGGGCTTGTTTTGAGTCCCAGAACCTGGCACATACTGGGCTCTCAAAAATACATTTTTAGGGTTCTTTTGGCACCACCATAGGAAAGGCAATCTGACGAAATGATCAGTTTCTTTTTTTTCAACAACTAAAAATGTGGTATTCGTAGTCCTGGCCATGCACCCAGATTGGGTTTCGTGTGGATGGGTTCACGTGGCACCTGGGCAAGGGGGCTCTCAGGCCCAGGTCCTGGTACTGGGTGGTGGAGGACAGCAGGAGACTTGTGTCCTGGGCTGGCTGGACATAACTATTTCACTCGGCCCGTGGTGTCAGAACATCAGTTCGTGCTGGGCCCTGAGTTGGGTATGGCTCAGCTGAGGTTTGGATGGGTTTGGGGATTTGGGGAGGTTCCAGAGAGGTGAACACAGGCCTCTGACACCCAGTCCAAGCCCTGGGCTCGCCTTCCCACACCTCTGGGACGGACAGCGACCCCTCCCAGGGAACACTGGATTTGCTGCAGGCCCCCGTCTTGCCACTAATTGATTAGTCCCCGAGGTCCACCATGTATGTCTTAGCAAATTGGAAGAGTCCTTTGGATGTGTTCTAAATGTATGTACATTTTTTAAAATTTACTACAGAAAGGTAAACATCTAGAAATTTCAGGAATACTTTTTTTTAATCAACATTGTACTTTTAAATGTTTCCCAGTTTTATTGATATATAACATATATAGTACTGTATAACAGGGACACTTGAAATTGTAAGTTCTACCCCATAGGTATATAATCTTCCTAATAGTCTTATGGGGCAGTGTGCGGGAGAATGCTAAAGAATTTGTTCCTCATTTGGCTAGTGTGGCTCAGTGGTTGAGCATTGACCCATGCACCAAGAGGTCACCGGTTCGATTCCTGGTCAGGGCACATGCCCAGGTTGTGGGCCCAATTCCCAATGGGGGGCATGCAGGAGGCGGCCAATCGATGTTCTTTCTCATCGATGTTTCTGTCTCTCTCTCCCTCTCACTTCCTCTCTTTCTCAATAAAGGGAAAAAAAATGTTTAATGTAAAAATAAAAAAAGAATTTGTTCCTTTTCTTTGGAAGAGGTTGTGAATGGAAACCAGAACATTTCAGTTCCATAATGACCTTTTCCCACTGAAGGGCCAAACCTCAAAGCAAGTTCAGTCTTCCTCCACCTGTGGGTTGAGAGCCCTTGCTGGGAATGGGAGTCTAAAAGGGTACATTTGACCTCTACCTTTTTTGTCACCCTAAATAGAAATGATTACCGAGTATATGTATTAGCTTTTTAGCTAACACTTTGGAGAGCCATTAATTTACCCAAATGCTAAATGGGTTAACCATTCTCCCTTGTTAAGAGACAGAAACAGCCCTGGCCGGTTTGGCTCAGTGGTTGGAGCGTCGACCTGCGGTACAGAGAGACCTGGGTTCGGTTCCCGCTAAGGGCACGTACCTCAGTTGCAGTTTGTCCCCGGCCCTGGTTGGTCGTGCAGGTGGCAGCCACTCGATGTGTCCCTTCACATCGATGTTTCTCTCTCTCTCTCTTCCTCTCTCTCCCTCCCGCTCTGTCTGAACAAAAAATGGAAAAATGTCCTCGGGTGAGGATAAAAAAAAAACAAAAACAAGAGACAGAAACACCTCATGAAAGGAAATGGAGGGGTTTTGCTGGGGGGGGGCAGCGTCACCACCAATGTAAAGACGAGGCCCCCACAGTTTGGCTGACCGCCCACCACGCACGGTGTGACTGCCCTCCCGAGATCTCCCCTGCAGTGAAGGCTTTGTAATGGTCACCTAGGCTTAGCCTCCGTCTTGAGTTTGTCTAGCTGCCCCTGAAAAGGAAATTGAGGTCTTGACATCCATCTTCCCGCAGTTACTCACAGGTCACCAGCACCAGCTCATCCTGAGACCATCTGAGGTCTGACGGCATCCGCGTCTAGCTCGCCTAGATGCTCTGTCAGCCTGCCCCCGGCCTGCCTCTGGGCAGGGAAGCAGCTCGGCTCTGGTTCTTTCTGCTTTGGAATTTTTTCAATTAAAAACTGTTTCCAGCTGTGCTGCAGTTTCGCTGACATGAAATGGGGGCTTCTGAACGTTCTGGTTTCCAGTGTGCGTGACGCTTTGTTTGGTTTCCCATTCGCATTTTATTCTGTTTGCTTTTGTGTCTCATTCTAGACAAGCTCTTTTTGGAGACCATGTGAAGAAGCCTCAGAGCCTGGAGGACTCGGACTTGAGCCGCCTCTACATGGCCACGTCCCTGATGCAGATCGATGACAACGTGATGAGGTATGTCCCCACTTGCTCAGCGACGGGCCAGGCGGGAGGCCCAGGCCAGCACTGCCCAGCACGAGGGTTTTTCTCTGCCCCCGTTAGTGTTATAACTTTCCCAAAAAAAAATAAATGTCCAATGTTTAAAATCAACAGAAGGTTTCACAGAAAATGAAAATTCTAGTTTTTCTTGGAAAATAGGAAGAGGCTCTGCCCCCTCGTTCTGCACCCCTGCGTGGCAGGACTGAGCTTGAACTGGGGCCGGAGCATCCACGCCCGAGTTGTCCACGGTCCTCTCCCCGCCTGTGTGCTCCGTGCTGGGCAGGGCTCAGGAGCCCCATAATGTGCCTTTGCAGCGAGGGAAAGGAAAAGGAAACGTTTCTTGTAGCTCTCTGCGTCTCTGTCGCAAGTGAAAATAGACCAAGAGGACTGTGCGTCATAGGAAAAATGGACAGCACCTCTTTTGGGGGCGCGAAACCCTGTCCATCTCCCTTCGTCAGCCCTTCCCTGCCCGGCCCCTCCATGCCCCTGAGGTAGAGACCCTGACAGTGCCCTCCTTCCTGGCTAGTTTCTGATTGAGGTTAGCCTTAGGCTGGGGAAGGTCAAGTTGATCTCTGACTTCATCATTCTCTTTTGAAAAAATTGCCCTTTTTATTTAATACTTTTAGGCCTGGTCTGAAGCAAGCTAACGTTCATTCGGTAGATAGGCAGGTACTGACCTGAACATACGAGATTGGTACTTGTCTTTCTTATGGAATCTTAGTCACCTTCTTATGCCAAGTAACCTTGAAAGACGCCTGTTGAGACACTAGGAAATTGCTGGTGTGTTAGGAGGCGAGAATGAATTCCACCCACCCTCGCTTGAGACAGGTGTGTCTAATGAGAAGAAAAAAACCCCAAACTTATTTTGATTTCCCATTCATCTTCTGGATTTTTTGAAGCCCAAAAGAGAATGTTCTTTAACCCTCTCTGACATTTTAGCCATTCTGACAGTGCTGGGTAGTAGCCGCTTGAATGATCTTACCAGTTTGGGCAGCCTCTTCATAAGCCTGTCACTGGTGATCCTGGAGGACTGGAGGGCTTTCTCTGTCCCCTGAGACCACAAGGGACTGATTTCAGGAAGACACATGTCCTGGAGGTGATCAGCATGTGGTCTCCTCCCTGTTGACAGGATCCCGATAATCCAGCCTGAGTTTTCTGGGTCCTTCCCAGGCAGAGGTGTGTCCACATCCTCTTGCAGGAAGAATCCACAGCTTTGGGGAGGAGAGATATCTTGAAGACCCCAGTCAGAATAGAAAAACCGGGAGCCCTATCCTGGGTCAGGAAGAACTGAGGTTTTCAGAGAGCCTCTGGCCTGCGGCTGACTCGGCCTGCTGGTATCAGACTCCTGGCCTCTCAGAGCCCAGGGCAGACCCACACTGAGGCTTTGTTCCACGTCAGTTTCTCTGTGGCTGCTGCTCCATGGCTGGGCAGAGCCGGTGGCTCTGCACCTCTTGTTCTCTTACTTAGTGCAAACTTCATTCCAGGTCAGTGCTCAGGGTTACTCTGCCAGGGCAGGTTCTGTTGTGAAGAAAGTTCTGGTAAATGCCTTTGAATTTCAATTTGTGTCTCTAGTGACATCTGGCTTTATACTGCCTCAGAAGATGTAACATCTGCCAATAATCACTATAGATAACACTTATTGAGTAATTACTCTGGGTCAGTAACCGTGCTGGTACACACTTGAATGTCATAAACCTCACAGCACCGTTAGGGAAGGTCCTGTCCTTGTCTTCGTTTTACAGAGGAGAAGTTCAGAGAGGTTGAACCCTTTCCCTAAGGTCACACAGCCAGTAAGTGGCAGGGTCACGATGTGAACCCAGATGCCAAGGCCAGTTAACCTGAACTCTGGTGCCTATATATGTTCTCCTGATGTGACCAGTTAGCACAGGAACTGGAGCTGGATTAAATCCCCTCAGCGTTCCGATCTTCTGACACGTTTTGTCCTTGTCCTCTGTGTGTGTCCCAGGAAGTTTCATGGCTACAACTCCCTGAAGGAGTATTACGAGGAAGAGAGCTGCATGCGGTACCTGCACAGGGTGAGTGACAGCACCGGCGTCAGCGCCCTCGTCCAGCCTCACGCCCGGTCACAGCTCCCTCCTCAACTTCCCTCCTCAACTTCCCCAATGGCAGCTGAGCCAGAACCTGGCTCAGACCGCTCCAGCTGTTAACTTGGGTTTCTTACTGAACCAGACCCTGTCCCTCTGTGACCTCCACGTGTTAATCCCCGTGCTGCCCCTCAGTGCAGTGCAGGACCAGTCTGCTCCCCTGTGTAAAAGCCCTTAAAACACCCATTTCCCGTTAGCCTCCTCGACAGTGTAACCCTGCCTGGTTGCTGCCGCGGCTCCTCCTGGGCGATCCGCGTAGATTTCTGACGGTCCTGGACCCTTGTTTTGGCCATCGTGTATTTTGTTAGCATAGTGCTGAGACTGAATTCAAAAGTCCTGCCATGGGCTGGTGATCACAGTAAAATAGGTGTGTTTCCGTATGGGAAGGAGGAGGAAATGTCGTTGACAAGGAGACTGGTTTATACTAAGGCAGTTTCTAGCTGCTTTAAGGAACTTGATGTGTATTAAATTTTCTGGCCAGCATAATCTCCTATGTTTTTTGCCTTAACCACTACCAACCAGTCTCTCTCATTCCATCTTTGCACAAATGTTCTTTTTACTCAAACACAGGACTTCCCATTCATCCCTGTTTATGCCTACCTGTTGCAAACTGGTAGCCCCAGCTGAAGCAGGTCCTTGTGGACGGCAGTTCAGCCGTGGGTCACGTGAGCCACCCCTCCTCGCTGACATCAGCACCCAGGCTTCTGGTGTCTTCCTTTGCACCGTTACAGAACTGTGGGGCCGCCCAGAGCCGAGGCCAGAGAACCCAGCTGAGCACAGCAGTCACACACACCCTGGCGTGGCGGTCCCCGTGCCCCAGCAGCACCGTCTGCCAGGGCTGGAGTCACAGCAGCAGCTAGCAGTCTTGTCACTGCCAGGGGACCCGGTGTCCTTAATCCACCTATTCAGCACACTGGGCATTGGCCCCCTACCCTTTGCCTCAGAGACCTGTCTGGTAGTGAATTTGAGCCTTGAATCAATGAGGTCTGCAAAAGGGAAGTGATCACTTAATTCTTTTTTTATTTTCTTGGTTCAGATTTATGTGCCTCTCATGCTGGTTAATGCAGCCGATGACCCCTTGGTACATGAAAGTCTTCTAACCATTCCAAAATCTCTTTCAGGTAAGTGTTTTTTCCTGCTGCTTCCTCAGCCACTCAGCAGACTGCCAGTTATTCTGTCCCCTTCCCCGTGCTGTCAGCTTCCCTGTGGTGCCTTATTCAGACTGGCTGACAGTCCTGGGCTGCGGTGGGGCCTGGGCAGAGTGTTGTCATGTTGTCCTGGTGCAGGAGACGGCCCATTGTCTATATCCATGGACAAGAGCCCAGTCCCCTGCTGCTCTGAGGTTGTCTCAGAGTTATGGTTCCATTAAGTCTGTGAGTTTGACTTAAAGAGATATTTATACTTAAGACTTGACCTGAAAAGCAAAAAAAAAAAACCCACCAAAAACCTCTCATGACAGTCGGCTTCTCCTTCAGCCTTGAGGATAAAAATACAAAAATACAAGCAGCTGAAAAGACAACTGTGCTCACCAGAGCATTGCCGTGTTTCCGGCCAGTGCAGGCTCACCCGCGCCAGCTAGAGGCTGAAGGGGAGATGGACGGGGCGCAGCAGGAGGGAACCCGTGGGGCTTCCCAGGACCGCACCTCCCTCCACGTCCTCTGTGGTTATGTTCCGTCATAAACATCCTGTGTGACCCGGAGGGAAGAGGGACACTGCTGGTTCTCTCAGGACCCCGAGCTAGAAGAGCCGATAGGACAGCAGAGGACCCACGCCCGGCCGCCAGAGAGCCCTGGTGCAGCACTCCGTGCATGCTGCCTGTGTGATGGGACACGGGCTCTCTCCTGTCACCCCCCTGCCCCCAGAGAGCTCTGGTGCAGCACTCCGTGCATGCTGCCTGTGCGATGGAACCAGGTCTCTCCTGTCACCCCCCCTGCCCCCAGAGAGCCCTGGTGCACCACTCCGTGCATGCTGCACGTGTGATGGGACACAGGTCTCTCCTGTCACCCCCCTGCCCCCAGAGAGCCCTGGTGCACCACTCTGTGCATGCTGCACGTGTGATGGGACACAGGTCTCGCCTGTCACCCCCCTGCCCCCAGAGAGCCCTGGTGCACCACTCCGTGCATGCTGCACGTGTGATGGGACACAGGTCTCGCCTGTCACCCCCCTGCCCCCAGAGAGCCCTGGTGCACCACTCCGTGCATGCTGCCTGTGCAATGGGACACAGGTCTCGCCTGTCACCCCCCTGCCCCCAGAGAGCCCTGGTGCACCACTCCGTGCATGCTGCACGTGTGATGGGACACAGGTCTCGCCTGTTACCCCCCTGCCCCCAGAGAGCCCTGGTGCACCACTCCGTGCATGCTGCACATGTGATGGAACACAGGTCTCTCCTGTCACCCCCTGCCCCATCAGACTCAGTCCCTGCACAGGACCGAGTTGCTCACTCAGCCACGCTGGCAGCAGACAGAAGGCAGCAACGTTGGCTTCCTTCCCTACGTCCAGCCTTAGCTCTACTGCTGTCACACAGAAACGTGTGCAGTAGTGACCGCAGGACAAGAAGATAGGGGTCAGGCCCGGAGAGAGCCCGGGGAGCCACAAGGGTGCGGGCCAGGAGGCGCCGCAGAGGCCCAGAGCAGTCAGCAAGGGACTGCTGTCAGTTATGCCCCATATGGTACCAGCTGCCCACACCGTCATGGCCTTCGCTGGCCACTTACCTAACTCATGAAGCCTAGCGCTCGTCAGTCCTCAGGATGGCCACTCCGCGTGTGCCGCGAGAGCGTGGGCACCTCCAGCACCACTGCAGCTTATGTTTCAGTCTTACAAGGTGAATGTCTAGTGAAAAGCCATCGAGTCCCGAGTTCACCTTGTTCCCCAGTGAGTAACAGTGTAAATGCTGGACTGCGGAGCCTTCCTCGGCCCCCTCCCCGCAAGCAGCCTCAGCGCCGCCGGGAACTTGGGGGCAGAGCAGAATCTCAGCTCCTTCCGCAGGCCTGGGAAAGCAGCACCTGCATTTTAAGGCGATATCCCAGGGGTTCAGATGCACAAAGTTGGGGAGCGTTTGGCTGTACAATCGAATCACTTGGGGAGCTTTAGCAGTATCAGCAGCTGGAGTCCACCCCCCCCCCCCCGAGATTCTGACGTCATTGGTCTGGGCGCTGCACAGGGATCTTTACAAACCCCACGAGTTCTCACGTGCAGCCGTGTCTGAGACCCACATAGAATCCTCAGGCTCCCGAAGCGGGTGCCTGCTGGGCCTGCCTCACAGTGTCCCTCCCACCACGGCGGACCGGCAGCCAGCAGAGGTCGGATGCCCTCCGAGGTGACCCTCCGCCTGTGGGGAAAGCCTGGGCCACCCTCGCCGACTGCTTTCGCACCTGCTGCCCTGGAGCTGACCGGGTGACAGCGACTCACACGCTGCCTTTCTCCTGCAGAGAAACGGGAGAACGTCATGTTCGTGCTGCCTCTGCACGGGGGCCACCTGGGCTTCTTCGAGGGCTCCGTGCTGTTCCCCGAGCCGCTGACGTGGATGGATAAGCTGGTGGTGGAGTACGCCGACGCCGTCTGCCAGTGGGAGCGCAGCAAGCTGCAGTGCTCCGACGCCGAGCAGGGGGAGGCGGCGCTGGAGTGAGGGCGCCCTGCCGCCCTCCCCGGGACGGGCCTCCTCGCCACCGCTTCAGGTCTCCCCTCCCTCAGTGACCTGGACCCAACCTCACACCGTCAGCGGGCCCCACACGCCTGTCTGGGTGGGCGGCTGTCCCTGGGAGCGCCAGGCTATTTTTGTGCTTAGTTACTGGTTTTCTCCATTGCATTGTTAGCCGTGGTGACAGGCGGCAGGCTGCTCACCCTCCTGTCCAGTTTCAGCATCACCATCATTGCTCTTAAGCCAATTACATCTAGTTTCCCTATGAAAACTGTGTCAGAACAGCAGTTTTGCTTTGCCGGTCAAAAGGCTTTCCCCCAAGAACAGTGAAGGATGTCTGTTATTTTGTGGTGGTCGGACGTGTCCTTGTGTAGACCTGGAAAGCGCTCACAACCTAGACCCTGCCGAGATGCAGGTCAGCTCTGGAGCCTGGGGACCTGGCCTGCCCGGCCACAGTGTGGCTTCTTACATGGCAGAAAAACTCCCTGAGTTACAAGCCAGGTTCCTCCCTCGCTGTCTCCTGGTTCCCTGCACGTGCTGGTGATGAGAGTGACCGGGGCGCTTGTCAACACTGAGCCTCCCAGGCCCCTCCCCGTGGAGAAGCTGATTCCGTGGGTCTGGGAAGGGTCTGGGGATTTTCATTTCTGACAAGTGCCCCTGGTAGTTCTCATCACCAGGCAAATTTGGGAAGGACTGTCCTGCAAGGCCTTCAATGTAGAAACATCTTGGCAGCTCGTTTTATGACGATGTGTGGTCAGAGGTGTCACCTGGCCCCAGAGCAGCTGCCCCTTGCGGCCAGCGTGATGGCCTGGACAGGACCTGAGCTGCACCGGCCCTGCTTCTCACTGACTCTAGGACCCCGGAAGTCCCTTGTACATGAGTTTCTCCACCTGTAAAATGGGGGTCTTGGACCAGGTAGATTGCTGAGATCTACTGGTCCTAAAGTTCAATGACAAGCTCACTTTGCTGAGGTTTGAGAGAACGTCCCTCCAGGGCGCCTGGAGCTGCCCTCCCAGTCTAAACATGTACCTGTCCTCCCTGCCTGCCTCCTCTGTTTCCTTTTGTTGTTGCTCCTCGTTTCATAGAAAGAAGTTTGTGGGGGTTTTGTTTTATTATTTGTAATTCTGTCTTTTAACCCAGGTCTCTCTAACTCTGGTTTTTGATACCAAACAGTTCAAAAGTTGGACCTGAGTTGGGAGAAAGCTCTTTCCAAGTGAAGCGGGTGTTGTTTCGAAAGCAGTTTTTCAATTTAATAGCCTGTTGCAGCCTGTCGGAGAGTCTTTCCAAAGGGTGTCTTCTCAAATGAAAACGTCACTCTAAGTTTCAAGTACTTCTTTCCTCCAGTCCTGTAGTACTTGACTATCTAAAAACCCTGCACTTTGAAAAATCAGCAGTCGCTATGCAGAACTGAATGGGACCATGCGCAAAGCTGCCTAGATGCTTCAGAACTGTTCTGTTTCATCTCCTTTGCTCCGGGGCAGACAGGAGTGGGAAAAGAGGGTCTGTGTCGTCGTTCAGGGCGTCGAGGGAGGCACTGGGGCTTGGATGCCAACCCTTACGGCCACAGGTGGATGTGGGGTGGATGTTGACCCCAGTGGCTCCGACAGTAACGTCTGTCCCCTGGAGAGATCATTTGCTGACAATCGCTAGATCGTCCTAACAAATAGCATCAATGACAGCCATTCTCTGCAAAGATTAGGATGTCTGTGATCTGAACTTTGCTTTGGTTTATACTTACACCAAATTCGTTGTCACGACTTTTCCCTCAAGTAGCTGTTCCATGTTCCAGCACAAGGGGCACTGTCTTCTCCCTCAGCTGGAAAGCTAGTCCTCCCGTCACTTGCCCGACAGCCACCGCTGTGTTCTAGGAGACCCGCGGTCATATTCCCCACAGCTCCCTTCATTTCTTAAGCCTTTTTGTGGAATTGGGTAAACGAAGCAATAACTTCATGGATTTGTATGACCATCCCAGGAAGCAAGAGGCTTCTTCTCATTTGCCTCGGGTCATCTCGAGAGAGAAAGTGGTGGCCGGCTACCACCTTTGTTCAGGAGGAAAAAGACAGTCCTGTTGCCACACTCCAGGGTGCAGGGGACAGAAGTCCTTGGAGCCTGGTGTGCAGGGCAGAAAGACCCAGGTGTCCCATGGGGGAGAGGCAGGGTTTGGGGCATCTCCTTTCACCCCCCTCCAGACTGCGAGGGCTGTGTCCCAGCTGAAATCTTCCTAGCGTGGGACCCTGAACGGTACTTACATGCCACTGAAGCCCTTTGTTCAGAGTCAGGCTGGCCGGCATGGAAGCGAGAGTGGGTCTGTGGTGTCTTAGGACGCTCTTGTTCGTCCCTGAATGAGCGCACAGAGGCGTTGAATCCACAGAGCTGCAAGCTTGCTCGTAAACAAGGAGGCGGCATTGTATATGTAGGTCAGCTTCTTCCTCCCTGTAGCTTCCCGTGGCTTCTCTCCCTCCAGTCATTCATTCCTGATGCCTGTGCGAGTGCTCGTAGGGTCCTGCCTGGGCTGAAGCCAGGCCGGGTTGTCAGAGGGCATTTGATGCTCTTCTTTTAAAATCAGATTAAGGATATGAGTTGCATCGACCTAGATGGTTCTGTTGCTGGAATAACACGTTCAAAACCAAGAAGGGGGGAGGCACCCACATTCCTCCTGGTTGTACTCTGCCTCCTAAACAATTTGAAAACATTGATGAGTAACTGATTCGAGTCAAATTAGGATTTTCTGAAAAATGGTGTTTGGTCTCCTTGATGCATTTATGTTAGAGGACGTCTAACAGGCTGGAAGAAAACCTCCCAGCTCCCTGCTGTGAGTGACCCCAGCAGCCTGGAGCAGACAGTGGGGTAGAATCGTTATACTCGTTCACCTCTCTGCATGTCACACGTGCAGGGACCCCTGTGGCAGAGCAGATGAGGGGAGATGTACCCACCCGGAAGGGAGCACATTCCCTCCTTGGCATGGTGTTATGGAGGCAGGTCCAGGAGCCCTGGTCCTTGTCCTGTCCCTGTTCACACTGGATGGGGGCAGCTGCTTCACCTCCCTGAGCCCCAGGGACCCTAGACCATCTCTAAAACCACTTCATCTGTGCACACATCTCCCAGACATTCCCACGGCCTCGCGAGCTCGTGCGTGTAGAAGGGCTACGTCGAGGCCCCCCTCACCCGAGGGCCTTGGAGAGGGAGCTACTGCCTTAGGCTTTGCGGGTGAAGACCCTGATCTTGCCCTTGCTCCGTGTCCCCTGGCTTCCCTTCGGCGTCTCCGCCCTCACCTGTGCCCTTGCTATTGCAAGGCCGGTCGTGTGACTGGGCCAGGTGTACTGCTGGAGCGAGGCAGATGCCCCCTCCTGTGCCCCGGGCAGAGCATCGAGAGCTCCCGGGCAGAACGCCTTCCAGCCCGGCTTCCTCCTCCAGCTGCTGTCTTCATGAAGCCGACCTCTCCGGTGCCGCTGTGCGCATGAGAGTGCTCTTTGTCCCCGTGTGACTGGAGATCGCTTTGCCAGCTCCGGGGAGATAATGCGTGTGTTCTTGTTTGTGTTTGCCAGGCAAGCAGATGTCTGAGATGTGAGAGGCTTCTCTTGTCCTGTGGCATCGATTCTGACTTAGAGCCCAAGTAAGGAGCACGGAAACACACTGAGCTGAAGGCGCCGTCAGGTCCTTGTCCTTTAGAGCGGACAGCAGAGCTCCGGGAGGCACTCCCCTGCAGCGCCCGCTCACAGTGTCATCGGGAATCACTTTCTTTGACCAGAAAGCCTTAACTAAACATCCCCTGGTATCACCACTCTACCGTGGCATGAGAATTCACACTCTCCTGCTGAGGAAGTTTGAAGTGTGAAGCCACAAGCAAAACCAGAGAATCTCTTCCTGTGGCCTGTATGCGTGTTATGTCGGGCACCCCCACCCCTCAGCCAGGAGGGACCCGGAGCCTGCGAACCCTTCATCTCTACACCTTTCTTCCTCGCGGCCTCACTTGCTCAGAGCCACTCTGGGTCACTTGGCTGCTGCCAACAGCTGAGAAAGTGGCCTGCCCGGGGCACGTAGAGGCCCCGCTATGGAGAGAAAGGTTTGCTTCTACCTCTGTCATCTAAGCAGAAGGAAGTACCCCCTCCTCGTAGAGTAGGATTAGTTTTGCCAAATTGCACTTGAGGCTGAGGGAGGGGAAGTGGCCCAGCCGGCAGAGGGACCAGAGTGCTCCCAGAGAACTGCTGCCGCCTCTTGCCTGTCGCTGCTGTCGCTGCCGCCGCAGCTGGGCACCCTCGGAGCAGGCGCGGGCCCAGCCCCAGCCTTCTCGGCTTCCAGGCAGCACACAGCTGCCCCCTTGGAAGAGTTAGCCCCTCACCCCGTGTTTTCTGAGTTGTTTTTCCTGGCATGTGTGTGGGTATCTCTAATGAATAAAATGACATTAATTTCCAACTGGTAGATTAAGCCTTTCAACTCAACTCCTTTGTAAATTAGCAACGAAATCGATATTCTACGTTCTCCCCTCCCTGGTCCCCATAGCCAAGAAAATCTATTGCCATAGTTGGGGGCAGTCCACTCACAGCACCTGCAGAAATACCCTTCATCTCAACGGGCATTCTCCTTCCAGACCACCCACACTGAGCAGCCAGCTGTCCCCTAGGACGACTGCTGTCCGAGTGGGCGGGCCAGGTTCCTGGTGTAGAGGTAGGTCCGTCGGGTTTGGGTTTGGCCTCTAGTTTCCCTAAAGCACAAGTCCGTGTGGAACCCGTCACCTCTGCACACCAGTTCCAGGCGAGCTGGGCCTCCCGCTGCCTCAGGAAGACCTTCACTGTACCTGAGCTTCTGACTCCTGCCACTGCAGCTGCCTTAGTGACCCGGGGGGGAGGGGGAGCCCGCGGGCGTCTCCCCTTTCCTGCGTAGACTCCCGGCAGCCACGTCCTTCTCTGGCAGACCCGCTTCCAGACTGGTTTTTGAGAACCATCACTTTCACATTCCTGATTTCCATTTTGTTTCATTTTGTTCGGGTTTTCTGAAACTTAACATGCTGCCCCGAAAATAATGTAGTTCTGAGTTTGCGTTCCAAAAGCCTCCGTGCTGTGGATGTGGGGGAGAAACACGGGGTCCTCCAGCACTGAGGTGTTTAAGACTTGCAACTAGCAATGCAACTTTTCTAAACATGAGGATATTTACCTTTATTAAGAACTTATAAACAGTGGTGTCCTTGATCATTTTATGTTCCCTTATTACTTTTGGTCCCATTTTGATTCTGTGTGGTGGTAAACAAAGATCATTACAAATAAAAGCTGTAATTTTGTTATCTTTGATCCAATGGAATTTCTTTACTTAAAAAAATAAAACACTAAAAATGTGGCGTGGCTGCGTGTTTTTATGCAGTGGGGCTTGTTCTCGAAACGGGTTCTCACCGTGTCTCCGCCGAAGCGTGGGCTCGGAGGAAACGGGCCCAACACCAGGTTCTCGTGAGGATGGACTAACCCAGCCTCGCAAACAGACACCGGGGAGAGGACCCACCCGCAGGCATCTCTACAGGCCCGTGGCTCCTGTCGAGAAAGCCAGAGCTGGAGGTAAGCGAGAAGCCAGCATGGCGATCTATAAAGCGAACCACGCAGGGGAGATGCAGATGGCCGTCGCCATGGGCGGTTCGTATGCTTCCCAGTGGTGTTCTTTGAACAGACCGGGTGAACGTCACCTGCACTGAATGATGTTGGGTTGGTTGAGTGATGGCGGTGGTCTCTTCTTGATGTCTGTCTGCATCCAAGCTCAGTCTCCCAGGGCCGGGCCCCGGCCCCGCCCGGAGCATCCTCCAGGCTCCCTACCCCAGGCTCCGTGTCAACCACCTAAGAATGCCCAATATCACACGTCCAAGCGCATCCCCCTCTGGTACGGAGCTTCTCCCGACTTCGAATCCCTCACGAAATAGCAGACTCTTTGGATCCAAGAAAACCTATGTGCTGAGGATACTGCCTATCAGAGGTACCACGCGGAAGACATTTCAGGTCCAGGGTGTTGGGGGGGGGGTGCCAGCAGCTTGCCAACGTGGTCGGCTCACGCTGTGCCTCTCAAGGATTGGCTCTCGGTGACATTCATCTGCAATCACTCTATGGTCCCGATGGACTAATATCGTTATCATACCTTTTGCTAGCGGCCCCTCAGCCGTAGTCCTGTAGGGAGTACTTGCCAAACACCTACCTGGATGGCCCCCTGCAGGTATGACAGCCCCCCTCTTTTCTCTCCCGGGTATCCCCCCTTCCCCAGAGGGCGGTACCTGTCTGGTTGGAAGACATCCCAGGCACATTGACCTGGAACTGCCGAATCTCTCTCCTTTCTGCTAGGGGCTGTGTGTGCCAGAGGTTTTTGTTTCACACTTTCTACCTCTTTGGAGTTATCCCAGCGTCTCTACCGGAGGCTGTTTGGTTTGTCCCTTTATCTAATGAGGTTGGCGAAACTGACCTGGATTAAGCGGTGTTTCCATTTCATTGTTCTCTGCCCCTCCTACCTGTGCCTCCTCTAGCCTCGGAGGTAGATGGACGTTCGAGACAAAGCCTGAGTAGTTAACAGCTAAAGGGACCTGGAGTCAGAGTTGCTGGGTTAGGGTCCCACCCTGGCCACTTCCTAGTTCTTTAGCCTGAGCAGGATTTAACCTTGAGGTTTTCTGTTTCTCTTTTCTTTTTTACCTGTAAGATGGGGGAAATTATAGTATGAATGCCTATCTCTGGATCTTGAGAGATTCTTTATCACTAGCAAGCTCCCAGGTGGGCAGACATCACCTTCCCGGGACCAGCACTGCCGAGGGTCCTCAACACCAGCACCACACCGAGCACTGGAAGTGGGATAAAAATGGCCGGTGTGGCTCAGTGGTTCAGTGTCGACCCTGCACCAAGAGGTCGCCGGTTCGATTCCCGGTCAGGGCACATGCCCAGGTTGTGGGCCCAATCCCCAGTGGGGGGCGTGCAGGAGGCAGCCAGTCGATGTTTCTCTCTCTCTCCTCGCCACTTTCTCTCTAAAATCAATAAACAAAATAAAATGGTCCTATTTACCCCATAAGTAACTCGTCAGCTCTTTTCCTGGCTGGCTTAAGGCCTGGGCATCCCTCTTCCGGGAGGACTTGGCCAGGTCACCCTCCAGCATCCCTCTGAGCAGTAACCACTCTCGTCAGAGGCTCTCTGAAGCGGGGGGCCCATTTCCCTACCGAGACCTCCACCCACACCTGAACCAGTTGCCCCCATCTACTAACCCTGTCTCCCAGGGGTCCGCACGGGGCTGGCAGAAATGCATCATTACAACGTCCCAGCCCTCGCTCTGTTCAAATCACCTGAACGTGGCAGAATTCCTGCCTCTTCCCAGGTGTCTCCAGAAAGGAGGCTATTCTGGGCAGCACATGGTTGTCACTGAAGTCAAGTTTTGTTGTCCTCCGCCCTGTATTGGATGACTTCCAAAATAATATTTTACTGTCCCTCTTCCTCTCTTTTGAATGTGGTGACGGTGGCCGCTTGTAGGAACCCAGCGTGTAGGCAGCTGAGATTTCATGAGGCTGAGCGGGTCAGGTTTAACATTGACATACGTCATCTTGGGACACTTTCAAAGGCAGCACCACCTTCCTTCCAGGGCCCAGCCTGGCCCAGCCTGCCCACTTCCTTTCCTGCTGTTTGTCTGAGTGTGGAGGGGCAGTACCCAGGCATGGCCAGCAGGGGGCGGTGCCAGCCCACAGTCAGCAAACGCATTGGGTCCCAGCCCCATAGCTCTGCTTCAGAAAGCCCCAGGTCCTTCTTGTCAGACTCCTGCCTTCTTAGCTCGAGATGTTCCAGGAGTTCCCTCAGGAGGAAGCTGTTGAGTCCCCCCCCTGCCTTTTTTTTTTTTAATTCTCACCTGAGGATATTTTTTTCCATTAATTTTTAGAGAGAGTGGAAGGGTATGGGGGAGAAGGAAGGGGGAGAGAGAGATTGATGTGAGAGAGGCACATCGATTCATTGCTTACCGACCGCACCCCCACTGGGGCTGGGGATCGAACCTGTAACCCAGGTACATGCCCCTGATGGGGAATCAAACCCGCAACCCTCTGGTGCATAGACCAATGCTCTACCCACTGAGCCAGACCAGCCGGGGCTAGTTCCACTCTTTTTAGGCTTGAATACTAGCGTGCCATTAAGATTTGACTGGGAAAAGCGGAGCTTCAACTTTCAAAGGGTTTGAAGAAATCCTCAGTGCTCAGACACCCACAAAACTTTGCTACGATTCCTCCCTCGGCTCCACAGTCCTATGCAAATATCATTTCCGACCATGGACTGTTGACTGTGACTGTTACAAAGACGGGAGTAGCTTGGGAGGTGAGCGTCCACTGGAAACCCTAGAGATGAAAGGAAGGACGTAAGGAATCAATGCACGTTAACACCCCTGCGTCCAGGTCCACAGCCACGCTGGGAAAGAAGAAGGAGAAGCTCCCACGGGAGTGAAAGCAGAAGGCATTGGATTGAGCCCACAGGTGGGTGCAGCCCCAAGGGTGCTTCGTGCCCATAAGAAGTGGGGTGATCCCCCTAAGCAAGAGCAGGGAAGCCTTGGCATGATTACTGGGGTACCTCAGTGGGAGCAGCCGGCCAGTTGACACCCTCCCACCACCACCAGCCACACGGGAACGAGCGTCTGCATCCAGGTGGGATCTTGGGGGTGCTCCTGAGCTCCGTGCCCAGAAGCAGCCAGACCTTCCCCACGAGGGAGCAGCAATCAGAGGCCTCGCATCACACCGCGAGTCTGAGACGAGCATGAGCACGCTCAAAAATCACCAAACACTGAGGCACGCCAACTCCACATTTGTCACACTGTGCAGAGCTGGGGAGTAGACGTCTGTCCCTGCAAAGTGCCTGAGACTGAAGGTCAAGAAGACCTTTCACCAGATCACCTGAGGGGTGAGTGCTGAGAAAACACCATCTGTAAGAGTATCCGGGAGGCAAGGGGTCTGGAGGGACCCCACAGACAGAAGGAGGGGGCCACACGTGACCATCACCGCATGCACCAGACTGCACCTTACTGAGGGCACCAGGCCACCCCAAAAGGGAACTGCTGCAGGGCTGCCTCCACCCTGGAATTAATTCCATGTGGAAAACCCCTCACCGCCCATTGGCTGCCAAGGTTACGGTGCCCACCGGCTCATTTGTACTTATATCCCCCTCCTTGTCTGTTTTCACAGACTCGAAGTAGCAGAACCCTGTTACGAAGGAAATCGTTAAGAAAATCAGAGTCTTTGAAACAACTGCACACAAATTACTACCCCAGCGCTTCCAAGTCAGTAGGAATGGAACTGTTCCCCATTCTTGTTCAAGCGAATTCCCTCTGCTTTATTGCCCCGAACTAGGAGGAGGGTGACACCTGAGGTCACCCAAGCTTAGGGAGGGCCAGGGGACCCACAGGCAGCCCTTTTCCCAGCCTTCTGGGTGCAGGACACTGAGGAGAGGCCCAGGGATGCCAACTACGGGGCCGGCTGGCCAGAGCTGCCCTCAGAAGGCAGTGGTCTGGGCTTGGGCCCGGGGGCCAAAGAGCTGCTCAGCAACAACCTTGCCGTCATACTTGGGCAGTGTGCCCCCAAAGTCGGTGGGCAGGATGTCCTTGTCGATCTCCTGGAAGAAGCCGGAGAGGTCATCTCCATGGACAAAGACCTGTAGGAGGAAAGAGACAGAGCTGAGCAGGGAGGTGCCCTATGATGAGGGGTGGAGGGGAGGACAAAGACAGTGTGCCATCTCTGCCTGGGGACATCCTTCTCCACAATCCTTGTTGTGCTGTCTGTGGGGTCCACTCAGTTCAGGACGACAGGAAGAAGCCGAGGAGAGCTCAGGCGGGGTCCCCTTGTCCCCCCACCCTCATCCCTCTTGTCCCATGAAGCCTCTCCTGCTACAGCCCCGCCCACTCTGCCCCCCAGCCCGTCATGAGCCCGTGGCTGCGGGGCCAGGCACTCACCCTCTGGAGCAGCTTGCTCTTCAGGAAGGGCCTCACCACGTTGTAGGTCGTGGTGAAGTACCACGGCTGGTGGATGAAGTGGATGGCTTTGAACCGGGCTGGGAAGGAATCCTGTGGTGACAGAGAGCGTCCCACCCCGCAGCCCCGTCCTCAGCGGTTCCTCTTACTCCCCCACTGCCTCTCACCGTGGCCCGAGGACAGCCCCAGGCCACCAGCTGGGGACCCCTGGCTTCACTGTGGCTCCAAACTGCAAGAAGAAGCCGCAGAGGCCATCGGGCCCAACGTCCTCCCCGCTGCTGCCTAAAACCGTGTGCTGCGGGGGAGAAGGGGTGAAGCGGGAGCCCTGCTTGGTGTTTAGGGGACTGAGTTTGTCACACCCGCCTGCCTGCTGAGTGGACCACAGGGATGCCGCTGTCATGCTCACAGTCCTTCAACCCATCCCCGCCTTCCTTCCCAGGGACACAAACAGACTGAGAAAGGACCCCGACACACAGGGGTGAGTGTCAGGGGTTAGCAGGTCAATTCACGTTCAGACAAATCCGGACAGAGAATGGGATTTCAGGTCAGAAGGGGTAAGTTCAAGTCCAGCCTCTGCCACTTCAGAGTTTTGTGACCTTGAGAAATCACACAGATCTCTGAGCCTCGTTTTCCAGGTTTTGGTTTTAAAAAACTTTTTTTTTTAATTGATTTTAGAGAGAGAGGAAGGGAGAGGGATAGTTAGAAACATCGGTGAGAGAGAACATCGAATGGCCACCTCCTGCACGCCCCCTACTGGGGATTTGGCCCACAACCTGGGCATATGCCCTGACCAGGAATCGAACCGGTGACCTCTTGTGCATGGGTTGATGCTCAACCACTGAGCCACACCGGCCAGGCAATGTTGCAGGTTTTTTAGAATGAAGCAGGGGCGCAGCGAGAGACTGCTCTCTCAGGTGAATGAGTGAATGAATGAGTGAATGAATGAATGGATGGATGGTAATACTTGGTACACTGTCAATCATCATGCGAGTGTCTGTGTTTCTCATTGCTCTTTGCGGCGCCAGGTGGTCATATTCTCAGGTCCCTGCCAGTAACATCAACCAGGACGCTGGGCCCAACCTCCCAGCCTCCCACCCGGTCATCAGCTGCAGGGCACAGTTCCGAGGCCTCACCTGGAGCATGTCCACCATCTTCCTGAGATCCACAGCCCGAAGCCCAGCGGCCTGCTGCATGGTGAAGCCCTTGAAGTTCTCAACGATGCAGAAGCCGTTAATTTGGGTTTCCTCGTTCTCCAGTAGCTTCTCCAGGATGAAACAATATGCCTGCAAGATCTTGGCACAGAGTGAACAGGCTGAGAGCCCCACCTACAGGCCAAGGTCCTGAGGGGAGAGCTAACTGGTCCCTTACCGGAGGTAACGCATCACAGGCTTAGAGCTGGGACACTCCTCTGTGAATGTATCCCAACAAAATAACCTTGAATGGCACGGCCACGGTTAGATGCCAGAGTGTCTATCCTTGCACCATTAAAATGTCCAACTTATTTTTTTTTTTATCGTCACCTGAGGACATTTTTCCATTTTTTTTGTTCAGATAGAGTGGGAGGGAGGGAGGGAGAGAGAGAGAAACATTGACATGAAAGGGACACATCGAGTGGTTGCCACCCGCACGACCCAACCAGAGCTGGGAGCAAACTGCAACCAAAGTACGTGCCCTTAGTGGGAACCGAACCCGGGTCTCTCTGGACCGCAGGCCAATGCTCTAACTGCTGAGTCAAACCGGCCAGGGCAAAAATATCCAACTTATTAACAGACTGGTGAAATTATGGTACATTCATGCCATAGAATATTCTGGAGCAGTTAAAAATATATATAAGACTAATGATACAGGAAATGTGCATTCATAGTATATTATTATAAGGTATGACCCCATTTTCACAAGAAAAAAATGTGTGTGTGCATACATGTATGTGTGTGCATATGTGCATGTAAGTGTGTTTGTAGATTTCCAGAAAAAAATAGATTGGAAGGATGTCGGTGGTAGAATTGTGGTTAATTTTAAATTTGTGACACTTTTAGTATTTCTAAAATGAGTAGCTAATCACTTATATAATAGGAAAAATATTTGTAAGTTTCTTAACATATATATACGTTATATCATGTATATATCTATATGTATATGTGTATTTATATATATCCCCCCCAAAAATATATATATATAAAATATATATGCCCTGCCCTAAAGCCAGTATCTTATTTAGTTGAAAATAACACTAAATTTTAAACATTATTATTGTCCCTAATAAGATCAGGATGTTGACTATATCCACCACCATTTAACTCTTGTTAGAAGTCCAGCCAATACAATCAACTTTCTTTTAAAAAATCAGGGGCATAAGAAGTAGAAAAGAAAAAGCAACCTTCTCTATTTACAGATAATATGAAAGTAATCTTGGAAAACCCAAGAGAATCAATCATCAAGCCAACATAAAAAGACTCAGCAAAATACCAAGCCATAAAATTAACATAAAAAGCAATAATCATATGGAAACAATAACCAATTAGAAGACATAATGAAAGAGAAAGCCCCGTTTACAGGAACAACGATACAATAAATACTTAAGACAAGCTTAATGAGAGGTGTGCAAAACATTTAGGAGGAAAGGGCCCCGAAGGGGCAAAGGCAGGTCTGTAAGAGAGAAGGAATCCTTGTTTGTGGCTGGAACTGGGTGTGGACGAATTACCATGTATAAAGAGCCTAATTCTTCCCGGTGTGTTGCATTTAATGTCATCATAATGTAACTCCTAACATTTCTCCCGGAGCTAAAGAAGTTAAATCTAAAGCTCATGGGAAGGTCAACATACAAGCACAGCTAGAAAAGCCCAGAAGGTGAGAAGCAGGAAGGACAGACAAGCCCTCACAGAAATGAGACATTCTTTTTTTCTTTGTTTCTTTATTGATTTCAGAGAGAGAGGAAGGGAGAGGGAGAGAGAGAGAAACATCGATGAGAGAGAACACTGATCGGCCGCCTCCTGCGTGCCCCCCACTGGAGATCGGGCCCACAACCTGGGCATGTGCCCTGATCGGGAATTGAACCAGCAACCTCTTGGTGCCTGGGTCGATGCTCAACCACTGAGCCACACTGGTCGGGTGAGACATTCTATACAATCTGTGTAATTAAAACAGTGTGCTCTTGGAGCAAGAATAGACAGAGACCGATGGAACAGAATAGAAAGTCCAGAATTAGACCCAAGGACACAGGAAAATACAGAATATGATAAAGATGGCATCTCAAGTCACTGGGGGGAAAGTGGACATTTAAATAAATGTGGTTGGGACAACTAGACATCATATTCTAAAATGAGTTTGTGTTGCCCTGGCCGATTTGGCTCAGCAGTTAGAGCATCAGCCCGCGCACCAGAGAGACCCGGGTTCAGTTCCTGCTAAGGGCACGTACCTCGGTTGAGGTTCGTCCCCGGCCCCTGTTGGAGTCGTGTGGGTGGCAACCAGTCGACATGTCGATGTTTCTCTCTCTCTCTTCCTCCCTCTCTCCCTCCTGCTCTATCTGAAAATAACTGCAAAAAAAATGTCCTTGGATGAGGATGAGGATAAAAAATAAAAAAATTAAAATAAATAAAATGAGTTGGTGTCTTTTTTTTTCGGGCTTGATGGCATAAGCCAGAGTTCTCCTGAGACCAACTGAATTCCCGTTTAGAATGAGCTTTTGAAGGGCTTGACCAGTGACGTCGCCTACATATAAATGTGAAGAAATCAAGCTGCTAAATTGGTTGGAACCTGTTCTTTGCAGAAACTCTCCCAGTTCTCCCCATTCTGTTGGTAGCTCTCAGCTCTCAGCATCTGGCAGGGCTGACCCCAGCTCGTGGCCCACAGCTGCCACCCCTTCTTGGCGGGGACACCACGTGTTGGCCAGTGAGCCCTGCCTGCAAAGCTGCTGGGCTTTCCAGCTGCCCCGGCACACCCCAGGAATTCTGCGCCCGCCCGGAGGGCCTGGGGGCATCGGCTGCTTGCCTCCCCCTCTAGACCTCCGCCCTGGGGAACCAGGGCTGAGAACCCTGCAGTGCTGGGGGCGGGAACCCTGCCCCGAAGGTGGGAGGGAGCCAGGTGAGCCCCCCGCTGACCTCGTCAAAGGTGATTTCTCCATAGTCCCAGTTCTCGATGTTGAAGAGCATGACCACTCGGCCATACTTGTCGCGACTGGAGAGGACACCAGGGTAGCCGGCCTCGATGGTGCAGCGGACCGCCTCCAGAGACAGGCTGTCGAAGAGCTCGGGGTGCTGCAGCCGGAAATGCACGTAGCCTGTCGCAGGGAGGACAGAGGAGCACCCTCAGGGAGCCAGCCCATCCTGGGTGGGGATCCAGAGGCCTGTGCATGACCAAGCAGGACACTCCCTCTCTAGGAGAACTGTCGGTCATCAAACGAGATTCTAGGCGTGAACATCATGTGTAAACTGCCCACACAGGAGGTGTGACCCTAAATCTGAGGATGACTATTACTGGGTCTTTCTCTCGCCCATGGGCAGAGGCACAGGTTTCTCAGGGGGACACAGGTGAGCTGAGTGGGGGTTGGGGGAAGACAAACTTCAAACCCAAGCAGGACACAGTGGCCCTTCCAGATGGAGCACCCCATCCTTGCCTGTCCTGGACAGGCCCCCGCCTCTCTGTGGCTGTCCCCACCACCAAACTCTGGGGGGACCAGGCCCAAGGAGGTGTTGGGGAGCCTCTGCCCAGAGAATTCCTCTGGCCCCCTGAGAAGCTCCCGCACAGCCCCATCACTCAGCCTTGGTCCTACTGCTAGACACATTTCCTTTGGGTTTTTCTTCAAAAAGTCCCACTGTGCCCTGGCCAGTTTGGCTCAGCGGTTAGTGTTGGCCCACAGACCACAGGGTCTTGGGTTGGATTCCCGGCCAAGGGCACATACCTGGGTTGCAGGTTCAATCCCTGGCCCCGGTTGGGGTCATGCAGGAGGCAACCAGTTGATGTGTCTCTCTCACATCAATGTTTCTCTTTCTTTCTCTCCCTCTCCCTCCCTTCCACTCTATCTAAAAATTCATGGAAAAATATCCTCGGATGAGGGCTAACCAAAAAAAAATTCCCATTGTTCTAGGGCCTTCCACTTTACCTAAAACTTCAACCCCTCAATGTATTATCTCCGCCTCCTCTATTTTCTTTCGGTATCTCTTCTTCCTATCGAACACTGCATATTTTTATCTAGTTTATTTCCACCACTAGAATATAAGGTGCACAAGGGCAACAGTTCTTGTCTGCATTGTTCTCGGCTGCACCCTGTGGCCGAGACCAGCAGATGGCACACGTGGCGGTGAATGTGCCTGCTTAGTGCCTGCTCGGACACCACGGGCCACCAGCACCCAGGACTTGATTTCCGGAGGAAACCTGTCTGCATCCAGCCAGCAGGGACAGTCTTCTTCCTGGCACCATCTTCACGATGGTTCCACTTTCTGCATGAGCTTCGGGTACCTGCGGGGAGCCAGGCACCCTGTACCCACCTTCCCTGCAGAGCTCCAGAGCCAAAACTTGACTTGGGGTGGGGGTGGGGGTGGAGGCAGGGGACTCCTCCCCTCCTTGTACATCCAATTTGGGTGACTCAGTTCTACTCATTGAGTCCTAAGACTACGAGAGAGGAGAGGAGCTAGATCTCTAGTACTCTGGCCCTGCCCCACTCATTCATTCATTCATTCATTCATTCACTCATTCATTGTCAGAGCTGAGGGGGATCTCGCTGGCCCACCTTAGAGCTAAGGATAGGAAGGCTCAGAGCCTTGATGAAGGGGAGGGAAGTGGAGGGGTCGGTCTCCTTGGTGGCTGCTGCGTGAGAGTCAACATCAGCCTCATAACCTCCTCCCCACAGTCTTCCCAAGACTTTCCCCTGCAGGGCCTCACCTCTGAGCAGCTCATAGGCGCGCCCCACGTTGAACTTCCGCGCGCGGATGAAGCGCAGAAAGAAAGCGCTGTCCCTCCCCTGCGCCTTCTCGGCCACAGCGCGGGCCAGCTCCTGCCCAGATGCCGCCTGCACCCGCACCAGCTCCTGCAGCTGCCGTACCACCTCCTCCCGAGTCTCCTCCCTCTCGTTCAGCTCGTCCTTGGCCTGGAACAGAGTCGGGTGGAAGCAGGAAGTCACAGGTGGATGCAGTTCGGGTATGACACACGCACACAGGCTGAGAGACCTTGGAGGGGTCTCAGCTGGGCCACCGCTGCTCCGCCCACCGGGCAGCGCCTCCATCGGCCAGTTGTATTTGGAGAACATCAGGTCCAACTGCTCATCCTGGGTTGTTTGCAGGAGACAGCCAAAGGTCTGAATGATTCTCACTCTAACAGCCTGCACTTACTGGAGCCCTTGGTTCGCTCCCTGCCTGGTCCTTTAAACCTTGGCCACGACCCATCACAATAAGGTTGATACTCTCCCCATTTCTCAGGATGAGCAGACTGAGGTTTGTAGAGTGACGAGGTTCTTGCCCAAGTTCAGCCAGATAGAAAGGAGTGGAGTTGAGGTTGAAAGTCCTACTCAGGCTGGACTTTGAATCACTTTGCTGATTCCCAGACTTAATTCTGATCTTTTATAAAACAAAGGTACCCAGCAGATGGCAGCCTGCCCCCTACCCCCTGCCCCCCAAGCCTCACATTGCTCCCCTAGGCTGGGGCTGGAGAACCCAGCTTGTCTCAAGTTGATCTCTCCTTGCACAGCATGAGGACAGAAGGCAGAGGAGGGGGAGTCAGGTCTGGGGGAAGCTCAGAGCGTCTTTCCCTTGAGATGCTCAGGGAAGCAGACATAGAAGCCAAGAGCCCAGCTCAGTCAGCTCAGCCCCCAAACAGCCCTGCCAATCTCCATCATCTGATCATCTGATAATCAGAGCGCAGTCTGATCATCTCTGGGTTGGTCCAACAACTTTTCTTCGTCGCTTCAGAAGGCAAGACCCAGAGAGGGAAACAGTCTGCACAAGGTCACACAGCACGTTGGAAGTAGTTCTGATTCTCGAACTCAGGCCTCTTTCCTATCCAGTGGCAGCAGCCATTGGGCCCCTGTCCCCCAGGGCCACTTGCAAACCAACATTCTTAATATCAGAGTCTGGGATGATCCCTGGTCAGAGGCCCAGGTCCCGGCATTGGTTTCTGGGAGCCCTGTTGGTGCTATAGTCTTGGATTAGGCTGGCCCGGATGTCTCAGGCCAGTTGCTGCCATGGCGCCGACCTCCAGGAGGGCCCCTAGAACAGGCCAGGCCATTAGGTTCAGGATGACATTGAGAGCTGGGCTGGTCCCTTTGTACAGGAGAGAGGAGGCTGTCGACATTCCCACCTTGTTGCCTCCCTAGCCTGGCCCTCCCTGCACCCTAGGCCCCCTCACCTTCTGCAAAGTGTGGGGGGGCAGCTCACTGCAGCGGCCAAAGACAGGCCCGTGGTCCTTCGTCGTGAGCCGCTCCAGCTGGGCGCGGAGCTCCCGTTCCTCCTCAGGGACCACGCGGAAGGAGCCCGCCTGGGCAGAGAGGGGTCAGGAAAAAACAGTGACAGGTTCCCATCAGCCTGAGCGAGCCAAGCAAAGGGCTTTTGCCCAAGGCTGCTGCTAAGCCTCCTCCCTTTGGGTGGGCTCCAGGATCCCTGAGAGGTTGTGGGGCGAATGCCTGTCACTGTGGGTAGATCAGATCTGGAGAAGCAGGGAGTGGGAGAGGGAAGGGGGGAAGGTGGATGGAGGGGAGCCCCAGGGTGCAGGGGTACTCACCCCCTCTGACATGCTGCCTCTGGAAGATGGAGTCCTGGTCCTCGGAAGAAGGAGGGCCCACTTCCTCTGTCCTCTGCAGGTGGCCTCTTCCCTAGGAGAGGGAGGCAGGGCGGCAGTGGATGGAGAAGCTGCTGATACTGTCTCAGAACAGCGGAGCTCAGACTTCCGCGTGCACCCGTCACCTGGGGCGTGTGGTGGAAATGCAGACTCCTGGGCCCCATGCCCTGCGACTCTGACTCAGGAGGTCTGAGCAGGGGCCCTGGAGTCCGTGCTCGCTCACTCTCTCTCTCTCTCTTTATTATTTACTTTATTGATTTTACAGAGAGAGGAAGTGAAGGGGGGAGAGAGATAGAAACATCCATGAGAGCCCTGGTCAGTTTGGCTCAGTGGTTAGAGTGTCGACCTGCGGTCCAGAGAGACCCGGGTTTGGTTCCTGCTAAGGGCATGTACCTCGGTTGCTGTTTGTCCCTAGCCCTGGTTGGGTCGTGTGGGTGGCAGCCACTCGATGTGTCCCTTTCATGTCAATGTTTCTCTCTCTCTCTCCCTCCCACTCTATCTGAACAAAAAATGGAAAAATGTCCTCGGGTGAGGATATAAATCTTAAAAAAAAAAAAACATCGATGAGAGAGAACATCAACTGGCCGCCTCCTGCATGCCCCCCACTTGGCATCGGGCCCACAACCTGGGCATGTGCCCTGACTGGGAATCAAACCGGCAACCTCCTGGTGCTGGGTCTACGCTCAACCACCGAGCCACACCGGCCGGGCTAGCTACATAATCTTTATACTTGGTACATGTCCTGTGCTTTGTGATACAAAAGTATTTTTAAATCCGGTACTCAGAGCTGGGCTGGCATTATTATTTCCATCCCACATAGGAGGAAACAGGCCAGGAGAATAAGTGACCTGTCCAACGTCACACCGCCAGAAATAGCCAGGGATCAGGAGCCCACGCTGTGACTCTGTCGGCACCCAGAGGCAGCCCGTGTGGCATACAGGGACCTGGATTCGAATTCTGTCTCTTCCACCTACAAGCTGTGTGATTGAACCTGAGTCAGGGTTGTCCCCTGTAAAAGGGAGACGGAAGGGTTGTGAAGGTTAGTTAAATAGTGTACACAGAGGCAGTGCTGGCCACCAGAACGAATCTCGAATCTCGCCCATTACCCACATGTCACCTTGCTCACCCACTGAGTCTGGGGAGACAGCTTTCTGTTTCCAGATATTCTCCTCTCCCACCTAAACATCCCCAGGGCCTTCAGAACCCATCACCACCCTGCTCCTGCCTGTGACCAGGAGCCCGTTGGTCATTTCTGTTACCTAGTCACTGTTTGTAAGTGGCGAGGCGGGACTTGACTTGTTATCTGTCTGACACCAAGACTGCTTTGACACCTAGGGCCAAGCCATTCCCAGGCAAAACCCCTAGGGAGAGCTGGTGTCACCGAAAACCCTTCAGGGTCAGAGACTCTGGGATTTGAGTCAGGCTGTGTCATTTACCACCTGTGTGACCTTAGGCAGGTTATTTAACCTTTCTGAGCCTCGGTTTCCTCATTTGCAAATTGGGGATCAGAACCGTACCTGCCAAAAAAAGAGTCGTGATGACGATCACAGGATTTCCGTAAGGGACCCAGCACAGTGTTCCCCCTTCCTCTCTCAGCATCATCCTGATCATTACCCCAACTGGACAGAGGGACTTGGGGGGGTCCTAGGGAATATCTGAGGGTGTCCCCTTTCCTGCCTCTCACTCTGCAGCCCCAGACAGGGCAGGGACGTTCTCAGGGCTGTAACCCACCCACAGGAACCAAATTTAAGCCCTCTCTCTGGCAGGTAGACCTGCAAATACGTGGAATGGAGACAGAGAGTCTGGAGTACTCCGTGCTCTCTCTAGGGTCTTGCTGGAACAGGAATGGAGAGGCTGGTAGAACTACCTGGAGCTCAGACAGCGCAGAATGCTTGAGAAGCCAGATCAGAGGACAAGGTCCTAGATCTGAGAGAGAGAGGGTTACAGTGAGAACAGGAACGCTTTTCAAAATAGGCCCAATCTATTAACTTGGATTTTTTTTTTTTAAAGTACTGATTTCTGACTTGTATTCAGTGAAAACATACCCACCCCTGTCTCCACGTCCCTGCTCTCTGGGGTTGCCAGAAGGCTCAATTACATGTGAATTTCAGATGAAGGGCAAATGCTTTTTAAATATAAGTATAGTCCAAACCTTGCATGGGGCATACTTATGCTTCAAGAGGATTTGCTGTTCGTCTGAAATGCGTGTTTAAATTCACATTTATTTGCTAAATCTGCCCCCCGATTGGTCTGGTTCATCCTGGAAAGTAGCCAGATGGTTTCAGTGTTACTGGTGTCTGGGATGTGCCCCCCTACACCCCGACTCTTCACCATAGTCCAGGACTCCCCGGCCCAACTGGACCCCGGTACTGACTTACCTGCCAGGTCCGCGGCTACTCCTTGGAGACACCTGGTGCCTGTGTCCTCTGAGGGCCCTGGAGGTGGCCTCCGAGGGGGGCGTGGTCTAGTCAGCAGGCTGGGATTAGTGTGTCACAAGGAACTTCTCAGAGGCCAAGGTTTTCTGTTAAATCAGGCTCACAGGAGGCCCAGATGGGGGCAAGCAAAGGGGGGTGAGGGGATCATTCCGGGCCTGGCTGGAGTGGCCGCAAAGCTCTCCTTTGTGTGGTCCGCTCAGAGCTCCTGATCAGTCACATGGAAGCCGGGTTTGGGAGGTGGGATCCAAGCCAGCCCTAGTTCCTCATCCCGTGGGGGCTCTAGGAGATCACAGCCAGAGGAAGAGATGCAGGAGGCACAGAGAAAGTTTAAATGTGACTGCTGATGCAACGGCGGCAGCTGCGGTGAACCCAGACCTGTCACCCTGTCCCCTAGCTCAGCAGGGCCTGGCGCGGTAGTTGTCACCTCCACAGTGGGCGGGGCCAGTGGGGGAAATGTAGCTGGTTAGGCTGAGTGGGGGAGGGGACAAGACAGACCGACCCACCTTCTAGGCAATTTAGTGAGGTGGTAGGATCCAGACGGCCCACTTTTTAAAAATTCTTCTTCTTCTTGCCCTGGCCAGTTTGGCTCAGCGGTTAAAGCGTCGGCCTGCGGTTCGGAGAGACCCGGGTTCGGTTCCCGCTAAGGGCATGTACTTCGGTTGCACTTTCTCCCCGGCCCTGGTTGGTTGTGCGGGTGGCAGCCACTCGATGTGTCCCTTCACGTCGATGTTTCTCTCTCTCTCTCCCTTCCTCTCTCTCCCTCCCACTCTATCTGTACAAAAAATGGAAAAATATCCTCGGGTGAGGATAAAAAAAAAAAAAAAAAAAAAAAAAAAAATTCTTCTTCTTCTTTTTTAAATCTTCACCCAAACAATTTTTTTTCCCCATTTATCTTCAGATAGAGTTTGGGGAGAGAGAGAGAGAGAGGAGTATCAGTGTGAGAGAGACACATCGATTGGTTGCCTCCCGCACGACCCCGACCAGGGCTGGGGACCAAACCACAACCCAGGTACGTGCCCTTGACCAGAACCGAACCTGCGACTCTTTGGTCTTTGGGCCGACGCTCTAACTGCTGAGCCATAAAAACTCCAGCTCCAGCCCTTCCAGCTATGAGAAGTGACTTTACCAGTGGCTCAGTTTCCTCCTTCGAGAAGTGGGGACAATCAGAGGACAAGGCTCATGGCTTCCGTGAGGGTGAAATGCACTCAAGTGCTCAGCACAGTGTCTGACACTTAGTAAGTGTGAGTGCATGTAAGTGTGGGCATTCAGGGCAAATACAGAATCAACAGGCATCTGGGTGGAGGGGACTCATACTCCCCACTCTGCAGCCCCTCAGTAGCTGGCCCCTCAGTTTCTGCTTTGCTCTTCCACCAGGTGGGTGGCTGGGCATCGCTTTAGAAGATTCTTTCTCCAGCATTCCAAGGTCAGGGAGCTCCCTGTTTCCACTACTAGACAATCCTCCTTGTTTTAAAACTCACCCTTGGCCGGAGCCTCAACCACCTTTAATAATGTCACCCTCAGTCCTGGTTGTGCCTCCTGGAGGTGCCGGGGCAGGGCTAAGTTCTGTGCACGGGAAATTCTCCAGAATCCGTCCCCAAAAAGCTTTTTGGTTTTCCCCAGAAACTGCTTTTGCTTTTCAACCTCTTCCTACTTGGGTAGGTTTGGGATCTCTTCATCCTCCTGTGCCTTCTCCAGACACCCTGGGGCTTGTGAGAGTTACTGAAGGACCGTGTCCTGGGGCCAGTATGTGACTCCCACCTGCCTCTCCGAACCCTTCAGAGCAGGCTCAGACGCCTGGGGTTGGATCTCAGAGCGGAGCTGAGTGACCTTGAGCCTTTGCTTGCCCTTCCCTGGGCTCCTGCAGTGGCTGCTGTTGGCTGTGGGGCTGTTTCCCTCCCAGGTCCTCCCTGGAGCTGGGGAAACCCTCATTTCCAACACTCTGCTCCCTGCCAGTCTAGGCCCGCACTGTCCAATACAGAAGCCGCTAGCCACATGTAGCAACTTCAGGACTTGAAATGGGGTAATGCGACCAAAGAACTGAACCGCACATTTTATTTCATTGGAATCAACTTCCATTTAAACTCTGACACTGGATTCAGTTATTGGACAACTTTTAAGTATGTTTGGAATAACGGAGGTGTGTGATTCTACTTTGTCCACTGTAAATTTTGTGATAAAGTATGTCTGATGAAAATTGAGAGTCCAACATGAGATATGCTATAAATATCAACTACCTACTGGATTTTGAAGACTTAGTACGAAGTGAAGAGTGTAACATTTCTCATTAATGATTTTTTAAAAAATATTTTTCCTTAATTGATTTTTAGAGAGAGAAAGGGAGAGAGAGATAGAAACATCAATGAGAGAACATTAATTGGCCACCTCCTGCATGCCCCCCACTGGGGATCAGGCCCACAACCTGGGCATGTGCCCTGGCTGGGAATCGAACTGGCGACCTCTTGGTGCATGGGTTGACGCTCAACCACTGAGCCACACTGGCCGGGCTCATTAATGATTTTAATATGGCTTAATGTTCTGCAATGAAAATAGTCTGGATGTTTTGGGATAAAAATATATTAACATTGCCCTGGCCGGTTTGGCTCAGTGGTTGGAGCGTTGGCCTGCGGACCAGAGAGTCCCGGGTTTGGTTCCCGCTAGGGGCATATACCAAAAGAAATATAATAAAATAATTAAAAAAAAAAAATATATATATATATTAACATTAATTCCACACATTTCTTTTTACTTTTTTTGGACATGGCTATTAGAAAATGTACATTTTTCCAATTTTAGTTTAACTTTAGTGGCTCCTATTCTAATGGACAGGGCTGGTCCAAACCTTGCTCTTCCTCCACGTGTGGCCCATGGACCAAGGGCATCAGAACCAGCTGGGAGCTGGTTAGAGATACACAGTCTGAGGCCCTTCCCAGAGAGGTTGCATCAGCATCTGCCGTTTAACAGGCCCTCATGCGATTCCTGTGCATATAAATATTTATTTATTTTTATCCTCACCTGAGGACATTTTTGCATTTATCTTCAGATAGAGTGGGAGGGAGGGAGGGAGGAAGAGAGAGAGAGAAACATTGATGTGAGAGAGACACATCGACTGGCTGCCACCCACATGACCCCAACCGGGGCTGGGGACAAACTACAACCAAGGTACGTGCCCTTCGCGGGAACCGAACCCAGGACTCTGGTCTGTGGGCTGACACCAGAGAGAGGGGGACAGAGAGGGAGGGTCTCCTGACCTGATTCCAGGCCTGGCACTGCCTACGACATCCACTGACCTTCTCAGGCCTCAGCTGCTATACCTTTAAGATGGTGTTATGGGCTTAATGGTGTCCCCCAACTTCATATATTAAAGTCCTATCCCCTAGTACCTCAGAATGGGACTGTATTTGGAGACAGAGACTTTAAAGGTAAATTACCTTAGTTTGGGTCACCAGGCCGGCCCTAATCCAATGTGCCTGGTGTCCTTGTACAGAGGTGCCGCACAGATGCCCAGAGGGGAGATGGGGTGAAGACACAGGAAGAAGACGCCGTCTGCAGGCCGAGGAGAGAAGTCTCAGAAGGAGGCAGCCTTGCCTTGATCTTGGACTTCTGGCTGCAGAATTGTGAGAAAATGAGTTTTCGTTGTTTAAGCCACTCAGTCGGTAGTATTTTGTATGGCAGCTTTAGCAAACTAATAGAGTTGGGATATCAGATCCCCCCCCCCCCGGGTATTTCACAGGGAGATCATCGGGAGGGGGGTGAGATCTCAGGCTGCCCCATGGGAAGGACCCATAGAGGCTCCAGAACAGTCTCCATCAAAGCTGGGTGATGGACTCCGTCCTAAAGAACATGCCTGTGGTCCAGCCAGTGTGGCTCAGTGGCTGAGCGTCGACCCATGCACCAGGAGGTTGCTGGTTCGATTCCCGATTGGGACACGTGCCCAGGTTGTGGGCCTGATCCCCAGTGGGGGGCATGTTGGAGGCGGCCAGTAGATGTTCTCTCTCATCGATGTTTCTGTCTCTCTCATCCTCTCATTTTTCTCTCTCTGTAAAATAAATAAAGGGAGGAAAAAAGAAGAACATTACTGTGCACCAAGAACACTTTGAGGTAATGGCACCGCCCTGACCCGAGGGGGCCACATAGAGCCTTTCAGGATGCTGACAGGCACGAGGCCCTTTTTAGGGAGCAGAGCTTTCTTTGGCATTATCTGCTCTTCACATCCCTTCTCCGGCCTCCGCCCTGTCCTCCCCCGCTCCCAAGAGTCACATTCCTGTTCGGCTCCCCTGGCTGGAACAATAGTACCACTGTGAGAGGAGAGACGCTGCCCTCCTTGGCCCGGACACCTGCACTGGCCACACCGGCTGACAACCGCGGGCTCCCAGGCTCTCTCTGCCCGGCCTCAGGCGGGGATGGAGGGGCCCACATTGCCGTTCCCCCTTTCTGTACTGTGGCAGGGCCTTATCAGCGTTCTCTCTTCTAGTCCTTCCAGATGCGAGGCAGAGAGTGTAACCCCCCTTTTTACAGAATACGGAACTGAGCTCAAAGCAACACGGCTGGTAAGGAGTGGAGACCCGGTCCCTTTCAAACCATCTCATCATTCAGTACACAAGGCTGCCCTGTCCTCTAGAAGTGAGAGCCACACAGGCGTGACTGCCCAGGGACTTCACAGCTGCCCCCACCAAGGTGACATCACCTTCCTGGGAGCAGCCGTAGGGGGAACCTAGTCACTGCCTTTGGCTAGTAATAGTTCTCCCAGACCAGGGAGGCCCTTAAGAAATGCCTGGGCCTCAACCCCTCCTTTGAAAAATGGGAAAACTCAGGTCTGGGGCTGACCCGCAGGGCTGGCGGCCACCTCACTCCAGAAGCTGCAGTTCCTCCAAGAGGCAGGCCCATTCCACAGAGGAGGGTCTGCCCTGGGGCAGTGCAGGGTGGAGGGTGCTAGAGATTCAAGGCAGAACAATAAAATCCATCAGTATGCTTGTTCAAAGAGTGTGTGCAAATTAAGTAGGTTGAACAAGATGGGGGAAAAGAAATGGGTGCTCTTCCTGGGAACTTGGCTTGAATTCCCCACCACCAAAGAAAGAGATGGAAGCAGTTGCTATGGACTGAATGTTTGTGTCCTCCCCAAATTCATATGTGGAAACCCTAACCTCCATGTGATGGGAGGTAGGGCTTTGGGGAGGTAATTCGATTTAGATGAGGTTATGAGGGTGGGGCCCTTGGGATGGGGTTAGTGCCCCATATAAGAAAAGGAAGAGAAACCAAACCTCTTTCTCCACCTGAAAACTCTGAAAAAGGCCTTGTGAGAGCCCCGCGAGGAGGCAGCCATCTGCCAGCCAGGTCTCAGAGGGGTCTCACCAGAACCTGACCATCTGGCCCCCTGCTCTCATACTTCCAGCCTCCTAAACCGTGAGAAAATAAGTGTCTGAGGTTTAAACCACCGGGTCAATGGTATTTGTTATGGGGGTGTTTATAGGTGAGTGAAAGGGTTAGTAACATTTTGAAGGGTAAAGGTAAAAATTTGCAAAAGGCAGAAATTGTGAAAATTGTGTTGCTTGCATGACCTTTGCTCAGCCTTCTGTTGAATACGGATAAGGATTATCTGGATTTTCCGCAAGACCATGGATAACCGTGCAGATGTCGGAGGAGATACCAGGCCAGTCTTACCGCAAAGTGGACAATGGGCCAGACAAAGTACATCAGCAGGAACTGCCGGAAGCTAAAAGTAGAGTCTATAACCGACACCCCAACCCTGATTCGAGGCTGAACCCTTTTTGGCTCAGCCCACCTGCACCCAGGCGCAGGCAATAGAGCCATTTTGCTCTATATTGGCCTTGTGTTGTGGATGTGATCTCCCGCCGGCTCAGACCTTTTGGTGGGAAGCTGTAGAAAGGGAGAGATTAAAGACTGAGGTCAGAGTGGGGTAAGTGACAGTAAGGTCCTCGCTGAGAAGATGGAAGAGGGTGGGACTCGGTGTTACAGTAGAGGTACCAGGCTTGGCCTGCAAAGTTGAACATCATCCTATTGCTCCGGGAGCTGAAGGAAAGAACTGGGGCTGAGGACGTTGGGAAAGCTGAGGTCATCTGCTGAGAGTTAAGGATGAGATGGAAAATTCTGAAATAATCCTCCTGAAGAAACGAATAGACAATAGGCTCTCTGCCCTCCCCTGCATCGCTCTTTGCTCTACTGTACATATTTAACAAATGTTTACTGAGCATTTACTGCTTTGCCAAGCTGTGCACTAAATGCGGGGATTTCTCACCGGAAACCCAGGGCCCCGTGTAGCTTACATATGAAGACTTACTGGCACCTCCAGGGGCACAGGAGGTAGGACACCTGCCTCTGCCTTCCAGACCTTTCCAAATGCAAAGACCTGCGGAACCATCACTTGATTCGTCCCCTCTCTGCATGACTCTAGAAGGGCTTAATCAATCAAGTCATCGCGCCGGGCACGCCTGGCCCACACTGCGCATGCTCGCTCTGCGGTCCGGAATTCGAGTTCTAAGGCCGCGCCTCCCCCCTGACTGTGAGTGGGAACGTCCGAGGACTCCAGACGGTTCCCCCGCCCTTTCTGCCTTAATGGTACAGCCCACCGCGAGCGCCCGGCGGCGGAAGTGAGCTGCGGGGGGCGGGGCCTGTCGTTCCGGGTGGCGGAAGTGCGGGGGCGTGCAGTTGAGCGGGAATTTTGGAACTCGGCGGCGGAGCCCAGGTAACCGGGCAGGCGTGCTTCGCGCGCGGCCGGGGCGGTGGGGTTCAGCTCCGGGGAGGAGGGAGCGGGTCTGTGCGGACGGGAGGGTCCTGTTCCGCGGTGGCCTGGGAGGTCGAGGTGCGCCGCCGTCTCGCGCTGCGTCCCGGGGCTTTCGCGGTTCCCTCCCCCCCGGGGCGTGTGACCCTTCGGCCCTCGCGTTCAGCTCTTCTGACCTTCGAGGTTGAGCGTCCACGTCCGAGAAAGGTCCCTAAACCCTCGTACAGGCTTCTGTCGCCGCCCCCCGAATTGCCCACTCCCCTCCTGGCCGCTGCTGCTTGCGCGGTGATGCCCGATCCGGTTTCCTGAAATGCTGTCTCCACCTTGTCGGTTGCTCTCTGGCTCCAAAAATGTTTCTGGCTCTCTATTATTTGCAGAATAAAATCCGAATTCCTCAAACTGGCATTTAAAATCTTGCACAGTGTATTCCCTGCCTATCTTGCTTAGCCTCCCGACTCCCTCCCCTCCTTGAACTCGCTACTAATTTTCCAGAAAGAAGTTTTTCCGTTTCCCATATAAATGCTTTTGTTGATAATACTCTCCTTCCCAATAATGGGTAATGAGCACCATCTGTTTATCTCGACGATCTAAATTTAGTCTATAAGTTCCAGTTTCTGCTTTCCTCTGCTTGGAGGATTTGAACACATATATTTATTTAGCCTTGATAACATCTCATTTTGGTTTTTTTTTTAGTCCTCACCCAGGACATTTTTCCATTTTTTATTCAGGTAGAGCGGGAGGGAGAGAGAGGAAGAGAGAAACATCGATGTGAAAGGGACACATCGAGTGGCCACCACCCACATGACCCAACCAGGGCCGGGGACAAACTGCAGCCAAGGTACATGCCCTTAGCGGAAACCGAACCCGGGTCTCTCCGGACCGCAGGCCGACGCTCTAACCGCTGAGCCAAACTGGCCAGGGCATCTCATTTGTTTTTCTACCCTACATTTAATTGGCCTTCTCATTAACAGTGCTGTTTATTATTTTTTTAATCAAATATTACGTTATGCTTATAATACCTGTTTTTGTCTGTATACTTATATATTTGATATACGGTTAAAGAACAGCTTTGTTCTAGGCAGTGTCCTGGGTAAGATGCTAAACTATATATAAAAATGTGGGCCAAATTATGAATCCACTTGATTAGAATAAAAGTTTCTAATAAGGGACTTCCAGGGAATTCTTGAGATGATTTTGTTTGGATACTAGTTAGTAGTCCTTAGCCTGTTGAATACCCACTGTGTATGTAGTCCATAATATCTGTGAAGTTCTCAGTTAACAGGTAGGGAAGTGGGGAAAAAAGATCTTGTTTACTTCTGGAAGTTTCATCGGCTGTGAATCCTTGCCTTTCAGTGTCCTGATATGCGCAATAATGGACCAGAAAATTCTGTCCTTAGCAGCCGAAAAGACAGCAGACAAACTGCAGAAGTTTCTTCAGACCCTGAAAGAAGATGATGTGAGTACTTCGAAGGATGTTCTGCTAAAAGCAGGTGTCAAGCAAGACGATAAATTCAAAAGACATGTTAGAATAATTATTCTGCCACTTCATCTACTCTCCACTATCCTTAGGAGACAAGGGTTTATGTGATAACAGCTCATAGATATAAAGAAATGAGGAAGAGAAATGGACAGCTGAAGGGCATTTGTGTGCATTTATACAACTATGGAACATTGAAATATTTATGCAACTGTATGTACATGAGCGAATTAGTATACTTTTGTGGTTCTTAGGACAATCCTATTTGAAGACGATATCCAGACTGCAGTTACTGAGGCATTAGATTTATCCACTGGTGCCCCCTCCCTTCCTCCCTCCTTCCCTCCTTTCCTTCCTTACTTCCTTCCTTTTCCCTAAAGAAGATAAATTCATAAGCAGTAAAATATTTTGAAATTATTGGAGAATACCACCATGTCTTCACTGTAGTTATGATTATAAACTAGGACAATAATTGCCTTATGTTAGCCTGTTTGTTGTTCCTTTCTTAATCTTCTTACTCTCCCGATCTACTCTCCCTATAATTATTAATATCAGCTTATTCAAATCCCTGCGTGGAGAAGAATCCCTCCTTAAGAGTAAGCTACTCTAGCTGAAATTGTCTCCCTTTCCTCGGTTATTGCCTATGTCAGCCTTCGATTTGTTTCCTTTACACACTTTTGTTCTGATTTTTTTTTTCTGTCACCCTTTCCCCGCCTGCTCTGTTGTGAACTCTTTGATTCACATGATCCTGTCCATCTGGTTCATCCTTGTATCCCTAGCGCCCAGGAAAAAGAACATGTTCAAAATGGTTGTTACATATATCTCCCCAGAAACACAGCTCAATATCTAGTGCTGATTAGGAATGCCATACATGAGTAAATTTCAGTCTTGACAGCCCAGCATAATGTAAAGATCTACCCTGGTCTAGCTAAATAAATGTGTTATTTCTAATCCTTGGAGTCTCTGAAAGATACGAACCTGACAGATGGGTATTTTTCATATTGGGAGGTTAGGTCATTGTGGTAAAGAAATTGTTGCCAGAGACGTGTAGTTTTCTCTCTCTTTGATCGCAGCTAGCTAATCTCCTTCAGCATCAGGCAGTGAAAGGAAAAGCTGTTGGAACACTCCTGAGAGCCATCTTCAAAGGTAACAGTAATTAATGCTTTTCTGTCTCCCTTGATTCATCGATAGAGTTGTTTACTTTTGGCACATAGTGCTATTTTTCTTACTGTTTGCAGCCCCACTGAGACTTTGCTGTGTTTGGCAGATTTTACAGAATCATCCTAAGCAGCAGTCTCTTGTCTTGTGGGCTTAGGTCATTTTACTGAAGGAGGTTGAAGTGGCTGCCTGAGATTGTATTGCTTATGGGGGCCTGTGAAGGATGCATTTCATAAAATCAGCTTTGGTTTACTTGTGCTTTTAAAATTACGGAGAAGAGAATAGCAAAATTTAGCATCTAATCTGCTTAAGGGGAGAGGAGTTCTGGGGTTTAATAAAATGGAATATAGAGATTCTTAATCCCCAGTGGGACATATTTGTTTCCATATCTTGAAAAGGGGCCAGTTCAACATTTGTGCAGATTGTGACTCAGACTGATTTCAAAAATTGTGCTGGAATGACATTCTGCACGGCAAATTGAACTGTGGCTCTCACTCCTAGCAGGGTATTTTAACTTGGCTTCGTTTTCTTCCCCCCTCAAGTAAATTGAATCTCTGCTGCAAGGATCTAAAAACACAGCTTCCTGTTCATGACAAAGAGCTTTCAACCACTCATCTACTTCTGTCTCTGTTCTGGATATTTCGCATAAATGGAATCATGCAATATGTGGTCCTTTGTGACTGGCTCCTTTAACTTGCTGGGTCACCAAAATTCATCCATGCTGTCGACTGTATCCGTATTTCATTTCTTCTTATTGCCAAATAATATTTTATTCTAGCCCTCCTAACGACTAGGTTTTGATTTGCATTTCCCTGATGGTTGACAATGTTGAGCATTTTTTCATGTGCTTACCGGCTGTTTCTATATCTTTGGAGAAATGTCTATTCAGATCCTTTGCCCTTTTAAAAATTGGGTTATCTTTTTATTATTGAATTGTAATCGTTAGTCCCATATTCTAGATACAGGTCTCCTCTTAAGTACATGGTTTGCAAAAAAATTTTCCCGTTCTGGATTGTCTTTTCACTGTTTTGAAGCACAAAGTTTTTTATTTTTTAAAATATTTTTATTGCTTTTTAGAGAGAGGAAGGGAGAGGGAGAGAGAAACATCCATGTGAGAGCACAACATTGATTGTCCTTCTCCTGCATGTCTCCCCCTGGGGATGGAGCCCGCAACCCAGGCACGTGCCCTGACCGGGAACTGAACTGGCAACCTTTTGGTGCCCAGTATGATGCCCAGCTGACTGAGCCACAGCGGCTAGGGCCAAAAGTTTTTAATTTCGATGTCCAGTTTATTTTTTGTAGCTTGTACTTTTGGAGTTATACCTAGAAAATCATTGCTTAATCCAAAGACGTGAAGATTTACACCTGTGTTTTTATTTCAAAGCTTTATAGCCTTGGCTTTTACATTTATTGATTCATTTTGAGTTAATTTTTGTCTACGGTGTGAGCTATTCATCCAATTTGATCTCTCCTCATTTTCAGTAGCACCCTTACTGAAAATGAATTGCCTGCAATGTGAGGGTTTATTTCTGGACTTTCAGTTCTGTTCCGTTGATCTGTTTGTGTCTCCTAATGTCATTACCACACCATCGTGATCAGTAAAGTTGTGTAGTAAGTTTTAAAATCAGGACATGTGAGTTCTTCAACTTTGTTTTTCTTTTTTAGAATTGTTTTGGATATTCTGGATTCCTTGTGTTTTCATATGCATTTTAAGATCAGTTTGTCAGTTTCTACACAAATGGAAACTAGGGTTTTGGTAGAGAGAGTGTTGAATCTGTATGAATCTGAGAAGTACCGCTATCCTAATACGTCTTCCACTGTGTGAACATGGAGTGTCTTTTCATTTGCTTAATTCCTCTTTCATCTCAGTGTTGTTTTATAGTTTTCAAAGTACAAGTCTTACACTCCTTTTATTAAATTCGTTTCTAAGTATTTTATTCTATTTGATGCTATTGCAAATGGTTGTAAATACAGTTGTTTTCCCTGTGTGGTTAGCCTTGTAGTCAACTAATGATTGGGAAAGAATTCCTTAAGTGCCAGGAACCAGTGAGTGTCGAAGCCTTTGCTGAGGGGCCCCATGCAGGTCAGTAGCATACCTTCAGTGATCAGGCAGGTGGTTTATAACTCTTCCTTATCCTTTTGCTTGTGCAGAGCCTCAAGGTCAGATAAAGGTGAAAGCTTAGTGTCTTTGTGTCTTGCGTGGCCATACAGAGAGCCCAGTCCGTACGCCCTAAATATCTGCATGGCTTTCTACATTCCCCGGAATATGCCAACGTTTCAAATGCCCCATCCACATATTCTCCAGGATTTCCTTTTTAATTTTTCGGTCAGCTTGTTGCTTGCCCAACTGTTATTGCTGCCTGAAGGCAGCTAAAATATTAATCATTCGCAACTGATTTAGTCAAATGCCCTGGGTTAAAAGGCTGTTTGCACCGGGCAGGTTCTAAGTCAGAGACTAGCCTTGCTAGTGAAACTTACAGGGAGCAGCCAGACAGGTCAGATGATGGCAGTTATCTGGGAACCGGGCTTTGGAGGAGCTCCCGCCATGCCCTTCCCCTCAGAGGCTGCTGGCTTTCACCGTGACTGTGGGGCTATTGGCCTTTAAAGATTACCAGGCTGGTGGAGGGCAGGGGGATGGGACGAGGGAATGTTAAAATGCCAAGCTCAATATTCTCACTAAGATGCTGCTGTTTTTCTTAAGTACTCCCTGGATGGTTAGAAGCCTCTGGTTCATTTCCAGAGTTCTGAACAAGTTGGTTTTCACTACTTTCGTCAGTGTTCTCTTTTTGCTTTTCTGGAGGGAAGGATTTTCAGAGATCTTCATGACTCTGCCATTCCTGCTGACATCACCCAGCAGTGACATTCTGAAGTATGTCAAAGACATTTAATTTGGGTTATGGACCCAAAAAAGGGTCTTCTTCCACCTGAGGCCGGTGGAAGAAGAAAAGATGGCATTTTCAGCCAGCTGCCCAAATTGCTTTTTCAAAACTAAACATTTCTGTTCTAAACACCATAGTGATCAGTCTTTTGATCCTTCTGTTTCTGTGTTAAACTACAAAGCGGTATTTTTTTTTTTTCTGTTTATTAACCCTTCCACCTTCTAAGACTTTTTTCATTTCAACACCTTTTGAAACAATAAGGTTCCCCCTGCTGTGAGGAAGCTGGAGCTCTTAGGAGACTTAACATCTACACCTGTTGCATCCAGTTGGTGGAATCGGGAGACCTGCAGAAAGAAGTGGCATCTGAAATCATAGGATTGCTGATGCTGGAGGTACGGTGGAAAACAGACTCTTTTGGCTTTGGGTGGATTCCGGGGCGGGGGAGGTGTTAATTTGTTGATGTGCCAGACTTAACATAGGTTATATTTATTGATAGGAACTATTAAAGGACAAAATAGTTGATGGATGGGCCATAAACAGCCTAGATGTTTCTGTTAATTTCTGGTGTCATGGACATGCATCTCTTTGAAGAGGTGGTGTATTTGAAGACATCAGGGAACTAGCTGGTGAAGGGTTCTGACCTTTGAAACCCTTTATACGTTTGTACCAGAGCAGAGCGGTGCCCTGAATCCCTTATAAGACCAGTTCTGGTGTCATTGCAGTTCTGTTAATTCAGCAAAAGACTCTAGTTTTTTGAAAGCAATAACACACATACAGATTTCTGCATAATATTTTCTTTATCCCATGAACTTTTAGGCCCACAGTTTCCCAGGACCATTATTGGTTAAATTAGCCAATGAGTTTGTTGGTGCAATCAAAGAGGGCAGCCTAATGAATGGAAAATCTCTGGAGTTATTGCCCATCATTCTCACTGCCCTTGTTACCAAAAAGGAAACTCTGGCTTATGGAAAAGGTAATTTTCTTCCGATTTAAGTGGCCTTTTTCTACTCACGTAATCAACTTTATTTCTCAGTGTATTTTGCTTTTCTAGATGAACTGAGTGGGGAAGAATGTAAGAAGCAGTTGATTACCACCCTCTGTTCTGGCAGGTGCGTCTTTCTCATTAAAGGGAGAACTTTCTCACGACTACAAGTGTCAAGAGAAAGAATTCCCGTTTGTTATAGGAATTCATGTCACTGAAGTTCGTTTATAATGAACCACTTGTATAAAACCACTTAGTCTGTGATGAGTTTTTGAGAGATGATTTATTGTACTGTTTGTCTAAGATTATACATATAATTTCTATGTATCTGACTGTCCATCTTAACACAGCAATTTAGTCCACCAGCATAATTTGGAGTCCTAAAGTTCTTAAGGCTAGGAAATCACCCTTCTGCTGTATCTTTTTTATCTTAATGTTTTAAAAATATGTTTATATTGAATTTTTTTTAGAGAGAGAAGAGACATCAGTGTGAGAAACATGGATCAGCTGCCTCCTGCATGCCCCCTACTGGGGATGAGCCTGCAACCTGGGCATGTGCCCTGACTGGGAATCAGATCAGAACCTCTTGGTCAATCCATGGGACTATGCTCAGTCCACTGAGCCACACTGGCTGGGCTTATGTTTATATCTTTAAACCAGAAATATGAAAATTACCCTAAGTAAAGAGTCCAACATAAAAGAAAATTCTCTACATGAACATGGTCAACACAGAAAGTTGTGACCAACTTCAGCATACAATAATATAGGCATGAAATTTATACCCATTAAAAATGAAATGTATGAAGACATACACTAAAGATGAAAAATCTTCACTGTATAGTCAGTGAAGTATAAGGAGAATAATACTAACCTATATAATACTATGGTTACACTGGTATATATTAAAAAGAACCAGAGGGGCCCTGGCCAGTTTGGCTCAGCGCTTGGAGCGTCGGCCTGCGGTCTAGAGAGACCCGGGTTCGGTTCCCGCTAAGGGCACGTACCTCGGTTGCAGTTTGTCCCCGGCCCTGGTTGGTCGTGCAGGTGGCAGCCACTCGATGTGTCCCTTTCATATTGATGTTTCTCTCTCTTCCACTCTCTCCCTCCCACTCTATCTGAACAAAAAATGGAAGAATGTCCTTGGGTGAGGATTAAAAAAAAAAAAGAACCAGAGTGAATACCTAAGATTATCTAAACCAGAGATGACCACTTTAGTGATTCTTTACATAAGATCCTTTTATATAAATGATTTTAGGCATATATCAACACATGTATAATTTATTGATTCATTTGTTTTTAATATGTTTTTATTGATTTTTTTTTTTTTTTGAGAGAGAGGAAGGGAGACATGGAAACATGGATGTGAGCCCGACCAGTGTGGTTCAGTGGTTGAGTGTTGACCCATGTACCAAGAGGTCGCCAGTTTGATTCCCGGTCAGGGCACCTGCCCAGGTTGTAGGCCAAATCCCCAGTGGGGGGCATGCAGGAGGCAGCCAGTCAATGTACTCTCTCATCGATATTTCTCTTTCTTCTCTTTCTCTCTCCCTCTGCCTTCCTCTCTCTCTAAAATCAATAAAGAAAAAAAAGAAATAGGGATGTGAGAGAGAGACATTGATCAGCTGCCTCCTGCACACCCTTTGTTGGAGATCAAGCCTGTAACCCAGACATGTGCCCTGACTGGGAATCGAACCAGGATCTCAGTTCATGGGCCAATACTCTAACTGCTGAGCCAGACCAGCCAGGGCTACATCATTTTTTAAAATAGTTACATAGTAGCTTTCATAGTAGTCTACTAATTGGCTAATATCCAATTGTTACATTATTTTTTTTCTAGTAAATAATATTTGGTCTTTTGTGATTTTGCTATTATAACGAGTGTTGCAGTGAACACGTATCTGGGTTACTTCCTACAAGCATATACAGGGAATGTCTTTCTAGTAGGGTGTTGGGTGGGTCTGTGTGTGTGTGCATCTTTTTTTTTTTACAATTTTTTTTATCCTCACCCGAGGACATTTTTGCATTTATCTGCAGATAGAGCAGGAGGGAGAGAAGGAGAAAGAGAGAGAGAGAAACATCGATGTGAGAGAGACACATCTACTGGTTGCTACCCGTACAGCTGGGGCTGGGACTAACTGTAACTGAAGTACATGCCCTTAGCGGGAACCGAACCTGGGACTCGTTCTGGTCCGCGGGCTGACGCTCTAACCGCTGAGCCAAACCGGCCAGGGCTGTGTGCATCTCTAAAGTCACTGAGTATCGCCAGCTTGTCCTCCCAGAAGGGGTATGTCAGTGTCCACCCCGTAACAGCAGGTGAACAGTGTTTCCCTCTCAGAATCTCACCAGCACTGAATATCAGCAGACTTTGATTTTTGCAGGTCTGATAGGTTAAAAGCATTTATTTCATTATTTTAAATGTTATTTCTTTGATCTTGTTTCCCACTGGTACGAAACCAAACTTGATATAGTCCTATTTTTTTTCCCTCCTTACTAATTTTATAAAGTAATGTGTAAATAAATTAAAATGAGATGAACTTACATATTCTTTGTCATTATCTTTAACCAGATGGGATCAGCAATATGTGATTCAGCTCACCTCCATGTTCAAGTAAGCAGCCTCATTCCCTTTTCTCCTGTCCTGCGGTGTGAACTTACCGGTTAGGAACTGACATATCCAAGCCCAAACCCCCTCTCTCCCCAGTAAGAGTATTGCCACCGCTGTTTTCTGTTACCAGATTTCCCCCACCTCCTCTCTTTTGCTTTAATTGCTTGCTTAAAGTATAATTTTATGATTTTTTTCCAAGACGACTTTGCTTAGGTAAGGTTGTTGGTTTCCTTTAAGGTTCTCTGTTGGAGAAAATTCAAAAGGGGGCAGTTACGCTATTCTAGTATTTCCACATTAGGCTCTGGTGTAGTTTGGCTCTGACCTTTAGAATCTTTGGTCCACAGGGATGTGCCTCTGACTGCAGAAGAGGTGGACTTGGTGATGGAGAAAGTGTTCAAGATGTTCTCCAAGTTGAATCTTCAAGAAATACCACCTTTGGTCTATCAGCTTCTGGTTCTCTCCTCAAAGGTATAAATAAAAATACTGTTTTTGTGGGGTTTTTTTTTTTTTTTAGCTCTAGTGGAATGACCAGTTGGGGCCGCTTAGGTTATTCATACTCTTGATTTACATACTGGGGCGTGGTTGCTTTTATTTCACGTTTGATGATTTGACCAGAGAGAGGTCGTGCTCCTCAGCCAGGGGGGACAGTTCGTCTCTGCACTGCTCATGGTTTGTGTGGCAGGAAGAGGAATAAAGATCTCAGAAAGTCCTCTTAAAGTCTGGCTTTAAGATGCATTTTCAACCCAATGTTCACATCAGAGTGTTCCATAAATTCTCTTTGTGACTCTAGGTCATAATTTGTTTATTTAAATTCATACTTGAGAAGCCTTTAAGCTGAAAATTTCAACTTGTTGAAATTATGGGGAGACCTCACCTGCCTCTTTTCTTTGCAGGGAAGCAGAAGGAGGGTCTTGGAAGGAATCATAGCTTTCTTCAGCGAGCTGGACCAGCAGCGCAGAGAGGAGGAGAGCGGCGATGAGTGAGTGACAGAAACCACGCCCCCTGTCGGTTCCCCTCCTCGTTGTGTGTGGTGTCACTTCATTGCTGTGTAGCCTTTCAGCCCTGCCTTCACTGCACAGCACAGGACTTCCCTACCCCCCTCCCCGCCGAGTAATTAAGTGAGAAGGGCGAGTCCTCATTCTGTCATTTCCACCTTCCCAGGAGTGTAGCAGCCATCGTTCTGTGCGTTGTAGGTTTAAAAGCTGTTTATTAGGAAGTGTCTACTCTCTGCCAGGAACTGTTCGGCCAGGGTCTGCAGTGATGGACCAGTCAGCCAGACTTGCAAGGTCCCTGCTCTCATGGAGCTTAACTTTCAGTGAGCAAAGAACAAAATGAATGTGAAAGATGATAGAGTAGAAAGTGCTATGCAGATAATTCGGGTGATGTGGTAGCGGCAGCAGAGCACTTTGGGTCGGGTGGCCAGGGACACCTCTGGGAAGGTGCCCTTTGGGTTGGGTGGTGAGGGACACCTCTGGGAAGGTGCCCTTTGGGTCGGGTGGTGAGGGACACCTCTGGGAAGGTGCCCTTTGGGTCGGGTGGTGAGGGACACCTCTGGGAAGGTGCCCTTTGGGTCGGGTGGCCAGGGACACCTCTGGGAAGGTGCTCTTTTAACTGAAGCCTGAATGATAAGAGCCACAGTATGTGGATCAGGGAAAAGAACATTTTTAAGTTAATGGAAAACTTAGTGCAAAGGCAGGAGACAGCATGGCATGTCTGAAAAAGAGGGTGTTTTTCTTACAGCAAATATTTGTAAGTACGTATCTGTTTTAAGCCCTTTAAACCTCACAGAAACCTTATTTTGTCTCTATGTTTTGGATGTGGAAACCAAAGCACGAAGAAATTAAGGAATTGCCCAAGATCAGATAGCCATGGTGCGGTGGGGCTGGGTTTTGAATCCAGGCAGTTTGGCTGCAGAATTCACACTGTTAATCCTGTTGCAGCCTGCTGCTTCTGCTCTAGGATAACCTGTAGTTATTTGGCCGAGCAATGGATGAGAAAGTGGTCTTGCATACTTAGGAAGAACTGACAGAAACGTAGATTTAGGGGGAAATAAGCCCATTTGTGACCCTGTTAAGTTTCAGCTGTACATTAGCATTCCATTTGGAGCTGTTGAGCAGGCAGTTACGTTGTAGGGAGAGGTCAGGAGCGGAGACAGAGATTGGAAGGGATCAGATGGGGTCACCTAGGGAAAGTGTGGAGAGAAGAGAAAGAAACCCAAGACTGAGCCCAGAGGCATCCTGCCATTTAAAAAGGAGGATGAACCAACAACAACAACATTTGAGAAGAGGCCAGTGACAATGCCCCAGAAGCCGAGAAGAAAGTATGTCGAGAAAGAAGTGGTCAGCTGTGTGAAATTTGCTGAGACTTTAACATGGGACTCGATTATTGGCTTTGGCAACACAGGGGTCATTTGTAACCCTTGCAGAAATAGTGGCATTGGGAGGGGACAGAAGCCTAATTGAATTGTGTTTACCTGGGAAGAGATAAAGAAGTGGAAACAATGACTAGACACTGTCTCAGGAAGTTCTGTTGTAAAAGAGAGCAGAGAATGAGGGGAGTGTCATGACTGCCTTTCCAGTGGCTGTGAGTTCAGCCTGAGTTGGTCCGCTTGTTCATCTGAGCATCTGCACTACTGTTTCTCGTTCATGCATTTCTGTTCTATCTTTCAGGCTCTTGGATCTTATTACTGTGCCGTCAGGTGAACTTCGTCATGTGGAAGGCACCGTTATCCTGCACATTGTGTTTGCCATGACATTGGACTGTGAACTAGGCAGAGAACTCCTGAAACACTTAAAGGTAGCACCAGACTCTTGAGGCGACCCAGGATCTCTGTGAGATGGGGGATGTTCGAACTCAGGCCTTTTATGCCAGTTAACGTCAGGAAGCAAGTAGAAATGTTGTAGAATGACACTGGGTCTAGAGGATCTCTTTTTAGACTTTGAAAGTGGGAAATATATGATATCACCACATTCGCAAGCAAGTTCCTTTTTGTTTAATGTTTAAGAGAGAGAAACATCAATGCCTGTTTCTCTCAACTGCCTCCTGCACACCCCCTACTGGGGATTGAGCCCACAACCCTGACCGGGAATCGAACCGGGACCTCTCAGTCTATGTGATGACACTCAGTCCACTGAGCCACACCAGCCAGGCAGCAAGTTCCACTTTAAAACCATGCCTCAGCCCTGGCCGGTTTGGCTCAGCGGTTGGAGCGTCGGCCTGCGGTACAGAGAGACCCGGGTTCGTTTCCCGCTAAGGGCACGTACCTCGGTTGCAGTTTGTCCCCGGCCCTGGTTGGTCGTGAGGGTGGCAGCCACTCGATGTGTCCCTTCACATTGATGTTTCTCTCTCTCTCTCTCTTCCTCTCTCTCCCTCCCGCTCTATCTGAACAAAAAATGGAAAAATGTCCGCTCGTGAGGATAAAAAAAATAAATAAATAAAAATAAAACCATGCCTCAAATGTTCTAGTGTTTAAAAAGAAAAAGAGATGAAAACCATTTCGTAGAAAACTGAAAATTTAATCTTAACTCCACTAATATCTTATGTGAACTTCAACCTTGACCTGTTTCCCCATTTATGAATTGGGGATCTTGCCTATTTCTAGTATATTTTGAGGTTTTGTGAAGCTAAGCCATTCATTAAATATTTGTATTTGTGAAGTTCTAAGATAGAGATCGGAAGTGTTTTGAACTCTTTTGAAGAAAAGTGGTATACAGAAAAAGGACCTATTTTCCTCCAACATTTTGTTTTGAAATTTTTAACCTACAGAAAAGTTGAAATACTTTTTAGCACGATGAACATCTATAAACCCTTTACCGAGATTTACCAATTATTAAATACTTTGCCCATTTGCCTTATCTCACGTTCTCTCTCACACAGTCATGTTTTTTTCCTGAACCATGTAAAAGAGGAAGTCATGGCACTTTAGAATACTTCTGCATACATCTTGTAAGAATAAGGATTAGTGTCCTTTGAATTTGGGGACGCATCCAGTGTAGTTGCCTTGTGTCTCACATTGTTGGATTTGTCTGATTGTTTTCTTGAGTTCAGATTGAAATTAAACATTTTTGGCAAGAATACTTCATGGGTGATGTGTACTTTCTCTTGTGGGGGTCAGCAAACTTTCTGTAAAGGTCCAGGTGCTATTTGAGGCTTTGCAGGTCATATCGTCTGTGTCATGGCCTCTCAGGAAAGGGATTTACATTAGTGATTGCCTTTTTTTCTGTGAAAAGAGTCTTCCTTCCCTGCCTTTTTTTTTTTTTTGAGAATGTCATATGCACCCATGGACCTTTTTAAATTTAATCTACTCATGCATTACTCAGAGTGACCCATATTTGGCCAATTGGATCCTTCCAGTTTGCTTGTGTGTTCTTGTGACATGACCCCTTTAGTCTTTGAGCATTTTTGTGGCATCAGCTATCTAAGGCTCACCTTGTACATTCCTTGCCCCGTCCTGATACCAGCCATTTCTTTTTTTGATTGTCGTCTTAATTGAATTTAAAGAATTCTTTTTGGCCCTGGTCGGTTTCGCTCAGTGGTTAGAGCATCAGCCTGCAGACCAATGAGTCACAGGTTCGATTCCAGTCAAGGGCATGTACCTTGGTTGCAGTTTGATTCCTTGTGTGGGAGGCAGCCAGTCAATACGTCTCTCTCACATTGATGTTTCTCTCTCTCTTACTCCCACTCTATCTGATGATAAATAGAAGAATATTCTTCCTCAGGGGAGGATTTAAAAAAACAGAGCAAAAAAAGAATTCTTTGTATATTCTGGGTACAAGTCCTTTATCGTGTGTGTGTGTGTGTGTGTGTGTGTGTGTGTGTGTACATATATATATATATTTCAGATATTTTTCCTAGTCTGTGGCTTATTTTTTCATTTTCTTGGAAGTGTTTTTTATCCTCACCTGAGGACATTTTTGCACTTATCTTCAGATAGAGCAGGAAGGATAAAGGGTGGAAGGGAGAGAAACATTGATGCAAGAGAGACAGCGACCCTCCGCCACCAACACAATTCCAACCGGGGCGGGGGACAAACCACAACCGAGGTATGCGCCCCCAGCGGGTTAGAAGTGTCTTGAAACACAAAAATGTTTTTGAATTTTGATAATGTCCATTTTATCTACTTTTTCTTATGTAAATTTTGTTTTTGGTATTGTGTATAAGAAAATCTTGGCCTAATCCAAAGTCTTGAAGATTTTCTGCTATGTGTTCTTCCAAAAGTTTTATCTCTGACATGCAGGTTTCTGATGTATGGAAAGACCTTTTTTTTTTTTTTAAAGTAGGCTATGTTACACTTCAGAGCTGTGAGTAATGACTCCCTTTTTGTGTATGTTTTAGGCAGGACAGCAAGGCGGTTTCAGTAACAACGTGTGTCCCTTTAGTGTAGCCCTCCTGCTCTCTGTAGCAAGAATACAACGCTTCGAGGAGCAGGTATATATTAACAACTTTTTTATTCTTTCTGTGATTGATTAAGGAGTACAAGAACCTGTTTTGTGTTACTGTTGTCATTTTTCATTGTCCTTTCCTAAACAATCCCCCAGTCCCGCCAGCAGCCGATTCCTCTGTGAGACAGGTAGGCCCACACTGTTGTCTGGGGTCGCTTGAAGACTTCTTCAGGTCCCGAGTGTATACCTCTATTTCCTAGTTGTGGCAGGCCGGGCGGTCACATGGAAATAAGACTGGAAACATCACGCAGTGAAGTAGCAAGAAGAGGAAGTCTAGCTGGGTTTTCACCAGCAGTTCTATTATGTTGTAGCTTTCCAAGAAATTGTCTCTGATTGAGTTGAAATTAATGGGAATAGGTTAGTTTCAGGGATGAAAAGATAAAAATCTTTGCCCTTTTTTCTCAGGTGTTCTCTGCTTATGGGAAGTATTGGTATTGATTTCAGCCCTTTTCTTTCTTAAGGCCTATTTCCAACTCTTAAGTTCCCACTGGAAGTCGTACATTTCCTACCGTACTCGTCTGGTGAAACTGTTGCCAGGGGTTGTGAGAATGTGGCACAAACAATAACAATTACAGGGTTAAAACTCGGTGGAATGGGATATCATTTTTTGCTTCATTTCCCTATTTCTTTCATTATATTAGGTATTTGACCTTTTAAAGACTTCGGTTTTTAAAAGCTTTAAGGATCTTCAGCTTCTCCAAGGCTCGAAATTTCTTCAGAATCTAGTCCCTCATCGCTCTTGTGTTTCCGCCATGATCTTGGAAGTGGTAAGGAATAGGTGAGTTCATGAACCATACCCTGAGGTGTTTAGAGTTAGAAAAGGCACTGTGATGCCACCCCTGTGGCCCATCAGAGAAAACTGCTGACGACAGCTGCTGACTTCACATATCACGGTGTAACATGGTCAGGCAAGCTCTTCCCTGTGAAAGATCCTGGAACCCAGGGCCTGATGTCTTGGCCACCTTAATAGCAAGAGTACAGAACTGAAGTCATACTTGACTCATTTCATGATATTACAACTCTATAGGTGAGTAAAAAACATTAAAAGTTTTATTTACTTTGTTGAAGTTTGGGGCTGATGGATGGAATTGAATTAGCAGCTTTGGATAAATAGATTTTAAACTAAATTGAAAAGACTGGTAACCTTCCTGGTTGTTATTTTAATTTCAAGATATACATTAGCTGTTGTAACAGTCTTAAATGTTCCATGCTTGTCTGTGGATGAAATGCATGTTAAAGCTTTATCATTTAAACCATTTCACGTAGGTCTCATTCCAGCGCTGGGAATTCTGACTTGGATCAGATGGTGGCGCGTAAGGCAGATGTGAGATTAGACACCCTGTTTCTGAGTGGCTTACCCACTGGTGGGCTTTAAAGTTTCTGTATCTTTGCCTGCCCAGTGTGGCTCGGTGGTTGAGCATTGACCCTGCACCAAGAGATCACCAGTTCGATTCCCGGTCAGGGCACATGCCCAGGTTGTGGGCCTTATCCCCAGGAGGTGGCCAATCGATGTTCGCTATCATCGATGTTTCTATCTCTCCCTTCCTCTCTCTCTCAAATCAGTAAAGAAAAAATAAAGTTTCTGTATCTAGTTACTCCTCTTTTTCCTAAGGTTTATAGTCGAATCTTCAGTATTCCCCCAACCCACGCCCTTCTTGTTGGGCTAAAGGAACACGCCTCTGTTCAGCAGGAAATTCCTGGAGAGCTGCCCTTCTCCTGGCGGCCCCAGTCAGCCAGAGGACCCGGAGCCTCCTCCGTCAGTAATTAGGCTGCACAGGCATTGCCACTAAGTTTGGACCAAATCTCAGTAGGGAGGGATTTGGGTAGCATGATCAGGCCCCCTAGAATAATCAGCTGGTTAGTTACACACCACTGCACTACTCAATTAACCTCTAGATAATGTGTTCCACATTTTATGCCCAGCCCCTACTGGAGATCAGGCTCACAACCTGGGCATGTGCCCTGTCTGGGAATAGAACTGGCGACCTCTTGGTGCATGGGTCGACGCTCAACCACTGAGCCACGCTGGCCGAGCTACCTCTGTCTTTTGAATCTCCTGTTCTTCTCTTGGAAATAGTCCGTAGGTATATGACTTTTGAGGTCATCTTTTCTGATACGGGTTGCGGATAGTAAACTTAATCTTGAGTCTTGGCATTTTGAAAAAGTCTTTATTTTGCCGTCCCACCTGAACAGTAGTTTGACCAGGTATAAAATTCTAAGTTTATAATTATTTTTCATGGTCTTTTTGCATCTGGAATGACATGAAAAATCTAGTGATTATCTGATTCTTTGTATTATTATAGTTAATCTATTTTTCTTCGTGGAAACTTTCCAGACTTTATTTTTATCCTTGATATTCTGAAATTAATTACAGTTGATGTTTATGTAAGTTCCTTTTTAACTTATTACTACTTGGTACTTGGTGTGCCTTTCACTGTATAAGAATTCCTAAACTCTGATTTTTTTTGCCTTTTATTTTCTTTGAGTAATCCCTCCCCTTCTCTCTGTTCTCTTCCGTTAGCTGTTGGAATTTCTTGATCTCTGTGTCATATCTCTTAATTTTTCTTTCATGCTTTTCATATTTTTATCCTTTTATGTGACGTTTTACAGAAATTTCTTAACTCTTCTAATTAATTTGTTCTTCGGCTCTGTTCATTCTACCCTCAGGTCCATCTCTTGAGTCTTTCACTCCAGCAATGATGAATTTTGTTTCCAAAATTTCCAATATTTTTATAATAGTCTATTTTTGTTTCATGCTATAATATTCTTATTTCTCTGAGGATATTCATTATACCTTTAAAATTTTATGTGTTCTGTTAACCTTTTCCCTCAGATATTAGTTCTCTTCATTGAATTCGGTGCTTCTCTTTCAAGACGGTATTTTTTTTCTTGCATTTCTTGTGATTGTTGGTTGTCTTCTTATGTTTCTGAAGTGCCCGTTCGTTTGTCTGAGAGTGCCGTATCTACGTAACACAGTCTAGCTCCGCCTGGAGGATGCTGGTCATCTCGGGGCGGGGCCTCCCGCACGCTCCAGCTGCTGCTGTCCTCTCCGAGTGCTGTTCTGCCTCTCAGGCCCAGGAGCCTCCGCTCACATCCCAGCCCAGGGCCGGCCTCGTTGTTGCTCACTTCTCGGCATAAACTGGGGACATAGTGGGTTTTGGGAAAGAAGGTAGAGAAGGACACTGTATCCATAAGGATGCATGAAAGGTTCAGGTGAAGACTGTTGTCCAGGTCAAGTTTGGGAACTGTGTAACGTGGCAATGAAGATAAAGGTACGGTGTTTTCCTAAGCTTTGCTTTTTAACTAAGCTTTGCTTTCTTGCAGTGTTCATAGTTGGGATCATGTTACTCAGGGCCTGGTCAAATTTGGCTTCATTTTAATGGATTCATATGGGCCAAAGAAGATTATTGATGGAAAAATGATTGAAACCAGCCCAGGTCTTTCTAGAACACCAAACCAGCATGCATGTAAGCTGGGCGCTAATATCCTGTTGGAAACTTTTAAGGTGAGACTCTAGTTTGGCAACCGTTTCCTGATTTTATTAAATTATATTATAAATGGGGCATGAAATTAGCCTGGAGTTTGGAGGACAAGGAAATTTGAGTTCTAGGAACACAGATTGGGATAGTAATTGAAACATTACAGTTCCAGTTTAATGAAATTCTTTCTTGTCTCTTATTTATATGAGTTTTTCGTCCTATTTTTAATTCTTTCTGATCATTTCTTGAAGCTTAAATATAAGTTAGCTTTGGCATGGTTTTTTCTTCTTCCAGCAGTAAATCATTTCTGTTTTTTTTAATGCTATTTTTTATACAAAAGATGATCTTTTATGTCACCGTAGAATGTCAGACTTGAAGAATCATGCTTATTGGTTTGTTGTTTTTTAAGAACACAAAATAAGGAATTTACCTTTTAAAATTCATGGCCATTTTATGGCTATCATCTCAGTCTTAATTTCCAAAACAGCTTTGAAAAATTTCCTTTCAAGTAAAAAAAAAGAAAGCTGCATCACATCCGAGACTAAACAGTGTTGCTTTGCTAATGATTTCTCTAAGTTCATCTTCTTGATGTTCAGTTGTTTAATGCAGCTACACACCAAAAATGTGTGCTGAAATGGTTATTTGGATGGTAATTGAAATGTAAATCGGTGTCCTGATCGGGAACCATGAAGTGAATATCATAGAATCACCCTTGAGAGTTGTGTATTAGATGATACCCCAAAGTAAGTCAGTTCATGCCCTGGCTGATTTGGCTCAGCAGTTAGAGCATTGGCCTGCGGTCCAGAGAGACCCAGATTCTGTTCCTGCTAAGGGCACGTACCTCGGTTGCAGTTTGTCCCCAGCCCTGGTTGGTTGTGCGGGTCGCAACCAGTCGATGTGTCCCTTTCACTTCGATGTTTCTTTCTCTTTCTCTCTCTCCCTTTTACTCTTCCTGAACCAAAACAAAAAAAAGGAAAAATGTCCTTGGGTGAGAATAAAAAAAGTAAGCCAGTTCAGGTAAGAATTTTGACTAGCATTTAAGTGAAAATTCAAAACAGAATTTTCTCTTTTTAGGTAACTATTGTGCTTCTAGAAACTGAGGAAGAAGTTGGTGAAGATATTTTAGGTTTCCAGAAATTTTCACAGGCTTTAAATTTTAAATTAAATGTGCGTACTATCAGAAATGTGGATGTTGGCATGTGATGGATCCCTAAGTAGAGTCATTCTCGTTTGATGTTGGACCTTGTATGTAGCATTAGTTTCATGGGCTCTCTTGTAGGTTCATAAACATGGTAGCATGTCCTGCTAGTGCATATTCTGAGCACAGAATGAGTGTAGAGTTAAGTGATCCTTTCTTTCCAGGTGAATCACGTTGTATCTGTCTTTGAAATAAACACGTTTTATCCATGTCCAAACTGTTCTTCATTCTGCCTAACACACATTGATGCAACTGTAAGATGGAAGTCACCAAGGAATATTTTATTAGTTCTTCTATTCTTTTTAGGTCCATGAGATGATCAGACAAGAAATTCTGGAGCAAGTCCTCAACAGGGTTGTTACCAGAGCATCCTCTCCCATCAGCCATTTCTTAGGTATTGAACTTTTAAAAGGTGGTTAAAGTTCTCAGGAATATTCTCATTTAAGTGTCATGATGCTTTGGTCTTGGGGGAAAAAAACTTAATACAACAGTTTAATGCAATGTCTTTGATTATGATGTCAGTAAGACGTAAATCTATTTATCTTGTCTCTGGTTGTCCGGACAAAAAGCGTATAACCAGTGAGTGAGACTCTCGGGTTGCATCAGCCTTTGTTCTGTTTAGTAATTCTCACGAGTGCCGTCCTGGTGCTGCCCCCGTTGACCTCCCAACTTAACGTGTGTGTCTCCAGGCTCGTTCCAGCAGCTTTCTCTCCTGGTCCTCTGCTGGGCCTGCCTTGTCTTTCCTGATTCTCTGCGCCGTCCCTTTAACTCAGGAAGACCATGGACTGCGTTTCCCCCCTGTGCTGCTGCCTAGAAATTCTCCAGCCAGTGAGGTGGGGCAGGGACGAGGCCTCATGTGTTTCCCTCCTCTCAGGGCCATCGTGGCGTTTCCGTTTAGTGTTTGTTTTCCCTCGTATCTCAGATGCAAGATAGTTTCTTTCAAACAAATCCCCCTTTCTATTGCCAGTTTCTATTATCTGAGGCCTGGCTGTCCGAATACCAGACGCTAGAATTCCTTTTCATCTTTTCTAATACACTTGGTGTCTGAATTCTCCCATTCTTTCCCTCATACTGTTACTTTTTCCTTCTTTTTACCCGCCCCCCTTGCCTAGTTCCCACCTCATCGCCTTGTACTTCCCGCGCTTCGGCTTCCTAGCCGGTTCCCTGCCTCCTCTCCGCTGGGCAGCGGTTCCGCCTGCTGCCGCCGCCAAATGGGTTTTCCCGAAGCGCCTGAAAGGCACTGATCCCTTCTGCAGTCACTCCTCGGCTCTTTATCTGGCACTTCAGGGCCTCGGCAACGTGCCCAACATTAACTTCAGTTGTTTGTTTGTTCTGAACCAGCGCCCCGACTGCGCAGATGCCCCACTGTCCGCTTGGCATTCCTGTACCCGTGCTCCTGCGTCTTCCTGCGTGTAGCAGGCCGTTCTTGCTCTTGGCGCAGCTGAATTGTGGCCCGTCTTTCAGAACCGGGCTTAGTGGCCTTCTCTTTGCTTTGCTGAAGCCAACGCATAATGGTCTCTCTGTGGGCTCCCTGTGATCTCTTCTTTATGATTTGCTAGGCAATAAACTACGTTGGAATTGTTAGATATTTGGTATTATTTTGTTATTTACCTCTTATTCTTTAAAAATATAATTACTTGACTTCCAACTAAATTAAAATTCTCAAAGGGAGAGAGAGCACGTTTTATGCTTTTGTACATTCCTTGTAGGACCATAATATGTATGCTTACACATAATCCAGGTTTGTAGGTTTTTATTGATTTCGCTTGGAAAGATGAGCACGTTATGTGCTACTTGTCTTAGAGGTATAATGGGTTTCTTTCAGCCAGGGTAATTTTTGTAGTCGGGTACTATTGCAGAAGAAATTTAAAGTGTCCTGGTTACAGTGACCACAGAAAAACAGATAAGATCAGTAGAAATTTATATTGCAGTAGATTTGACTTGAGCAAGGAAACAAACCTTTTACCATTTCTTTCCTCGTTTTAATTTTCCTTTTACATGAAGTAGCTTTAGTTATTTGAACCAACTCATTATCGATTCTCTCTTTCAGAACTGCTTTCAAATATCATCATGTATTCACCCTTAATTCTTCAGAGTTGTTCTTCGAAAGTCACAGAAAGTTTTGACTATTTGGCCTTTCTGCCCCTTCAGACCGTCCAAGGGCTGCTGAGAGCTGTGCAGGTAAGTCCCCGGGAGCGTGCCAGCGGAGGGGAGCGGGGGGAGTCTGATGTGTTTCTCTACGACTCTGTATGTCTAAGAAATCCCATTTCTCTTGATTTGAAAACATCAAACTTTGTATTAAAAGGGCAGGAGCATCGCTTCTCGGCCTTTTGGGTAGGATCGAGTGTAGCATCCGTTCTTATCAGTGTAAAAGGGCAGGAGCCCCGAGCTCTAGACTCTTTCCCACGGTTACCTGTCTTCCCAGCACAGCTCTGTCCTTTGACTCACTTTCCACTTCGTGAAGGAGCCAAAAGGCTCTTAGGAAAGTGCTAGTTGAGGACAGCAGTTACAGGCATTCACAGCTAGTTCCGATGTAGTGTTTCAGGTACACTGTGGTCCTTATCACTAGGTGTGACACACATCGAAACACGAAAAGACAAACGTAACAGTGTGGGTGGAAAGGAGCTAAGGCCAGTAAACAAGCTTGTTCTGGTTTTACCCACTGCTTCTTCCTCTTCCAGCCCCTTCTCAAAGTGAGCATGTCCATGAGAGACTCCCTGATACTTGTCCTTCGGAAAGCTATGTTTGCCAGGTACGTAGCTCCCGGGAGACTCAGGGACGTAGTGCGTCTAGGGTTACTTAACGCCCTCTCTCCATTTCCTCGTACAACCTGATCACAGTGGGTGTGCAAACTCCTAACCCAGCAGAACACATTCACCCAACGGTGTTGTGTCAGGTGCTTTATCACCAAGTCTTCAGAGCAGCAGTGTGAAGTGAGAATGACTGCAACTCCCATTTCACAGAAAGTTAGACGGTAGCTGGTGATGGAGCCTGAATTCGAGCTTGTGATCCGAGTTCTCTGCTTTATACTCTAGAACAGCCTTCACATTAAGGTTCTGGTGCCAACTGGCAACAATTCTGAAGAGGAAAGCACCTTCATTAAGAAGAAAATACTCAAAACGTATTTTAGTGAACATCAGAATTGTGGTCTAGTGACTGTAGACCAATTATTGAGGGTTCTCGGTCTGTGTTTTGGCTTAGCCAGTGCCTCCTGACCTCTCTTTATTTCTTAGTATATAAGCTAAAGATGATAATACCATCTCCTACAAAATTTTCTGAGACAAGTGATAGGTGAAAATCATTTGGTGCTGTAAGTGTAAGATGCCTAATCAATATCACGTTGGCAATATGTTGTCCTCATGGAACAGCTAATACCACTCCCCCGTTGCAGAATTGACAACTTTTTGTTACTCCTTACCCAGAGGCATGCCTGTTAGGCTACGGTTGTCTGTAACATGAGTTAATCATAGAGTCTCTGTGAGATGCCTGGACCATTTTTCTGGTTGGAAGGTTTAGAAGGCACCCGCCACTCCTCTATGCGGAAGGAAGGTGCTCCTTCAGACCAGAGGAAATCAACTTCCTTCGCGGCCCAGCACTTACAGCCTCGGCCTCTCGTGCTCATTCCCCACGTAGACGGGTCAGGACAGAAAGTGTAGGGAATGTCATGGGGTGACGAACACATCAGCCGAGTTCCTGTGCTGCTTACTGCTGTCAACAGCCGACTCCTTATCTGAGTATATAACGTATTCTGCTCTGTGTTTCACTGTTGATACCTACTGCTTCTCTGTATAAAACTAACTGGATTTTTTTTTTTTGACCCAGAAGCCTATTCCTGTGAAAGTCATACTGTTTGTTAACTGCTTCTCTGTCTGCTCTGAGCTAGGCAGCTTGATGCCCGAAAATCTGCAGTGGCCGGGTTTTTGCTGCTCCTGAAGCACTTCAAGGTTCTGGGCAGCTTGGCGTCCTCTCAGTGCAGCCAGTCCGTCGGCGTGACGCAGGTGAGGCTGTGCGCCTGGCCGGTGTGTGCGCTTGGCTGGTGTGTGCGCCTGGCTGGTGTGTGCGCCTGGCCGGTGTGTGCGCCTGGCCGGTGTGTGCTCCTGGCTGGTGTGTGCGCCGGTGCTCGAGGGGCGACGTGCAGACGAGCTCCCCTCCCTCCTGTTCTGGTTGTACAAACAGTCCCGAAACAGTTCTGATGGTGGTGGTGCTGATGACATATCCGTTAACACCTGCTAGTGGCAGATCTGCGGTGTGCCAAACTGCCATCCAGGGCGACAGCCACTAGCCTCGGTGTGGCTATGGAACCGGACACTAGACACGCGGCTAGTCCAGACTGCGTTCTGCTGTACGTGTAAAGTACTGGATTTTAGGATTTTTTTTTTTTTTTTTATCCTCACCTGAGGACATTTTTCTATTTTTTGTTCAGATAGAGTGTGGGAGGGAGAGAGAGAGAGAGAGAGAGAGAGAGAGAGAGAAACATCGACGTGAAAGGAACACATCGAGTGGCTGCCACCCGCACGACCAACCAGGGCCGGGGACAAACTGCAACCGAGGTACGTGCCCTTAGCGGGAACCGAACCCGGGTCTCTCAGGACCGCAGGCCGACGCTCTAACCGCTGAGCCAAACCGGCCAGGGCTAAAGTACTGGATTTTAAAGATATAGCGTGAAAATGAAGAATGTACAGTATCTCATTAATTTTTTATTTTGATTACACGTCAAGATAATATTTTGGGTATGTTGGGTTAAATACAAAATCAAAATTAGTCTTACCAGTTTCTGTTTAAATTTGGTTACTAGAAAATAATTACGTATGTGAGTTGCATTTGTGGTTTATCATGTTGGACACTATGCTACATGTTTTACATTTATTTTTTTAATACGGTTTTATTGATTTTTTTTTAGGGAGAGAGAGAGACATTGATGTGAGAGAAATACATCAATTGGCTGCCTCCTACATACTCCCTACTGGGGATCGAGCCCGCAACCCAGGCATGTGCCCTGACCAGGAATCTAACCGGGACCTCTCAGTCCATGGGCGATGCTCAATCCACTGAGCCACACCGGCCAGGCACATTCATTATTTCATTTACTCTTCACAGTAGTTCTCAGAGGCAAAATACATTTATTACCTCCATCTTTAGTAATTTACTTATTTGGTACATGAATATCTGTTAAACCCTGTAATCTAAGAAGACAAAACTTTTTGCAATAATTTGGTAATGTGGGTTTCTGAACAGTAAAATTGTCTTTATAATTTAAATTATATGCTGTATGACTTGTACACAACAGACACGAATATAACAGTTTCATCAGGAATCCTTTGTTGCTCTAGTATAACTAGACAACTTTTGTCTGGAACTATGACATAGATTAAATACTATGGGTATCGCTTGTGTATTCCTATCATCATCGCATTTTAAGGATAAGAAAACTAAGGCAGAGAGAGAGAGAGAGAGAGAGGAACTAACTTGCCCAAGGTGATATAACCTGTAAAGAGTGGAGCTGGAATTTGACCCCAGTTCGTATTAATTACCTTGCTAAAATGCCTGGGGTAAGGATTAGGAATTCTTTGTCTATAATTACTGAATTACGTAAATCAAAAACGGGGTGGTGTTGTCATGTGCATTTCTGAATTCAGAACCATCCTATCTCTAACACACTCAGAAGTTTTTGGAAGCAAAAAGAGCTAAATTCTTCTAGCTACTGAAGACATTTAAGGAAGTCTTTTAGGCCTTTTGGGTAAAATCGGGTATAATATGAATTACTGGATTCTAGTGGCATGAAATAATCTGTGTCTTCCTAAGCAGCTGACATGGACAAGAGAAACCTGAAGGGCTGGGTAAGAGTTCATTTTGTTGAAATGCTTGAAAATTCTCTTACTCCAAACCAGAGTAAGAGTGACTTGTCATAACCCAGTGATTATCATGTCTGCCTCAGTCCTGGGTTCTGGCATGTGGGGAAAGCTAACTCTGAGTTTCTTAGACCAAGAACGTAGGCTCATTTTATCTCCGTAATGGAAACTGCTTTGGTAAGATAGAACCCGCGTGTCTTTCAGGTCCACGTGGATGTCCACAGTCGTTACAATTCTGCTGCCAATGAAGCGTTTTGCCTTGAGATCATGGATAGTTTGAGAAGATGCTTAGGCCAGCAGGCTGATGTTCGACTCATGCTTTATGAGGTAAATCAGCAGAGTGGAGGGAATATGGCAGTCTCCCAACTAATAATCTTTTTATTTGACAACAAAAATATTTTATTGATTTGAGAGAGAGAGAGGAAGGGAGAGGGAGAGGGAGATAGAAACATCAATGAGAGAGAACATCGATTGGCTGCCTCCTGCATGCCCCCCACTGGGGATCGGGCTCACAACCTGGGCATGTGCCCTGACCGGGAATCAAACCGGCGACCTCTCGGTGCATGGGTCGATTGCACCAGTGCATGAGCCATACCAGCTGGGCAGAGAGAGTGTTATTTTAAAGTCTCAATCGCTGGTGACTCTGTTAAAGAGTTTATTTGTTCTCTATTTGATTCCTCTTAGGGGTTCTATGATGTCCTTCGAAGAAACTCTCAGCTGGCTAATTCAATCATGCAGACTCTGCTGTCACAGGTAAGAAATATTTTTATTTTTATTTATTTATTTTTTTTTTATCCTCATCCGAGGACATTTTTCCATTTTTTGTACAGACAGAGTGGGAGGGAGAGGAAGAAAGAGAGAAGGAAACATCGATGTGAAAGGGACACATCGAGTGGCTGCCACCCGCATGACCAACCAGGGCCGGGGACAAACTGCAACCGAGGTACATGCCCTTAGCGGGAACCGAACCCGGGTCTCTCTCGACCGCAGGCCGACGCTCTAACCGCTGAACCAAACTGGCCAGGGCAGAAATATTTTTATGGATATAGAAAACGGATAATGGTTGCATTGAAAGGCGACTGACATTTGCCAGACTTCACACTATAAAATAATTCCCAAACAGTAACTGGTCATTGTGGACATGCCTCGGGTATGTGATGCTGTCTTGATGGTTCTCTTTAATTAACCGTTTGTGTGCCTGCCATTTGCCGTGTCTGTCAGTGATCCCTCTCGGTTAGCAGTCTGCATCCTGTCTGAAGGATATTTTGAAGAGCCATTTGTACAAGGGTTGTCAGCAGCTGTATCTGTTTTCTTTCTAAAAGAGAAAAGAGTGAGAGATCGATCGGGAGCGAATGTAGCAAAATACTGCCACGTGTTAGGTCTAGGTGGCGGTACATCAGTGTCTGTTAGGTTGTTTTCTGTACTTTTCAGTTAAAAAAGATTTTTAAATTATGAAATATTTCAAAAGATAGGCAAGATGGGAAGAATTCATCTGGAGAATATCTGGTATAACTAGGATCTTTTACCCTTAATACTTATTCATTAAACATTCATTTGACTTTTTTAAATAGCTTTATTGAAATATAATTTATATACCATACAACTCACTGGTTTTTAGTCTTCGTAGAGTTATTCAGATTTACCACAATCAGTTTTTGAACATTTCATCACCTTAGAAAGAAATTTCACGCTCTTTAGCTACCACTTAATTTTCTCATTTTTTCCCCTACCCTCCCAGCCCTAAGCAACCACTAATCTACTTTCTGTCTCCCTAAATTTGCCTATTGTGGACATTTCATATAAATGCAATAATATAATATGTGGTCTTTCATTTAACAATGTTTTCAAGACTCACCCATGTTATATCATGTATCATTCATTACTTCATTTCTTTTTATGGCCAAATATTTCATTATATGGTATTTGAATCTTTTTGTATATTAAGAGTTCTTTGGGGTGATGAACACACAACACAGTGTACAGATGATGTGTTGTAGAATTGTGCACCTGAAACTTGTATCATTTTGTTAACCACTGTCACCCCAATACATTCAATACAAAGGGAAAAAATAAAAATTAAAGAGTTCAAGATGCTATTATGTACTGATAGTAATAAGAATACCTGTCTGTGTTAAAATCCCACCTAAACAGCATTATAATTTTTGGTTTAAACAGTTATATGTATGTCTTTTATAGAAATTAAGAGAGGAACACACAATTCTTTATATGTGCCAACTCTGTACCATTACTGATGCTCTTCATTCGTTCTTAGTGATTCAACTTTACCATCTAGAATAATTTCCCTTTATCTGAGGAACTTCTTTGAGTATTTCTGTTGTGCAGTTCTGCTAGCAATGACTTCTCTCCATTTTTGTCCATCTGTATATCTTTATTCGACTTTCATTTTTTAAAGATAATTATCACTGGGTGTAGAATTGTTGGTTGACAGTTTTTTCTTTCAGTACTTTGAATATGTCGTTCCAGTGTCTTCTGGTTTCCACTGTTTCTTAAGGGAAGTAAGGCAGAAATTGTAACTTTGTTTTCTGTGTTTTCCATGGCATTTTTCTCTCGCTGCTTTAAAGGTTTTCTTCTATTTGGATTTCAAGAGTTTGACTGTAACATGTTTACATGTGGGTCTCCTCTCTGTTTCTCTCCCATTGTAGTTCATTAAGCTTTTTGGATCTTTCAGTGGATTCTTACCGAGTTTTGAGAAATATTCACTCATTATTTCATCAATTTTTTTTTTCTGCCCCCTTTTTGCTTTTAAAGTTGAGTTATTCTTACTTCTGCCACTTCAGATCTATTTTATTCTTGGATGTGTGTTAGGTTTTATCGCTTGCATTTTTGTATCTATTGAGATTACTCTGTGATTTTTCTCATTTAATCTGTTCCTGTGGTCAGTTCTATTATTTGACCTAAACCAACATTGTAGTTCTGGAATATACTCAAATTGATTATATTACTTTTTTTGTACATTACTGGATTTCTTTTATTAACATTTCATTTAGAATCTTTACATATATATTTACAAGGGGGAATAGCCTATAATTTTCATTTCTCTTACTGAATTTCCTTGGTGTAGTGTAGTATGAGCTTAAATATGATTAGAGAATGTTTCCTCAGAGTCTGATCGGTGTGGCTCAGTGGATTGAGCGTCATCCCATAGACAGAATGTTCCCTCTTTCTAGTTTATGTAAAATTTGAAATTGGTAATTATTTTCTTTATTTCCTTTATCCCCTTATTTGGAAGTTATACACTGTCTTTCTTAAACTTGAAACTAAATGTTTGGCTTTTGATTTTTCAGACCACACAAGTAGTGTGAATTCTGACCCCAACTACATTTAGGGACTAGCTTATGGCTAGAAAACCCCAGGTGAGGCCTTCCCCTCCACCCAGCTTTCTCCGTGTGGGGGTTTGTGGTTTTAGGCTCATCCACTGAGGCTGCCTCTTTCTGAGAAGTCCAGCTTCACCCCACGAGGCCCTGGGCTTTGTCTGCAGTTCCGTGAGTCCTACAGCTGGATCCGGGCCTGGGGCTGCCAGGGGCTGCCCGAGTGCACATGGGTTCAGAGCTGTGTTACATTTTCCGATATAGTCAGACCTCTGAGGACTTCTCTTACTTTCCCGTGATCTTAGCTCTCTATTTAGTAGTAAATATATATAAATTTTCGTGCAATATTATCTTCATTTTTCTCATCCAAAAGGGTTTCTCTAGACTTTTATCCATCATTTTGGTAAAAATGGAAGTTCTTTCTTTCTCCCTCTTTCCTCCCCCCCCCCCCACTTCACCTTTTGTCTTGCTTTCTGCTAATTCTGCTGAAGGAGCTTCATTTGAAATTAAGGTCTCGGACGTATAGAAATTATTGGGAAGTCCTATACTGTTCATCGAAAGCTTTTCCTTGGGCCTGATCCTGTATAAAATACACAAGCTGTTTGCTATGTGTCTCCTTCTAACTGAATGACCAGCCTGTCTATACTCACACCCTGACAAGAACAGAAAAGTGTGGATAAAGGCATAGAGCAATGCTTCCCAACTCAGGTTAGTATGCACCCAGTAAAATTCTGCAGACTCCAAAAGCAAAAAGGAGAAAAATAATACCTAACTTTTTTTTTAAGCTCTATTATGTGCCACATAGTATTTAAAGGACTTTATACATGTTGACATGTTTAATCCTTAAACAGCCTTACACATTTGTATTAATAGTATCCTCATGTCACAGGTGAGGAGCCAAGGCATACCTTTATTAAAATCACTAGTAAGTGGTGGTGCTGGGATTTTGGACTCGGCCATTCTGACTCTAGAATCTATATTCTAATTATCAAGCTGTACTGAAAACGTTGCTTGCCCGTGGAAGTTCGGGAGTTGGTGTGAGCGCGTATAATGCCAGCAGGAGGCGGAATAGGAAGGATCTCGGTACAGTGCCTAGAGCAAGGGCGAAGGATGTGGGGGAAGCCAACGCAGTACGGGTTTTGCTGCCTTCTTCTTCGGACATTTGGGAGTACGCCTGAGGAGGCGGTATACATTAAAAGTGCCATTCGCGCCCTGGCCAGTTTGGCTCAGTGGTTAGAGCGTCGGCCTGCGGTCCAGAGAGACCCGGGTTCAATTCCTGCTAAGGGCGCATACTTCGGTTGCAGTTTGTCCCCGGCCCTGGTTGGTCGTGTGGGTGGCAGCCACTCGATGTGTCCCTTTCACATCGATGTTTCTCTCTCTCTCTCCCTTCCTCTCTCTCCCTCCCACTCTATCTGTACAAGAAATGGAAAAATATCCTCGGGTGAGGATTAAAAAAAATAAATAAAAGTGCCATTCGCTTGACGAGGTGGAAAAATGAAAGCATTCATGAGCCATGGTGTCTCCTTCCCACCCGCAGCTGAAACAGTTTTACGAGCCGCAAGCTGATGTGCTGCCTCCTCTGAGGTTAGACGCTTGTGTTTTGACCCAAGGAGATCAGATCCTTCTGCAAGAACCACTGGTGAGACTCTTGTTCCTCCATAGCCCTTATCTCTACTGTCAAGTTAAAGCATCGACTCTGTTGATAGGGTGGGTCTTCAGAGACACCTTTCCCTGTGAAGCTCTCTGCTCCTGCCAGTGAGCTTTTACTCTGAACTCTTCCCTGCTTTTCCTTCCTGACCCTTCGGCACTTGTGTCCGTCGGTCCGTTATCTCTGGGTCAGCATCCACCACTTCCCCCAGAGAGCGTTTTGTCCCCACTTGTGGTTCTTTGGTTATACTAGTAAGTAAATATACTTTAGAATAGGGGAGAGAGATCACCTAGTAGCAGATGAACCCTGGGGACCTGCTTCATTAGTCTGAGGGAGGGAGTATATGATTTAGGCTGAGCTGAGTTGGTACTCTCTTCACCCTTCAGAGGGACTAGGACAGGTTGGTTTCCTGTTCTTGCCTTCTAGCCTCAGAAAGACGGGGAAGAGAAGATAAAACAGCTACTCTACCACCCCAAGTGATTTGGAGCTGATGGTCATGGAATTGTCATGGTCTGCCTTCATGCATGGACCTTCTCTGCCATGCATTGTCCTTAGCCGAGGAGATGCTGTGTTGTTCTCCCAGAGGTGCCTTTAGCACAAACCCCCATCTTTAGAACAGCCTCTGGGACTCAGAGAAGCTGGAGAGGATGTCACTGCGTGGCCTGGCAGAAGGAGCGCATCGGCTGTTGCATTCTGAGGTGTCAGTTACTTATGAAGCCAATTCCTTTGGGGAAGGTCAGAAAACCATGCCTCTGTCAGTTTAGCTTTTTCCATTATTGTTCATTTGGATTGACTTAATTTGTCATGCAAATGAATAATTTATTGTAGCCTTATGGGCAAGAATTATATGTTGATTAGCAGCAGCTTCACAGGTTAACTCTGAACACTCAAGAATATGTCATTATTGCCCAGCTGGTGTGGCTCAGTGGCTGAGCGAGGACCCTGCACCAAGAGGTCGCCGGTTTGATTCCCAGTCAGGGCACGTGCCCAGGTTGTGGGCCCGGTCCCCAGTGGGGGGCATGCAGGAGGCGGCCAGTAGATGTTCTTTCTCATCGATGTTTCTATCTCTCCCTCTCCCTCCCTTTCTCTCTAAAATCAGTAAAGGGGGGGGGGGGGAGTATGTCATTATTATTTTCTTCTGCAGGATCATCTGCTGTGTTGTATTCAGCACTGTTTGGCCTGGTATAAGAGTCGTGTGATGCCCGTACATCAGGAAGAGGAAGAGGAGGAAGAGGAGGAAGGATTCTACCAAGAATTAGATGATATGTTGGAGTCTATCACTAATAGAATGATTAAGAGCGAACTAGAGGACTTCGAACTGGTAATTGCTAAATCTCAGTTATATTTTTAATTATTATTTTAAAAGTATGTTTTTGTTGATTTTCTTTAGAGAGAGAGAGAGAGAGAAACATCAGTGTGAGAGAGAAACATCAATTGGCTGCCTCCTGCACGCCCCCTACTGGGCCCACAACCCAGGCACGTGCCCTGATCGGGGATCCAACTGGACTTCTCAGTCCATGGGATGATGCTCAATCCACTGAGCCACACCAGCCAGGCAATTACTATTATTATTTTCTAATTGATTTTGGAGAGGAAAGGAGATGGCAGGAGAGAGAGAAACATTGATCAGTTGCTTCCTGTATGCACCCCAACTGAGTCCTCCAACCTGGGTATGTTCCCTGACCGGGAATCAAAGCCGTGACCTTTTGGTGTACCAGACAAGCTGTAACCAACTGAGCCACCTGGCCAGGGCCTTAGTTATATTGAATAATGGAGGTTTTTGGTAGCTTGTTAGTTTTTATTTTGTATCTTTTAGGATAAATCAGCAGATTTTTCTCAGAGCACTGGTACCGGCATCAAAAATAACCTCTGTGCTTCTCTTGTGATGGGAATTTGTGAGGTTCTAATAGAATATAATTTCTCCATCAGTAATTTCAGGTAAGGTGTTGCTATGACTCTAATTGCGGTTTCCCTGATACTCCATTTTACGGGCCGGGGGAGGGGTGCTGTTTTTCTTTTAGCTGAACAGGCCTCAGACCATGACGCTCTCTCTTGAGTAGACGTCTGACCTAAAAGCAGACGGTTCTTTCAGCCCGAGAACACCAAAGCCTGTGCCACAGGCTGGCGAGGGTCGGGCCTCTGGCGGGCTTTCAGTCCCCCAGAATTCCCAGACCCTGAGCTCAAGAACTGCACGTTTACATTGGTGGCAGTGTTGGACTGTGGTGCTCTGCGTTGACTGGTCTAAATAAAGGGGGGTGGGGGGAATAACACAGACAGATTGGCATGTTAACGAAGGCTCATTCATGTATAATGTGTCCAGATAGCACCTGAAGACACACTGATTTCCTCCTGACAGCATGTGACAGGAAACTACAGCATTCTGATGCTTGTCCTTGGTGGTCTCTTTCCTTTTACACAGTAAGAATAAGTTTGAGGACGTTCTGAGCTTATTTATGTGTTACAAGAAACTCTCGGACATCCTTAACGAAAAGGCTGGCAAAGGCAAAACTAAAACGGCCAACAAAACGAGCGATAGCTTTTTGTCCATGAAGTTTGTGTCTGATCTTCTCACCGCTCTTTTCCGGTAAGGTCCGGGGCTGCCGAGCGGCCGCCCCGTGCTGCTGCTGCAGTGAGCTTGGGGGCAGCGTTATCGAGGTTGGGTTCATAATTCTTACTGTATGTATGTTTTTCTGAGTTCTGTGAGAGCCGTAATAGCAAATTAATGGAACTCCAGTAGGGGGTTGTGGAAACCATTGATTGATTGATATTTATCCTCACCCGAGGACATTTTTCCATTTTTTATTCAGATAGAGCAGGAGGGAGAGAGAGGAAGAGAGAGAGAGAAACATCGACGTGAAGGGACACATCGACTGGCTGCCACCCACACGACCAAACAGGGCCGGGGACAAACTGCAACCGAAGTACATGCCCTTAGCGGGAACCGAACCCGGGTCTCTCCGGACCGCAGGCCAATGCTCTAACTGCTGAGCCAAACCAGCCAGGGCTGATTTATTTATTTTTTAAAGATTGATTGCCCGGCCGGTTTGGCTCAGTGGATGGAGCGTCATCCCCGGGACTGAGAGGTCCACGGATCGATTCCCAGTCAGGCCACATGCCAGGTTGTGGGCTCAGTCCCCAGTAGGGGGCGTGCAGGAGGCAGCCAATTGATGTTTCTCACATCGCTATTTCCATCTCTCTCTCCCTTTCTCTCTAAAAAATTAATAAAAACATATTTTTAAAAAATTGATTGATTGATTGATTGATTTTAGAGAGGAAGGGAGAGAGAGAAACATCGATTTGTTGTCTCACTTATGTATGCATTCATTGGTTGATGCTAGTGAGTGCCCTGACCGAGGATGGAACCTGCAACCTTGGTGCATCGGGACGATGCTCTAACCCGCTGAGCTGCTTGGCCAGGGCCGAACCTCTGATTTGTAGCCAGTCAGTCAGAAGTACAGATAACAGCCTGGACTTACAGTTAGCATTTTGAGTTGTAGGAGCCATTGGAAACTGATCTGCAGCTGGTGGGTCTTTCAGAACCTGTGGCGAAACTCGGGTGTTACTGGGTCTTGCAACGGCTGCCTGCAGCGGGGTGGGCAGTCTTGTGGGACTGGGCCCTCAGCCTGTGGGCTCTGATACTCTCTGCAGGTAGGTGGTGTCAGAACTGAGCCGACTTCTTGGACATCTGAGGTCTCTCATTTGGAGCTCGCTGGATGCTACTCTGAACAGTCCCTAGAAAGCCACATTCCAGGCCCCACAAGCAGTAGGAAACGTCTTTTTCTCTCTCTAGGGACAGTACCCAAAGTCATGAAGAGAGCCTGTCTGTGCTCAGGTCCAGCAGTGAGTTCATGCGCTACGCCGTGAGCGTGGCCCTGCGGAAGGTGCAGCAGCTGAAGGAGACGGGTCACGTGAGCGGCCCCGATGGCCAAAACCCGGACAAGATCTTTCAGAGTCTGTGTGACATAACTCGGTGAGTTCCGGGGGTGGGTACACGCTTCACCCTCAGTAGCCTGTTGCCCTGGCAGTGCAGTGTCCGCGAGAGGAGTCATCACGACGACTGAAGCCAGTTTGAGATAAAAGAACAAAGCCGACTCCCGCTCCCTGACTGCAGGTCTTACGCAGAACATTGCTGTGTTTGAGATAGTGTAGTATCGGCAGAATCGGTGGAACACAGTGGACAGTTCAGACAAGCACAAATAGGGTTATTTGTTATTGTTTTTTTAAAACTTATCTTTATTGTTGAGTGTAATACAGATGTCCCTCTCCCCATCTCACCCCCTGCCCCCCTCCTGCCTTCCCCACACTATTGTCTGTGTCCATTGGTTATGCGTATATGCATAGAAGTTCTTTGGCTTCTCTCTTCCTGCCCCACCTTCCCCCTTCCCTTTGAGGCTCATCGGTCAAACGACCAATTTGTACTTATTAATTCTTTCATTTTTTTGCCCATCCCCTAACCCCCCTCCCATCTAGCAACCAACAAACAGTTATTTGTATCTAGGAGTTTGTTTCTATAAAACCACAGGGGCAGGAATCCGGTCTGTGGCCGCTTAGAAAATCGGGGGCAGAGAATTGACCGCAGAAGAGCATAAAGGAGCTTTTGGGGAGCTGGAAATATCCTGACTGTGGGGATAATTACACGCTTCATACGTTTGTTGAAATGATACAGCTGTCCGTCAACGGTGTGACTTTTACTGTGTGTACAGTCGGGGAAGCTGACTTTAAAGCCTCTACTTCCCGCCTCAGGGTCTTGCTCTGGAGATACACGTCCATCCCTACGTCCGTGGAGGAGCCGGGCAAGAAGGAGAAAGGGAAGAGCATCTCCCTGCTGTGCCTGGAGGGTTTGCAGAGAATCTTCAGCGCCGTGCAGCAGTTTTTCCAGCCCAGGGTCCCCCTGTTCCTCCGCGCGCTGGGTGGGCACCTCTGTGTTGATTCGTGCGCTTGATCTGGGCTTCCCTGTCTCAATCAGACCTCTTGATTTGATTTGCTAACCTATCAGGTCTTCTGAGGTCAGTCCTAAGTTTCTAGGCGTGACATTTAGTGGATTCAGAATTGGCATTTGCTGGATTGTGCTCGACCACACATAATATGACGAAATTGCCGAATGTTAGGAATGTATTTAAATCTGTCTCTAGACTTTTGGCTTTCTAAGATTTTAGCTCTTAAAATGCTAAAGAAGCACAGTCCGTTTCAACGACAGTGGAATCCTTTCCCTTCCCTAGATGTCCCGGGTAACGAGGGAGACGGGGTGGAAGTCACTGTCACCCAGAGAGCGACGTTCCAGATCCGGCAGTTCCAGGTGAGAAGCCCTGGGCGGCTGCTGGCCTGGCCTGCGCGGGGCCAGCCGGTGAGAGCACGCCCCGGCGAGCAGGCAGGCGGCCGTTCCTTCCTGGGCCGTCCAAGCAAGACGGCATAGCTCAGAGTGGAGACTGATGCGTTTAAAGGGTCCTGGGACTGGTGTGTGCAAAGCCCCCCACCCTGCCCCAGCCTCTGCCTCCACAAGTCACTGTTTGAGTTGACACACAGGTGGCCAGGGGCCATCAAGGTGTGGAGTTATGTCTGTGTTGTGTAATCAGATTGCATAAAGACTGAACAGTGAAGTCTGTTAGTTTCTAACTAGTAGATTAGTTGTCACAATATTGGGATAATTTTAAAGTGCCTGCTCTGTGCCAGGGACTGTGCCAGGTGCTGGGGGTATAGCAGGGAACAAAAGAAATGAAATCCTTGCCCTTGTGGCATTTGCGTTGTACTCTGTACAAAATACAGGTGGTGAGAGGAATAGGGAAAAGGAGAGTGGAGGGTGTGTAGGGAATGCTGGGGTCGGGGTGAGGTCTAAACCTGAGGTCACGGATGGGCTCTGGGGAGCCGTGAACCACCCAGAATCGGGCATCGTCCCTCCTCATGTGCGTGGAGGAGGGCCCGTCTGAGAAGGCCCACACGGACGCTCTGCAGCGGGGTAGGAAACGAGCTGTGCTTTTGAGTTTGTGTTCAGATTTTGTCCTCTTGGAATTTGGTAGCTTTGAACCCTTCTCATCCCAGCCTCCTTGGGAATCTCTGGCTAGAGGTTCTTCTCCCTGGCAGGAACTTGTCTGCTAATGCGTCTGTGTGTGCTTTCCTTCCCCAGAGGGCCTTGTTGAATTTACTCAGCTGCCAGGAGGAAGACTTCAACAGCAGAGAAGCCCTCCTCCTCGTCAGTGTTCTGTCCAGCTTGTCCAAGCTGCTGGAGCCCTCCTCCCCTCAGGTACGAGCCCACTCATTCATCCCACCGAGCATCCCGCAGGAGGTGAGGGGAGTTGGCGTCTTAAAAGAATGTATCTAGCCCTGGCCGGTTTGGCTCAGCGGTTAGAGCTCAGCGCTTAGGGCGTCGGCCTGCGGACCGGAGAGCCCCGGGTTCGGTTCCTGCTAAGGGCACGTATGTTGGTTGCAGTTTGTCCCTGGACCCAGTGGGCGGCAACCAGTCAATGTGTCTCTCTCACATTGATGTTTCTCTCTCTCTTCCTCCCTCTCTCCCTCCCGCTCTATCTGAAGATAAATGCAAAAATGTTCTTGGTTGAGGATTAAAAAAAAAAAAAGAATGTACCTAGGCCTAACCATTTTGGTTCAGTGGTTAGAGCATAGGCCCACAGACCCAAGGGTCACTGGTTCGAGTCCCAGCTGAGGGCAAGTGCCTGGGTTTCATATTGGATCCCTGGCCCTGGTCGGGGTCGTGTGGGAGGTTGGGTGAGGATTAACCAAAAAAAAAAAAAAGGAATGTATCTAAATGTCCTCTTGAAGCCTAGCTTATTTTAAATTGTATCTTCGTGCCCCTGAGTGGACGTGAGATCGCGGAGGCTGCCCTTTCCCGCGTGGCGGCCCTGCCCTGGCATAGCCGCAGCCTGCAGGCCAGAGATCTGCTTTAGTTTGGCCGCTGTCGAGGGTCAGCAGTGAGCACAATAGGAAAAAACCTTATCTTTGGTGCCCTCAACCATCTTGACCTGTGTTTTTACTCAGTCTTATTGCTTCCTCTTTTTTAAGTTGAAAATATGTTAATTATTAAGAAAGCAGCTGACATTCAGAGTTGCCTTTCTGAGCAAGGTTAGCTGGTCCTGACTTTGGGGGAAATTCAGCCAAGGGTGATGAAGCCGGAAAGCGTGGCTACAGTCCCAAAGCAGAAACAACTCTGCTGAGATAAGTGGTATGTGCATGTGTGGGTGTGCACACATGCATGTACAGCTGTGCGACCACATGTGTGTGCACACAGAACATAAGGGCCACGTTTTGTGGGTCTGCTCCATCAGGAGGCGTTTCACAGGATGACAGAGCATCCTCGGGTGCCCGGGCTATGCTTCTGCCACGGGGACCTCCCGGTCTGTGGGGGATGGTGGAGCCCTGGGCTGCAGGCTCCTGTGTGAGCCTTGCTTCAGGAAGACTTGCCTGGGGCGTGGGCGTTACGGTGTTGGCTGCAGAGCTGACCTGATGTCCTGTCCTCCGGGTTCCGGGCCCAAAGGAAGTCTCTCTTGCCAGCTCCTTGCTTCGTCCTAGAGCCGAACAACTCATCCCCGCTTTACTTTCAGCTTCCCTCTTCCACCCACCACTGTGCTGCAGAAGAACAGGGCTGGGAAAGAAATACGTGGCAGCATGAGGCAGGGGACGTTTGAGGGAAATTCAACAGACTTGGAAAGGCTAATGTATACAAGAAAGTTTTTTTTTTTAATTCATCACTTCCTCTAACTTCAGGTAGTCTCTTGTTTTTTTAAATTTAATATTGAGCAGGTAATCAAGTCCAGTTTGGAGAACCAGAGATTATAGAGATTTACACTCAGTGGTCTCCCTCCTGTCCTGTTCCAGTTGCCTGCCTGGTTTGGCTCCTTTTCTCCCAGATAAAAGTAAATGCCTTTTTAAAAATTGCTTATAAATCCTTCAAGAGTTTCTTTTTTTTTTTATCCTCACCCGAGGACGTTTTTTTGGTGGTGGTTGTTCAGATAGAGCGGGAGGGAGGGAGGGGGAGAGAGAGAGAGAGAAACATCGACGTGAAAGGGACACATTGAATGGTTGCCGACGCTCTAACCGCTGAGCCAACCCGGCCAGGGCTCAAGAGTTTCTTTATTCCTGGAGAAACAATACGAATATCGATTCTTTTTCCTGGCCTCACACCTCTTCACGCAGGAACGCCTTCCGCAGCTGCTGGTTAATGTCATGCTGCATCTGTAGACCTTTTTAGATCAGGTCACAGAGGGAGTTCAGAAATAGGCTCCCAATTTACTTCTCCCTCAGGAGATCAAAACTGATTTCTTACTGGGCATCCTGTACTAGGTGTGACAGCACCTGGGGCCTTTGGCTGAGGCCTGTTGGAAGAGCTGGAGCAGAAAGCTCGGTGTACCTGCAGCTCAGGCCTCCTCTTCCACCTAAGAAACTGCTGGGGTTTTGCCTCTTTTTAAAATTTTTTTTTTTTATTGATTTTAGAGAGAGAGAGAAACATCGATGAGAAAGAACATTGATTGGCCGCCTCCTGCATGCCCCCCACTGGGGATCAGGCCCACAACCTGGGCATGTGCCCTGACCGGGAATCGAACCGGCGACCTCTTGGTGCAGGGTCGATGCCCAACCACTGAGCCACACCAGCCGGGCAGTTGCCTCTCCCCCCTCCCCCCACCCCCTTCTCACCTCCTCTGGCCTCTTGGCTCCTAAAAGCCAATTGTACTGTCTTTGTGGCCTGGATCTTCCTCTCCTACACCTCTCCCCTCACCGCGCACCCTTAAAGATGCCCAAGGCTGTGGGGCATGGGCAGGAACAAAGGAACTCCAGCCCCAGACCTGGTGGGGTAGGGGAGGCTCGGGGTAAGGCCCAGAGCCGGACCCCAGGACATGCGGCCTTCACTGAGGGCGTAGACTTCGGGGATTGAGTTGTGTGCTGTGTTAAGAAAAGTCTCGGTAGTTCTCATAACTGGAGTATTCTCATGTGTTCTCGGTAGCGGCTCCTGCAGATCCAGGCCGAGGCTGGGGGATGGCTGGGTGTGGAGAGGCCGGGGCTCCTGCAGATCCAGGCCGAGGCTGGGGGATGGCTGGGTGTGGAGAGGTCGGGGCTCCTGCAGATCCAGGCCGAGGCTGGGGGATGGCTGGGTGTGGAGAGGTCGGGGCTCCTGCAGATCCAGGCCGAGGCTGGGGGATGGCTGGGTGTGGAGAGGTCGGGGCTCCTGCAGATCCAGGCCGAGGCTGGGGGATGGCTGGGTGTGGAGAGGTCTGGGGCTCCTGCAGATCCAGGCCGAGGCTGGGGGATGGCTGGGTGTGGAGAGGTCTGGGGCTCTTGCAGATCTGACTCTCGGGCGCTTCGGTAATGCCTGGCGGTCTCTAGTTTGTGCAGATGTTGTCCTGGGCGTCCAAGATCTGCAAGGAGAACAGCTGGGGTGAGTTGCCTGCCATGTTTCCCCTCGGGCTTTCTTCAAGTCACCATCACTGAACAGCATTCACTCCTTCAGCAGAAGAGCCACCACGGGCCAGAGACACGGTGCCTCGTGTCGGGTAGAACGGCGGGGGGTGTGAGCTGGCACCTCCGCCCCGGAATGAGACGTGTGCTCAGGGTGCAGTATGCTCACGGCAGCACTGTTCTTCTTTCTTAACTTTAAACAGTTCACTGGAGATCAGATTTTTTAAAAATATGTTTTTATTGATTTAGAGAGAGAGAGAAAAGCACTGATGAAAGAGAACCACCAATTGGCTGCCTCCCGCACACCTCCCACCTGGGATGGAGCCCAAAACCCAGGCATGTTCCCTGGCCGGGAATTGAACCGGTGACCTCTCAGTGTACAGGACACTCATCCAACTGAGCCACACTGACCAGGGCACAGCAGCACTTTGTTATTGTTAATCCTCACACGAGGGTATTTCTCCATTAGTTTTTTGATAGAGTGGAAGGGAGGGAGGGGGAGAATGAGAGAGACACATTTCGATGTGAGAGACACATTGATCGGTTGCCTCCTGCACAACCCTGGCTGGGGCCGGGGATCAGACCTGCACCCCAGGTGCATGCCCTTGACTGGGAATCGAACCCGAGACCTTTTGGTCCACAGGCTGACGCTCTAACCGCTGAGCCAGGGCAGCAGCGCTATTTTAGTAAGCAAAGCAAACCCACACAGCAGCAGCGGCAGAGTGCTTGGAGGGGCTGGGCTGTGCACACACTGTGGCCCGTACACGCAGCGAGCAGGCTCAGGCTGCGCTGGCGCAGACATGCTGGACAGGGGAAGCCCGGTACAGAAGCGCCCGCCGTATGACTCCATGTAGATCGAGTTCAAAGTCAGACACGACCACGTGAGGTCAGAAGTCAGGACAGCAGTTTCCTGGGTGGGGCGATTAAGGCAGGTTTCTGGGTGCTGGCTGGTAGCAGGAGAGGTCCCCTCCTTCGGGCACATGGAGAGAAGCGCAGGTCGTAGGCTGGCTGCCTGGTCGGGGGCAGCTCCGCCGGGGACATGGTGAGCTAGGTGTTCTAGTCCGGCATCCCGCCCTCGAAGCACTGACTGGGTTGTCGCTCAGCCTCTAACTCTGTTTTCCTCCTGCTGCAGAGGACGCCTTGTCTTGCAAGGGCATGATGAACTTGCTCTTCAGCCTCCATGTTCTGTATAAGAGCCCTGTGGCCCTGCTGCGCGACTTGTCCCAGGACATCCACGGACACCTTGGGGACATAGACGAGGTACGACAGCAAGCCCTCAGTGCAACACCCCGGCCCCAGGTCAGGGGCACAGCCTGCGGCCGTTACCGCTTGCTTCCCTGTCGCTCCCCAGGACGTAGAGGTGGAGAAAACAAACCACTTTGCAATGGTGAACGTGAGGACAGCGGCCCCCACCGTCTGTGTAAGTCGTGATCTCGGAGCCGTGAGGAACGGCCGTGTCACCCTTTCCGTTGTACTCCACATGGAGTCTGAATCCCAGTGGCTGTGTCCTGCGGCCTGTGACCCTCGCCGTGGCCATGGTCACTCTGTGACGCCGGCCGCGGGGTGCAGTGACCATGCAGGCCTTTCCTCCCACAGTTGCTGGTTCTGGGTCAGGCTGAGAAGGTCCTAGAAGAAGTGGACTGGCTGATCAACAGGCTTAAGGGACAAGTGAGCCAAGAAACCATGTCAGGTGAGCGAGAGGAGTCCCAGGAATTGCGAGGAGAGCACAGTCAACCAGAGTCCATGCTGGGCCACGGCGTGAGCTCATTTGTCGAGCCTAGGTCTCCGGTGTCTGAAAGTGGGCAGCTCCGTGGCTTCTGGCCGTGGTTGTCACCTCGCTGTGCGTGGGAGTCAGTGCTCGTTTTCCTTAGACTTCTAAGTCACCTTCACTCGAACACGAAAGTGAGGCCAGTTGGGTTGAATGTGCCGATTTCATTTCCCTCCAGAAGAGGCCTCTTCTCAGGCAACCCTGCCAAACCAGCCGGTGGAGAAAGCCGTCATCATGCAGCTGGGAACGCTGCTCACCGTCTTCCACGAGCTGATGCAGACCGCCCTGCCGTCGGGCAGCTGTGTGGACACCTTGTTAAAGGACCTTTGCAAGATGTACACCATTCTCACCGCACTTGTCAGATACGTGAGTACCGGGGGGCCAGCGTCACCAGCACTGCTCCAGCCAGTGGGGCCGGGCCCGTCCCGGCATGGGCAGCAGGCAGCAGGCGTCTCCACGGGCCAGGAGATGACATGCTGTTAAACCTGCTTCTAGAGGCCCCGTCTCCTTGGCATACGGGTAAGTGGCACCTGATGGAGAGGGAAGAGTGAATGCCTCTTCCAGCGTCTTCTAAGACCTCGTCTGAGCTCTGGCTCTGGAACTCAGTCTGATTGCCTGTTGCCCAAAAATGACGCTGTTCCGACCAGTCTGGGCGCTGAGGAGTGTTCACTCCTTCTTCCTTCGACGAGCAGATTCCAGTGCATCGCAGGTCAGGTGCTGGGGGGGGAGTGTAGGTTTTAAAAACACAGGGCATGTAAACAACAATACAAGGCATATTCTGCTTTCAGTTTAAGTCAGTGTTTCTTAGGATCTGTTAAAATTAAAAAAACAAAAACAAAAACTTTTTTTTTTTTGGTATGTGCTTCTAACGGGAACCAAACCCGAGACTCTCTGGTCTACCAGCCGACGCTCCAATCGCTGAGCCAAACAGGCCAGGGCAAAAACAAAAACATTTTTGTTGTTGCTGTTAATCCTCACCCAACAATATTTTTTTCATTGACTTGGAGTAAAGGGAGGGAGGGAGGGTAAGAGACATTGATTGGTTGCCTCCTTCCCTCGCACCAACCTGGGCCTCGGATCAAACCTGCAACCCAGGCATGCGCCCTTGACCAGGAATCGAACCCACAACCCTTCAGTGCGCAGGCAGACACGAACCACACCAGCCAGGGCATGGGAAAAGAATCTGTTCTTGCACTTGAACGTCGTGGTCCTCGGCAGACATGCAGAGGGCAGCGAGCCGTATCAACCGCTGCGGCACGGGCAGCCCCAGAACGGCGGTGGCCGGCAGGGCCCCCTCGCGGCAGGGCCGCTGTCTGAACGTGCAGCTCTGGCCGCACTGCGGCCGCTGAGCTCCGGGGGGAAGTACTGGGAGCCTCTTCTCTGTGTTGGCTTTTTCTTTTTTAAGGGAAAACAGCAGGTCTGGTTTTCTAGACATAGGGACTGTCATGCTGAAATTTCAGAGCGACGAGCTGACCAAGTCCAAAGCAAACCCGTCCTCGCCCGTTGCTGGCGGAGTCGGGAGCCTTGAGGAGGGAGAGGGGAGCCTCGTGTCTGGGAGTCTCTGGCTGCAGTCGTCCTCGGTCAGAGACATGTCCCACTCCATTCCCTTTGGTCCTGGGACATCTGTCAGGGTGACACACTCAACCCCGAATCTTCTGTCAGTATCTCCAGGTGCATCAGAGCTCCGGAGGAATTCCAAAAGTGATGGAGAAGCTGGTGAGCTGAGGATGCTTTTCTCGGGAGTGGGGAGCTCTCTTATTTCTACAGTTACATTGGTTTCCTCTTCCTTTTCCTCTGCTGCAGGTGAAGCTGTCGGGTTCTCATCTGACCCCTGTGTGCTATTCTTTCATTTCTTACGTACAGGTAAGCGATTCAGCGCGTGCCGCCCCTGCACCGCGGGCAGACACCACACCCTCCTGTCAGCCCCCTGCCTCATTTAGCCCTGGCCGGTTTGGCTCAGCGGTTAGAGCGTCGGCCTGCGGTCCGGAGAGACCCGGGTTCGGTTCCCGCTAAGGGCACGTACCTCGGTTGCAGTTTGTCCCCGGCCTGGTTGGGTTGTGTGGGTGGCAACCACTTGACGTGTCCCTTTCATGTCAATGTTTCTCTCTCTCTCTCTCTCCCTCCCACACTCTATCTGAACAAAAAATAGAAAAAATGTCCTCAGGTGAGGATAAAAAAAATTAAAAATAAATAAATAAATAAATAAATTCAGTTTCTGAGTCCCCATCTCGTCGTAGTGATGCCCGCGCAGGGCCGCATTCAGAGTGCTGTGTAGACCGAGCCGGCCCTCTGGAAGGAGGGTTCTGGGAAATACTCGTGTCTCAGGTTTCTGAGAGGGTGCCAGCGATGGGATGTGCTCAGAGGTCGTTCTCAAACCTTTCGAGAACTTCTGTTCTGTGATAATGAATACTACTCTTTGACAGGTGTAGCATTTGGTAGAGTATAGCTTGGGAAACACGGCTGGAAGACCGTTGTCACTGGCTTAGAACAGCTGACCCCTGCCTGGTCCTCCAGCCCTGCCTGGTGCTGTTCCCCAATTTCCACCCATCGCCTGGTTCGCCCTCAAGCGACGGTGACTGGCAGTTGTGCCCTTGTCAGTGATGAGAGGTTAGAGAGGTGCGCGCCAGGGCCGACGGCTCATTCAGTGGGAGCTGAGCCTTGAACCCCGGTCGTTTGACTCTGACAGGTCAGCAGACTTTTTCTGTGAAGGGCCAGAGGGCAAACGTTTGGGTTTCACAGGCCGTACTGTCACTCACTGTCACAGCCACTCCGGCCTGACAGTAGAGCACGAGAGCAGCCGCAGCCAGTGCACAAATGACGGGCTCGGCTGCTTTCCAGAGGGCGTTCTCTCCCGGAAGTTAACTGGCAGGGTTTGGCCAGTGGAGGGCAGAGCTGCATTCGCAGGTCTTCAGAGAGCTGGGCACTCTCAGCCCTCCTGCCGCCGCACGGCCCCGGTGCTGTGACTCTGTCTGCTTTCCATTCTCTTCGTGTCCCACGAGCATGGCGTGTCCGGGCCGAGAAGGCCTCGGGGTCCTGCATCTGTGTCTGTGCCTCTCGTTGGGGTGGCTGCTCTGCGGCTCAGGCCTCTCGCATCAGAACCCCGTACTTCTGTTCCCTCGATCAGTTCTTACTCTCCCGGGAGCTCTCGATTCTCCGATTGCTGCAACATGGAGAGGTGTTCTGTGACTTAAGTCCTCGAGCGTAACCACGTGGCCTACAAGGCACATCTGGGCGATTGCTCTGGGTAGGAAGCCTGCAGGCCCAGGAGCAGCCTCCAGCTCCTGTCCTTACGGAACCCTTCTAGCCAGGAAACACCGGTTCCTGCCACCTCTCTGACATCCCCCCCACTTTATCCCTCTGTCCATTTACGTATTTATTTTTGTTAATCCTCACCCGAGGATATGTTTCCACTGAGTTTCTGAGAGAGTGTAAGGGAAGGGAGGAGAGAGAGAGAGACAGTGACAGAGAGGAACATCGATGAGGGAGAGACATCAGTTGGTTGCCTCCCGCACACAGCCCGACCAGGGCAGGGATTGAACCTGCAACCCAGGTACATGCCCTTGACCGGGAGTTGAATCCGTGACTTTGGTGCATTGGCCAGTGCTCTAACCACTGAGATCACCAGCCCTTGGCTGGCCTGTAACGGTGGGGTCTGCCCTCACCTCCACGTGCTCCTCCAAGAGTAAGTGTGAGGATTGCAAGCGTCTTCCACACCGGCTGCAGGACGGTCTCCTTGCCCAGACTCCGCCCCGGGGATTCCCCATGCCCGCTGTCGTCGCCTGCCTGGAAAGCAGCATCAGCCTGCGGGTCCTCAGGAGTAAGGGTTGTTTCTCTTCCTCTAGAACAAGAGCAGCAGCCCACAGCACACCGGAGGAAAGAGAAAGAACTCGGCCACTGTGGCCGTGGCCATGGTAAGCTGCCGACACGCTCACTGCGGTGTGGCTGCTGGTGCGAGAAGCCAGTCACAGAACCAGCAGATCGGAAATGACAGACAGTGGGTTACGGTTGCCTAGAGCTGGGGACCCGACTGGAGAGACTGGGGAGGTGCTAAGAGGGGTGCATCTCTGCGGGCGTGAAGGTGTTCTGCTGTTTCTAAGTGGTGATGGTTGTACAACTCTGTGAACATCCTGAGACCAGAACTGTGCCGTGTGAAGGGGGTGTTGTATGGTGTGTGAGTTACATCACCGCAGTGCTGTTACGGACTGTGAGGCTGGACAGGTGTGGTGGTTGCTTCTTAGCTAACGGATTTTATGTTCAGATGGAACATCGTTTTCCTCTGAACCAGAAAACATACGCTTTATTCAGGAAGCACCAGAAAGTCTTGAGCTTTCTTTAAAAATAGAAGTGGCTTAGGGTGTGCGTTGGGGGTGCGCACTGGGAGGGGTTCGTTTAGGAAAAGTGCTCCCTCCTCCGTCCGGTCTGAGAGCTGCTCCGGGCACAGGGAGGCAGGCTCCCGACACAGGTGGGATGAGCACGAGTCCTGGGCACGTTGGCAGAGCTGCTGGATTTCGGGAGATCTGCACACACACCCGTGACGCAGCACTTCACTATTAGGGTGTTGTCACTGAGAGACGACTGGCCAGATGGGTTTTGGTACATTTACACTAGAATACTATGCAGACATGAGCAGTACTAATCTAAATGCTCAGAGAATTACCTCCAAGGTGTTTTTTTTGGTTTGTTTGTTTGTTTGAATACGTTTTATTAATTTTTTAGAGGAAGGGAGAGAGAATCATCAATGTGAGAAACATGGATCAGGCTGCCTCCTGCATGCCCCCCACTAGGGATGGAGCCAGCAACCGGGGCACGTGCCCTGACTGGGAATCAAACCAGGACCTCTCAGTCCATGGGACGATGCTCAATCCACCATCCACACCAGCTGGGCTCCAAGGTCGTCTTTGTTTTTAAATCCTCACCTGAGGATATTTTTCCATTTAGCTACCTTCAGATAGTGTGAGGGAGGGAGAGAGAGAGAACCATCGACGTGAGAGAGACACATTGATTGGTTGCCTCCCTCACAACCCCAACCAGGGCCAGGGATAGAACCACAACATGCCCTTGACCAGAATCGAACCCGTGACTCTTTGGTTCGCAGGCTGACGCTCCAACCACTGAGCAAACCAGCAAGGGCAAAGGTATTATTTTTTAAAAAGAAAATACATAGGAAGTATCCTCATTTGTTTTGTTTTTTTAAGTACACAGAAGCATATCTATATGCCTAAGAAACGGCTGGAAGGATCTACAAGCTATAATTGAAACCGGGGAAGATACTGTAACCTCAGTAGTGAAAATTCACGTGCCTTCTGGAAGGAGGAAGTAGAGCCAGTGGGCTCCTTGTGTTAAGATTATCACGTCAGAGAGGCACCCAAATTTCTCCAAATGGCCCCTCAGCCTCTAGGCAGCAGCTACTCGGGAGTTGTAAGTGGGAGGACTCGGTGCAGTGTGTTGGCATTGAAGTCCTTTGATGAGGTGGTACTGCCCCAAATCTTAGGATACTGGCCACTAAGTAAAACTGCGTTTGACCGGAACACGGCCCACCGTTCCCCCAAAGCGCCGAGCAGTTCTGACGGCTTTAGGAGATGCCTTCAGGAGCCCTTGAGCCTGGGATTGGGTCTGCTCTCTGCCCGGTAGGCCCGAGTTCTTCGGGAGACCAAGCCGATCCCGAACCTCATCTTTGCCATCGAGCAGTATGAAAAGTTCCTCATCTGCCTCTCCAAGAAGTCCAAGGCAAGCACACCCGATTCCTTTCTACCGCTCTGTCTTCCTGGTTCTGATCTGACGTCACAGGGGACGGGTGGGAAGGCAGGGCCAGGGGTGTGCTCGCTAGTGGGAACTGAAGGCTGGTCGGAGCTGAGCCTGCCCGTCCGTCCCGTCCAGGTGAACCTGATGCAGCACATGAAGCTCAGCACCTCGCGAGACTTCAAGATCAAAGGGAACGTCCTGGACACGCTTCTCCGGGAGGAGGAGGACGAGGACGAGGAGGAGGAGGAGGAGGACGAGGACCGAGAGGTCAGTGTCTGCTTCTACCAGGAGCAGCAAGCCCTGGCCACCCTTCCTGACAGGTGGCTGGTAGCCTGTCTGGGAGCAGGCAGGTCAGTAGTGGGGCAACCACCAGCCAGACAGAATGGGCTCAGAGGGGGCCAGGTCAGACCAAGATGAAACTAAAACTCAGGAGGTTTGTAAACTCTGAGCCACACCCAGGTGGCCCAACTCGAACATGTTTCGGGGCAGTGACAGGACAAGGTCTGCCGGGGTGCGCCCTGGGCGGAGCAGCCCTGGCCTCTGGCTCGGGACCCGCTCTGCCCCCTCTCCCCCCTCTCCCCCCTCTCTGCTCAGGCCTGCCCCTCTGAAGCAGGGCCCAGCCCTGGATGAAACATGCTAACTTCTGGCTTCTCAAACATTCCGCACCCATGTTCTTGAGACTGTCAGACTCCAGGCATGGTGCACCTGGCCCTGTGCACCCCTTTCCCTGCGTGGCACTGGAGGGGAGCGTTCTGTAGCCTTTGAGGCTCCTCCTCTGTCGCCTTGCCCCCGGCACCTCCCCAGGTTAGCAAAGTCTGAAGGAAGGGCGTGCGCTCGGGCCTGGCTGCCTGAAGACCCCCCCTCCGCCGCGTCCCTGAGTGGGCAGGGGACAGAGCGTGACCACACAGGCTTCGATGAGAAGATAGAGGATTTGTGTTTATTTCCGGTGCCTCTGAGCAGGCTTGTCCCACTGAAGCATTGTTCTCCTCTAGGACACTGCGTCAGAGCACGGGGGACAGGACGAAGAACCAGCCAAGAAGAAAAGGAAAAAAGAAACGAAATGCCTGAGTTAATGAGAACTTTGGGGCTTCTGCTTTCTTTTTACCCAACAAGCAACACTACCCCCTTGTCCTACAGCCTACACCGGCGCTGGCGTCTTCTTCTGAACCCGTTGAAATCAACTGCGCCTCCAGTGACAGGCCGCCCGGCGGGGCCTGCACTGAGCCGCGCAGCTGGAGCCTGAGTGCGGGCGCCCGCCGCCCAGAGGAAGCTCCACGGGAGCAAGTAGGGCGCTCGGGGCGCTACGGCCCGGGCTGGCTTCGCCTTTCCAAGGAGCCTTTGGTGAGTTCGAGTATCTGGTAAATATCCAGCGCTTCACCTGCAAGACAGTGCAGACTGGTCACGATGCTGGCTCGGGGACGCACGCGGGAAAGGCGCTCAGCGCGAAGGCCGAAGAGGAGGGCGGGGGTGAGAGGACTTGCCACGCCTCACGTGGAGGCCCGTGTCCCTTTTGTATGAAATGTTTGCCTCCGGCACACCTTATAGAAACGAGGCTTTCTGACTGTTTGGCATTCAGAGCACAATTTCCCCCTAAGAATGCACTTTGACTTTGCACAATAAATCTTTAAACATTTCTGGTGTGGCTGAACAGAAGGTCCGGACGGAAGAAACCAGCTCTCCCTCCCTTGCCTGTGTCCGCTCTCTAGAGGCGCCCCCGTGATCTGACATCACGTCCACGCTGGGCCCAGGGCACGCCACAAACTAACAGCAACCTGTTTGCTGAGAGTGGGTCCCGTCCCCTCCGGGGCCCGAGCTCCCTGTGGTGCAGACGCTCCCTAATGTGCCTTACATCCCACGCGTAACGAAACCCACGGCTCACCCTGGGGAATCCCGTATCTCCTTTCCATCCCAGTGGGGTTGGAAGGGGTTTCACAATCCATGGTCACTTCCTTCCTGAGGCACCGGTCAATGTCGACTGCGCTGAAAAAGGCCACTGACTGGGGCAAGTCGTTCAGGCCCAGCTTGTAGGCAAACAGGCACCTGGAAGAGACCGACCTCCTCTCAGTGACGGCCCTGCCCCAAGCAGTGACCTGCATCCCGCGAGCAGGCACGCGACCTAGGACTCTGAAGGGCCAGCACTGCCCTGCACCCGCAGCACCTCCGGAGAGGCCTGGAGTGCAACGACGGACTCAGCACCTGGCTCACGTCTCTGACGGGAGCCCCCTTGATTACTTGACTATACCAGGACTTTCTGTTGGCTAGCTGAGCAGGGCCCCCAGGACGCAATGAAGAGGGCAGCGGGGACAGTGTCAGGTCCTGTAAACACTCGTTACTTATCCAGCAATCAGGGAAGGTCACGGTTCCCAAACGGTCTGAGCAGCAGATCCACATGGAACTGCAGGGTCATTTAATTCCACCATGAAGTTAACTTTTACTGAGAAATTACAACCCAATATATAAAATGTAAATTACTTTTAAGTCACACTTGAATTTCCTCATTAATAGTTTAGTACTCTGTTAGCAGTCAGAATAACAAACTTCTGACACTCAAGAAAACATTTACAGATTTAAGAAAACCTGCTTTCTATGAATTGAGACCCGCCGTCTGTGAAACAGGCGTGTTTCTCGGGGAGCACAATTTCAGAGCGACTGAACAGCTGCACTGACCTACCTCCTCACCGCCCCGGTCATCCAGTCTCAGAATATGACCCTTTCAGACCAAGAAATCTTTTCCAAAAGTTGAAAGCCAGTCTTGAACCTTCAGTTGTTTTGGGGAGGTGAAGACTCAGACCACACCCAGCCTGCCCACCTGGTCAGCAGGTTGGTGATCTGCAGGGCCAAGGCAGCGCGGTGGCGGTCCTCCTCCCGCACCAGGTAGCGCACCTCGTCGTGGATGCTGATGCAGAAGCGCCCGTCAATGGCAAACTCCTCAAACAGCCACTTCATGGCCACGAGCATGAGGTGTAGGTAGTCCACGGCGGAGCTCTGCACCACCCAGTTCACACGGCTGGTCATAAACTGGGGGGAGGTGGGCACCGGTGAGGGATCCTTGGAAAGGCACCCCTCTCTCCCCGGGACCTCCCCATGCTGGGAGGGTGCAGGATACCTCTCCCCGGGCCACCAGGGGCTCCAGGGCTCGGCTGATGCGGCAGCCCAGCACCGGGGTCCGAGGCTCGTCGGACATGGCGATGCTCTCCAGCTTGTTGAACATCTCCGACTCGGTGCCCCCACTCCACGCACGCTCGGCCACCACATCCCACTTCTTCCTGCGGGACCTGGGCCACGGGGAACAGACACGTTGTCTTCAGTACCTCAGCTAAGGAGCATCCCCGCCCTCCTGGGCCCGGCCCAGACGCTCCCTCCATCCTTAACACACACGGTGCTCACTTTCTTGAAGCCTCCCTCTGGATCCTGCGCAGATCCTGCAGGGAGACGCAGCCGTCCTCCGTCCTCTCCACGGGGACGTGCAGCTGCCTCACCAGCCACTCGCCCTCCTCTGACAGCCGGTACCTGGGGGCAGTGTCGCCGTCACTCCCGTGGGACCGAGCCCTGGGCTAGGAGTGTTCACCCAGCACTGCACTCCATTTCCACAGCCCCCCGGCCTTCCTGTCCCCTAAGGCTCAGAAAGGCTCGTGGGCTTGGGTCACAGCCAGGGAAAGCAGAGCCAGACAGGAACCCACGCTTTGGGTTGCCACGGTAGCCCAATAGAGGACGGCACGAAAGCTGTCACTGTCATCCCCATCCCAGTGCCTTGACGCTGACAGATGTCAGTAACCCTGCGAGGAAACCTGCTCCAGGCCAACTGTTCAGCAAATGACACAATCCAAGGACAAACCATCCTGAGCTCAGGCACGTCTGAGGGGGAGGGGCAGTAAGGGGGGGCAGTCGAAGGTAGTAAAGCAGGCCTGAGGCCCTGGGGGCCGGTGGAGGGCGGGCTCTCACCTGCGCAGGCCCTTGGTGGCGGCATACATCTGCTGGGCCTTCTCGGTTGCCTCCTGGCTGGTGAGCCGGTGGTTGAACTGCATGAGCAGGCGCTCCGCAAAGGGCTGCCCTGCGCCGTAGATGCGGCCGTAGTTGAAGACCTTGGCGTGCTCACGGCTGATGCCCACCGTGGCGGCCGTCTTACTGTGCAGGTCGGTGCCCCTGCTCTTCCGGCCCTGCAGGGTCATCCACCCGAAGGCTGTGCAGCCTGGAGCAGGGAGGAATGGGGCCGGAGGCTCAGGAACTCTGCCCCAGGACCGGCGCCAGGGGTCAGGCTGCCCGCTGTGCCAGCCCTGGCTCGGGCTCACCGTGCATGCCGGCGAAGTGGGCGTCTCCAAGCACAGCTGCGATCCACAGCTCCTGCGAGTCCACGTCCGCTCCCACCAGGACGTAGCCGGGTGGGGCCTGCACCATGGCCTTCAACTCACTGCCTACTCGGTCGGGCTGCAGGGGAAGACACCCCACTGCAGTCAGGACGGCGGTCTAGCAGCAACGGGCCGACAGGTGAGGGGATCCCTCCCCTGTGCCTGTACCCCATTTAACCACAACAGCCGCGGCAATCATGCTGTGTCAACATCTGCCCACAGCAGGTGCCCAGAACACGCACGTTTATTGCGACTGGACGATGGGGAAGCTAGACTGGAACCCGAGTCCTGCCTGACTCAGATCTTGGGGCCTTTTAATGCTCTCTGAAGGCCCTCTGTGGCCCCAGCTTCTAAAGACTTCAGAGAGGAAGGGCAGGGACCAGGGGTGCAGGGGACATGTACCCGGGCGTTGCTGGCAGTGAGCCATGTGGGCTCCACGGCCCGGCGGGTGATGGTGCCAGCGGTCACCACCTGGGGCAGGATGGCCCCATAGCGGCCTTCCTCATCGTAATCGGGGTGCCTGTGGTGGGGGAGAACACGAGCCTCAGCAGCTTGCTTTGATCCTTCCTGTCCCCAAACCCAGTTGGCAGGCCATACCTGGTCACAGCACGGGGCAAAGACGACTTGGGCAACCACACCACCATCTGGGAGCTGTTTGGACAGACAGGCTCAGCACAACCACGGGGCAGAATCCAACCCCTTCCCGCTAGGGCCCTCCCTGCCCAGCTTCGGGGGCTGCTGTGCCTGCCCCCTCCTTGCCCAGCCTCCACCCTCTTCCCACTGACCTGACTCAGGTGGGCCCTGGCGGGACCCTAGAATCTACCAGGCAGAAGCCTGTGCCATCTGGGAACAGCCAGGCCGTCACCAGTGCCTGACCCTCGCACTCTCTTCCCACCACACTGCTGGGGCACCCACCTTGGAACCAGCCTCCAAGGTGAATCCAGCTACCCCTCCCGGCCCCCAACACAGGGCCACCCTGGCGCCCAGCCACAACCCATGGCTCCAGCAGTCACACCAAGGGGTCCTTTGTGATCCGGGAGGGGCCGCTATACACACAGGGCAGCTGAGGCTGCAGAGGGAGAGACGAGGCTGCAGAGGGAGAGACGAGCCTGGGGACTACGAGCAGCTGGCGTGCAGACCACAGCGGGGCTGTCCACTGCAGCACCGGTGAGCCGGGCACTGGGGCAGCGGGGGGAGTCCCAGTGCGGCAGAAACCTGGCCAGGGGCACAGACGTGTCTGCCCTCCCGTGGTGGCCCACCTGATCCTCTTATGGGCATTCCTCCAGAAAGAGATCATTTTGTTGATTTCCAAGGCACGGGGCCCACTGGCGCCTCCCGGGCCTGCCTGCAGGGTGCCGTCCTCCATCTTGGGCAGAAAGTCCTTGGCAAAGGGGCTGCCCACGTTGCAGCTGTTACCGTCCTGCAGGGCAACGGAAGGAAGCAGGGCTGGGCAGGTGGCAGACCCCTGGCCGGGGAACTGACGTCCTGTGCACTTGGGCTCTGCCCAGCAGCCCAGAACCTGGCGCAGACCACCTGGGCGGATCCCACCCTGACGGCCACACACAGGCAGGCGCTGGGACAGACAGACCCGCGGCCCTGGCTCCCTCACGGTCACAGCCGCCGTCAACAGAACCCACCACGCAGTCTGCAGACTCAGTGACCCTGACATGCCCTGTCGTTCAGTTCCCACCTCCTTCTCACAAGGAGAACAGGCTCAGACAGACGGTGCTATCTGTCTCGAGACCCTGCCCTGCCCTCCCCCTGCCACCGTCATCCCTGCCAAGGGGCAGTCCCCTGGTTGTCACTGCAGGCCTGCTGAGCCAGAGGACA